GGAAATCACTGGGAACAGGTATGGGATCCCGTGGGAATGGGGATGGGATGGGTTAGGGAATGGGGATAGGACGGGATCCCATGGGATGGGGATGGAATGGGAATGGGGATGGGATGGGAATGGGGATGGGATAGGAATGGGGATTGGTTCTCAGGGTGGTAGTACCCGAAATCACTGGGAACAGGGATGGCATCCCATGGGAATGGGGATTGGGTCTCCAGGAGGTCATACCCGAAATCACTGGGAACAGGGATTAGAAAGCGAGATTCTATGGGATGAGATGGGATCTCATGGGAATGGGGATGGGATGGGAACAGGGATGGGATGGGTTAGGGAATGGGGATAGGATGGGATCCCATGGGATGGGATGGGATGGGATGGGAATGGGGATGGGACAGGAATGGGGATTGGTTCTCAGGGTGGTAGTACCCGAAATCACTGCAGGAACAGGGAATGGGATGGGATCCCATGGGATACGAATGGGAATGGGAATGAGAATGGGATGGGAATGGGAATGGGATGGGGATGGGATGACAACAGGAACAAGGATGGGATGTAGACAGGGATGGGATGGGGCTGTGCTGGGATGGTCTGGGATGGGCTGGGCTGGGCTGGACTGGGCTGGCTCCATACCACAGGAAGTCCTGCAGGGTGCAGGGGCACACGGAGCGCTGGGGGCTGGGATGGGATGGTTTGGGATGGGATGGTTTGTGTTGGTTTGGGGCTGTGCTGGGATGTTTTGGGGCTGTGTTGGGATGGTGTGGGATGGTTCCATACCACAGGAAGTCCTGCAGGGTGCAGGGGCACACGGAGCGCTGGGGGCTGGCGGCGAAGGCGCGGCCGTTGCGGCACAGCGAGGCCTTGCGCAGGCGCCGGAACTGCTCCTTGTAGCCCAGCACGCAGCCGTCACTGGGGGCACTGGGGTCACTGGAGTGGGCCAGCCAGATGGTGTAGTCCTTGTCCTCGCCTGCTCAGGGCACGGGGACACGGGGAGGGGACATGGGGAGGGGACACAGACATGGACACAGACACAGGTGGGCCTGGAGAGCCACAACCAGCCACGTGTGCCCAGCCCAGGACATCCCAGCTCCAGCCTGGCCCCGTGTGCCCAGCTCAGCTCCCAGTCTGTCCCCATCCCAGTCTATCCCTGCTGTTCCCATAGTCCTCATCCCAGTTTATCCCCATCCCAGCTGTCCCCATCCTTGGCTGTCCCCTGCTGTCCCTCTCCATCGCCCCCAGCCCATCCTGTCCCCATCCCCTCCATCCCCTATATCCCCTCCATCCCCCCATCCATCCATCCCTCCACCCCTCGACCCACCATATCCCCCTCATCCCCTTCATCCCCCCATCCACACTTTCCTCCATCTCCTCATCTCCCATATCCTCTCTATCCCTCCATCCCTCCCTCCCTCCATCCCTCCATTCACACCTCCCTCCATCTCTCCAACCCCCATATCCCCTCCATCCCTCCCTCCCCTCCATTCCCTCCATCCCATCCACTCTTATCTCCATCCATCCATCCCTCCCTCCCCATATCCCTTCCATCCATCCCCCTCCCTCCATCCCTCCCTCCATCCCTCATATCCCCTCTATCCCTCCATTCCCTCCATCCCATCCACTCCTCCTCCATCCATCCCCCATTTCCCCCTCCATCCCCTCCATCCCCATATCCCTCATCCTCTGTATCTCCTCCATCCCCATCCCCTTCATCCCTCCATCCCTCCCTCCCCCATCCCTCCCCCTCCCCCATGCCCTCACAGGTCCTGCTGAGCAGCTCCCCAAAGTCCACGGTGTAGGACACCCAGTGCCGTGCGGGGAAGGCCCCGCGGAAGCCCCAGATGCTGACGGTGCTGGAGCGAGCGCCCGGCTCCGACGCCAGCCCCGTGAAGAACAGCGGCTCGGGGGAGAAGGTGTGGCTGTACCAGCACTGCCCCTCGTCCGGGGAGAACCTGGGGGACAGGGGGACACTCAGGGACAATCTGGGGTGTACCAGCACTGCCCCTCGTCCAGGGAGAACCTGGGGGACAGGGGACAGTCGGGGACCACCAGGGACCCCCAGAAACAACTTGGGCTGTACCAGGACTGCCCCTCGTCCTGGGAGAACCTGAGGGGGACAGGGGAAGACTCAGGGACACTCAGGGACAATCTGAGGCTGTCCCACAGCTCAGGGACCACCAGGGACAACCTGGGCTGTCCCAGCACTGCCTCTCATCTGGGGAGAACTTGGGGGTGTGGGGACACTCAGGGACCATCAGGGACAACCTGGGCTGTACCAGCACTGCCCCTCATCTGGGGAGAACCTGGGGGGACAGGGTGCACAGTCAAGGACCCCCGGAGTGAACCTGGGGGGCATCATAGCTCAGGGATCACTGGGGAGGGGGATATCCCAAAACCAAGGACCACCAGGGACAACCTGGGCTGTCAGAGCACTGCCCCTTGTCCAGGGAGAACTTGAGGGGGACAGGGGAAGACTCAGGGACCACCAGGGACAATCTGAGGCTGTCCCAGCACTGCCCCTCATCTGGGGAGAACTTGAGGGTGTAGGGACAGTCAGGGACCACCAGAGTGAACCTGGGGGGAACCACAGCTCAGGGACCACTGGGGAGGGGGATACCCCAAAAACAGGGACCACCAGGGACAACCTGGGGGCACCAAGGGACAGTCAGGGACCATTGGGTGAACCTGGGGGACCCCATAGCTCAGGAACCCCCGGGGTGAACCCAGGGACCCCCCCAAACCCAAGGGATGCCCCAAACACAGGAAGTCCCCAAAGCCAGGGACACTCCAAAGCCCAGGGACCCCCAGACCCCCCCCACTCACAGCAGGGTGCTGAGGGGCTGGCTGGTGTGCTGGATGGCCACGAGCAGCCCCCCCGAGTCGAGGATGGCGTAGTGGTGGGGCCCCCGCAGGGTCCTGGCCCAGCTGTAGCCGCCGTCGTCCGAGATGTAAACGTCGGGGCTCATCACCGAGATGGCCCCCCCGACGCTCCCTGCGGGCTCACGTCAGCCTGGGGGGCTCAGGGGGGGTCCCTGTGCCCCACTCAGACCCTCCCAATGCTCCTTGAGGGCTCAGGTCAGTCTTGGGGGGGTCTCCACAACCCCCCAGCCCCCCCCAATGCTCGCTGGGGGTTCAGTCTGGGGGTGTCCCTGTGCTTCCCCCTAGACCCCCCCAACACTCCCAGGGGGCTGTGGTCAGTCTGGGGGCCCTAGGGGGGGTCCCTGCAGTCCCCCCCTTGCCCCCCCCAACACTCCCTGAGGGCTCAGGTCAATCTAGGGGTGTCCCTGTGCCCCTCCTCAGACCCTCCCAACACTCCCTGAGGGCTCAGGTCAGTCTGGGGGGTACTGGGGGGGTCCCCACATCCTCCCCCCCAGCCCCCTCTGATGCTCCCTGGAGGGTCAGGTCAGTCTGGGGGGCTCTAGGGGGGGTCCCTACACCCCCATCGGCCCCCCCAACATACCCTGAGGGCTCAGTCTGGGGGTGTCCCTGCAGCCCCCCCTTGGTCCCCCAACACTCCCAGGGGGCTGTGGTCAGTCTGGGGGCCCTAGGGGGTGTCCCTGTGCCCCTCCCCACACTCCCAGGGGGCTGTGGTCAGTCTGGGGGCCCTGGGGGGTGTCCCCCCCCCGTACCGTGGGCGATGACGATGCCCACGGCGTTGGGCTCGGACAGGGGGGCCATGGGCACGTTGAGCTTCTGCGAGATGCTGTACGAGGCGTGGATGTGGAGGCTGCACTGCAGGGGGGGGCAGCGTCACACAGGGGGCACTGGGACCACCACAGACCCCCACGGGGCACTGGGACCACCAGAGACCCCCACGGGACACTGGGACCCCCATGGGGCTCACGGGACCCCCGTGGCATCCATGGGACCCCCATGGGGCTCACAGGACCACCACAGGGCCCATGGGACACCCATGGGACCCCACAACATCCATGGACCTCCCACAGCACCCCCAGGCCTCCCACACGACCCCCATTATTCCCACGGGACCCCTCACAGCATCCATGGACCCTCATGGCACCCACAGGACCCCAACAGCATCCACAGGCCCCCCGTGGGGCACATGGGACCCCCACAGCACCCCCAGAGGACCCCCAACCCCACATGGCACCCCTGGGACCCCCTTCCAGATCCCCCAAATGCCCTCCCAACCCCCCCAGTTTGGGGGTCCCAGCCAGGGGGTCCCACCCACCTCCTCCCCTCCCCAGCCCCCCAACCTGGGGGTCCCACATGGGGTTTGCACCCACCCACCCCCTCCGCCTGCAGCCCTCAGCCTGGAGGTCACCCCGGGGGTCTTGCCCCACTTTGGGGGTCTCCCCCCTCATTTGGGGTCTCCCTCTCCCTTTGGGGCCTCCCCTTTCCTTTGGGGTTCCTCCCATCCTTTGGAGGTCCCCCCTTCCCCACCTTTGGGGTCTCCTCCCCGCATCTTTGAGAGTCCCTCCCACCTTTGGGGTCTCCCTCTCCCTTTGGGGGCCCTGTCCCACTTTGGGGGTCCTGCCTTCCCTTGGGGTTCCCCCCCTCTTTGAGTTTCCCCCCTCCCTTTGGGGTCTCCTCCTCCCTTTGGGGTTCTCCTCCCCTTTTTGAGGTTCCTCCTCCCTTTGTGGGTCCCCCTCTCCCTTTGCAGATTCCCTTCTCCCTTTGGGGGTCTCTCCCCTCCCTTTGAGGTCCCCCCTCCATTTTTGGGGTCCCCCTCTCTGGGGTCCCCCCAGGTCCCACCTGGTCCCCGCTGCGGGCGGTGGAGTCGCAGGAGCTGTCGAGGGGTCTGCGCAGGGGCACCCACTGCCCCCCCCGGTCGAAGGTGATCACGGACTGGATGGAATTGTCTGGGATGGAGCACCGGGAACGGCAGGGAATGAGGGGGGGGTCAGCACAGACACCCCCAGCACCCCCAGAGGGGCAGGGGCAGGGTCATGCCCTCCCCTCCCACCCACATCCCATCCCATCCCATCCCATCCCAGGGGTGGGATCCCCCTCCCCTCCATCCCCCCAGATCCCAGCCCCAGGGGTGGATCCCAAATCCCTGTGTGTGTGTGTCCCCATCCCAGATCCCAGGGGTGGATCTAAGATATCAGAACTGGATCCCAGTGGCAGCTCCCAGGGGTGGATCCCAGATCCCAGAATGGATCCCAGGGGCTGATCCCAGGGGTGAAACCAGGGGCAAATCCCAGGGTGGATCCTGGGGCAGATTCCAGAGTGGATCCTCTATCCCAGGGTGGATTCTGGGGTGGATCCCAGGGTAGATCCTAGGAGTGGATGCCCTATCCCAGTGTAGATCCCAGGGGTAGATCCCATATTCCAGGGGTGGGTCCTGGGGCAGATCCAGGGGTGGATCCCAGAGATGGATCCCAGGGGTGGATCTCATATCACAGGGTTGATCCCCTATCTCAGGGTGGATTCCAGGGGCAGATCTCTGGGGTGGATCCCATATCCCAGAGGTGGATCCCACATCCCATGGTCGATCCCACATCCCGTGGTCGATCCCACATCCCATGGTCGATCCCACATCCCACGGTCGATCCCACATCCCACGGTCGATCCCACATCCCATGGTCGATCCCACATCCCAGGGGTCAATCCCATATCCCAGAGGTGGATCCCACATCCCGTGGTCGATCCCACATCCCAGAGCGGATCCCACATCCCACGGTCGATCCCACATCCCACGGTCGATCCCACATCCCAGGGCTGGATCCCACATCCCAGGGGTAGATCCCATATCCCAGGGCTGGATCCCACATCCCACGGTCGATCCCACATCCCAGGGCGGATCCCACATCCCACGGTCGATCCCACATCCCAGGGCGGATCCCACATCCCGTGGTCGATCCCACATCCCAGGGCGGATCCCACATCCCAGGGCGGATCCCGTGCCAGCTGCGGGCACACCGTCAGACAGGACGCTGGTGATGAAGGTGCCCCTGAGGGAGGTGACGTTGGTGAAGTCGGTCTCCCCGCCCGTGGTCGTGTACAGGTGCCTCTCCAGGGACTTGGAGTAGATGATCCCGCGGTCGTCGGACGTGTAGATGGTCCCGAATCCCGTGTCTGCTCCGGGGGCGGGGCGGGAGCCACGGAGTGCCCGGGAATGTGGGGAATTAGAGGGGTCCCACAGGAAAACCCCCAGAGCTTCCCGTTGGTGTCCCAACATCCCTGCCCGCTCCTGATCCCGGATCCCGCTCCCAATCCCAGATCCCAACCCCAGCTCCTGCTCCCAACCCCAGCTCCTGCTCCCAATCCTAATCCTGCTCCTGCTCCTGGCTCCTGCTCTGAATCCAGGATCCCGCTCCTGGATCCCACTCCCAATCCCAGCTCCCGGTTCCTGCTCCCACTCCCCATCCTGGATCCCACTCCCAGCTCCTGCTTGCAATCCCAGCTCCCACTCCCAACCTCAGATCCCACTCCTGGATCCCACTCCCATCTCCCAATCCCAGATCCTGCTCCCACTCCTGGCTCCCGCTCCCACTCCCAGCTCTTAATCCCACTCCAACTCCCATCTCCCATTCCCAACCCCAGCTCCTGCTCCCAATCCCAGATCTCGTTCCCACTCCCAGTTCCGGCTCCCAATCCCAGCTCCTGCTCCCAGATCCCACTCCCAATCCCAGATCCCAATCCCATCTCCTGCTCCCACTCCTGCTCTCAGATCCCGCTCCCACTTCTGGTTCCCACTCCCAATCCTGGCTCCTGCTCCCAATTCCAGCTTCCACTCCCAATCCCAGATCCCGTTCCTGGATCCCGCCTCCCAGCTCCCAATCCCAGCTCCCACTCCCACTCCTGGCTCCCACTTTCAATCCCAGCTCTCAATCCCACTCCCAGCTCTCAATCCCACTCCCAGCTCCCATTCCCAATCCCATATCTCGTTCCCACTCCCAGCTCCAGCACCCAATCCCATCTCCCACTCCCAGATCCCACTCCCGATCCCATCTCCCACTCCCACTCCCAGCTCCTGCCCTCAGATCACACTCCCAATCCTGGTTCCTGCTCCCAATTCCAGCTCCCACTCCCAATCTCAGATCCCATTCCTGGATCCCGCTCCCAGCTCCCACTCCCAATCCCACTCCCATCTCCCAATCCCAATCCCAGCTCCCACTCTGAATCCCAGATCCTATGCCAATCCCAGCTCCCACTCCCAGCTCCCACTCCCTCTCCCAGCTCCTGCTTCCAGTTCCTGCTACTGCTCCTGCTCCCAGCTCCCATTCCCATCTCCCACTCCCTCTCCCTCTCCCAATCCCAACTCCCACTCCCAATCCCAGCTCCTGCTCCCACTCCTGCCCCCAGATTCCACTCCCAATCCTGGTTCCCACTCCCAATCCCAGCTCCCAATCCCACTCCTGTCTCCCAAACCCACTCCCATCTCCCAATCCCAGCTTGCACTCCCTCTCCTGGCTCCTCCTTCCAGCTCCCATTCCCGGTCCCGCTGGGTCACCTCCGGGCTCATCCACGTGCATGAACACGAGGTCGTCGTTGGCGGCCAGGATGGAGTAGAACTGCTCGTGTCCCACCGAGGGCAGCTGGGCCATGTTCCACGAGTCCCCCCCGTCCAGCGACACGTGGATGCGCCGCGTGAAGCCCTGCGGGAGCGGCAGAGCCGGGATAACCCGGGATGGGACCGGGATAACCCAGGATGGGATCGGGATAACCCGGGATAGGATCGGGATGGGATCGGGATAACCCTGGGATGGGATCGGGATAACCCAGGATGGGACCGGGATGGGATCAGGATAACCCCGGGATGGCACCGGGATGGGATCGGGATAACCCTGGGATGGGACCGGGATGGGATCGGGATAACCCCGGGATGGCACCGGGATGGGATTGGGATAACCCGGGATAGCACCGGGAAAATACGGGATGGCACCGGGATAACCCTGGGATGGGATCGGGATAACCCCAGGATGGGATCAGGATAACCCCGGGATGGCACTGGGAAAACCCTGGGATAACCCCTGGGATGGCACCAGGATAACCCCTAGGATGAGACCAGGATAACCTCAGGATGGGACTGGGATAATCCCAGGATGGCACTGGGATAATCCCCAGGATGGCACCAGGAAAACCCGGGATGGCACCAGGAAAACCCGGGATGTCACTGGGATAATCCCAGGACGGCACCAGGAAAACCCGGGATGGCACCGGGATAACCCCTGGAATAAACCTGGGATGGCACCGGGATAACCCTGGGATGGGATCGGGATAACCCTGGGATGGGATCGGGATAACCGGGATGGCACTGGGATAACCCCTGGGATGGCACCGGGATGGCACCAGGATAAACCCGGGATGAGACCGGGATAACCTCGGGATGGGATCAGGATAATCCCAGGATGACACTGGGAAAACCCCTGGGATGGCACTGGGATGGCACCGGGATGGGATCAGGATAACCCAGGGATAACCTCGGGATGGCACCAGGATAACCCCCAGGATGGCACTGGGATAAACCCCGGAGAAGGCGGGGAAAGGGCGGGATCAGCACCTGCTCCGTCATGACGGAGGCGAAGAGGAAGCGGCCGCCCATCCCGAAGGAATAGATCCGGGAGCCGATCACCTGGAAGCTCCTGCCCAGGTCCGGGGTTTTCTTCAGCTCCAGGAATCCCAGATCAGCTTCTTAAGGCAGCGGGATGAGGGGGGAGGGGTCAGGGAGTTTGGGATCTCCCCAAAAAAAAACCCTCCCCCCCCCCAAATCCCACGGGACTCACTGCAGGAATCGTTCAGGAAGGTGGTGAAGAAGATGGTGTCGTTGTCGCCCCTGGGGGAACGGGGAATGCGGGAATTCAGCCCCGGGAAAAGGGGAATTCAGGCCAGGGAGGTCGTTTTGGGGAGGGGACTCCCAAAATCCCTCGGGCAGGGACTCACCACTTGGCCAAGCACACGGATTTGTGGATCTCCCGCCAGTGCTCCCCGAAATCCGAGGAGATCCAGAGCCCATTCTGGGACAGAGGGGAGCGGGATGGGCCCCCCAGCACCCCCAGTGTCCCCAGACACCCCACAGGTGTCCCCAAACACCCCAAAGGTGTCCCCACGCCCCCCACAGGGATCCCAGTCACCCCACAGGTGTCCCCAGCACCCCACCAGTGTCCCCAAGTTGCTCCCTGAGTCTCCCCAGTTGCCCCCAAATGTCCCCAGTTCCCCCCCGTGTCCCCAGCTGCCCCCCCAGTGCCCCCAGTTCCCCATCACTGTCCCCAGTTCCCCCAAATGTCCCCAGTGCCCCCAGTTCCCCCAGTGCCCTCAGCTGCCCTTCTACTTGGCCCTTGAATGTCCCCAGTTGCCCCCAGTTTCCCCACCAGTGCCCCCATTTTCCCCTCCGTACCCCAGTTACCCCATCACTGTCCCCAGTGGTCCCCCAGTTGCCCCAGTTCCCAGTGTCCCCAGTGTCCCCATTTCCCCTCTCAGTGTCCTCCAGTTCCCCTCCAGTGTCCCCAGTTCCTCCCCAGTTCCCCCACTGTCCCCAGTTGCCCCAGTTCCCCCCATGTCCCCAATTGCTCCCCCAGGGCCCCAGTCCCCCCAGTTGTCCCTCTAGTCCCCAGTCCCCCAGTCCCCCAGCTGCCCCATCACTGTCCCCACTTGCCCCAGTTCTCCCCTATTTCCCCCACTGTCCCCAGTTGCCCCCAAATGTCCCCAGCTGCCCCAAAAGTGTCCCCAGTACCCCTCCCCATGTCCCCAGTTGCCCCATCACTGTCCCCAGTTGCCCCAGTTCCCCCTCCACTGTCCCCAGTCCCCCTCCAATGCCCCTCCCCAGTGTCCCCACTGTCCCCATTTGCCCCAGTTCCCCTACCAGTCCCCCAATTGCCCTCCTCAATTCCCTGGGTTCCGCCCCAGTGTCCCCAGTTCCCAGCTCAGTGTCCCCAGTTTCCTGTCACTGCCCTAGTGCCCCAGTTACCTAGTTCTCCTCCAGTGTCCCAGTTCCCCTCCAGTGTCCCCAGTTCCCCATCCGTGTCCTCAGGTGCCCCCAGTGCCCTCAGTTGCCCCAAAAGTGTCCCCACTGTTCCCATTTGCCCCAGTTCCCCCCCCAGTTGCCCCCTCAATGCCCCCAGTTCCCCCTCCAGTGTCCCCAGTTACTCCCCCAGTCCTCCCAGTTGGCTCCCCCAGTCCCCCCCAGTTCCCCACCTGCGTGCTGAGTGCCAGGAGGCTGCGGGGGCTGCGGGGGCTGTAGGAGATCTGGGCCAGGGGGTGGAAGGGCAGCTCGGTGGGCACGAAATTCCGGGCGAAATCCCAGGAGCGGAAAATCCTCCCCCCCCGGGACCCCCCGGACACGTCCCCCGTCAGGATCACCTGCGGACAACGGCAGGTTGGGGGAAAGGGGGTTTTTGGGGGGTTTTTGGGGGGTTTGGGGGTGGATTGGTTGGGAATCTGGGGGGTTTAGGGGAGATTTGGGGGAATTTGGGGGTATTTTAGGGGGATATGGGGGAGATGTTTGGGAATTTAGGGGAGATTTTTGGGGGGATTTCAAAGGAGACTTCAGAGATTTTGGGTTGTATTTGGGAATTTGGAGGATTGTAGGAGGATTTTTGGTGGAATTTCCAGGGCACTTGAGGGAATTCTAGGGAGATTCGAGGAGATTTTAGGAGGATTTGGGGAAGCTTTTGGGGGATTTTAGGGGGATTTCGGGGCATTTGGGTGGAATTCGAAGGGATTTGAGGGAGATTTTGAGGGGGAATTTCTGGGGATTTCAGGGGACTTTGGTGGAATTTTGGGGCATTTGGGGAAGATCTGGGGGGATTTTAGGGGGGTTTAGGGGATATTGGTGGAATTTTAGGGGATTTAAGGAAGATTTGGGGAGATTCCAAGGGAATTTGAGGGAATTTTGGGGGGGATTTGGGGGATTTTGGGGTGGACTTAAGGGTGTTTAGGAAAGATTGGGGGGGATTTTGGTGGAATTTCAGGGGATTTGAGGGAATTCTGAGGGCGATTTGGGGGATTTGGGGAAGCTTTAAGGGGGATTTGGGAGTATTTTAGGGGGGTTTCAGGAGGCTTCGTTGGAATTTTGGGGAGGACTTGGGGAAGACTTGGTGGAAATTTGGGGGGATTTTTGGTGGAATTCGAAGGGATTTTAGGGAATTTTTGGGGGCATTCGGGGAGATTTTAGAAGGATTTCAGGGGACTTTGGTGGAATTTCAGGGCATTTGGGGGATTGTGATGCAATTTTACCCCGCACAAAACACAAAACACACCACAGGGGAATCCCAGGGAAAGCCGGGAGGCTCCCAAATTCCCGAATTCCTGGCTCCCTCCCCGAATTCCCGGCTCCCTGCCCACCTTGCCGGAGTTTTCGGGCCCGATGGCCATCCCGAACTCGGTGCGGATGAAGGTGTTGTTGATGAGCCCCGTGATATCCTTGAAGGTTTTCCCGTAATCCTCGCTGGAATTCCGCAGGCGTTAATGAAGGGGGTGTGGCTAAGGGAGGGCGTGGCTAAGGAGGGGGCTAAGGGGCAGGCGTGGCTAAAAGGGAGGAGCAGGGCTAAAAGGGGAGGGGGCGGGGCTAAAGGGGCCCGGTTTTGGGGGGTCCCCGGGGGGAATAAAGGGGGGGTCACCTGCGGTAGAGCTTGGACTGCCCGAAGCTCATGATGACCAGGGGCACCTGGAATGTCGTCAGGACCAGGATCACCTGGGAAAGGCCACGGGGGGGGTCACACGGGGGTCCCCCAACCCCATACAGAGGGGGGGGCCCCTCCCCATGGGGGAACAGGGGGACCCCCAACCCACCGGACACGGGGGGGACCAAGGGACCCCCCCAGTCCCATAAAGATGGACAGGGACCCCAAGACCCACAGAGACAGGGGGACCCCAAGACCCACAGGAACATTTGGGGGACAGAGACCCCCAACCCACAGGAACAGGGGGACAGGGGGATCCCAAATCCACTGGACATGGGGGGACAGGGAGACCCCCAAACCCACAGGACATGGGGACATAGGAGGACCCCCAACCCACAGGACATGGGGACACAGGGGAACCCCCAACCCACAGGACATGAGGCAGACAGAGAGACCCCCAACCCCCAGGATATGGGGGGACAGAGACCTCAACCCCACAGGGATAGGGGGGGACAGAGGGACCCCCAATCCCACAGGGAAGAGCCCCCAACTCACGGACATAGGGGGGACAGAGAGACCCCCAACCCACAGGACATGGGGGGGACAGAGGGACCCCCAACCCACAGGGACAGGGGGACAGGGGGACCCCCAACCCATGGAGGAACACAGGGACCCCCCAACCCACAGGACATGGGGGGACAGAGACCTCAACCCCACAGGGACAGGGGGGTACAGACAGACCCCAAACCCACAGGATATGGGGGCACAGAGGGACCCCCAGTCCCCCAGCAGGGGGTTCACAGCCCCTCGGGGGGACACTGGGACCCCGCTGTGCCCCCCCAGCGCTCACCCCGGTGCTGTCGCCCACCCAGGACAGGGACACGGAGCCACTCAGGTCATCGAAGACACACTGCGGGGGGACACACGTCACAGGGACCCCCGGAGCTCGGGGGGACAGCAGGGGGACCCCACAGGGACAGACACACCCCCCCAGGGCAGGGCTGTCCCCTGCCACCCACCCAGGACGGTGACACCGACCTGTCCCCTCCCTCAGCCCCCCCCAGGCCGTGCTGGGACCCCCCAGCCCAGGGGGGACCGGTGGGGCTGGGGACACTCGTGGGAGCCTGTCTGTCGCTCTGTCCGTCTGTCGCTCTGTCTTTCGCTCTGTCAATCTATCTCCCCATCAGTCCATCAGTCCCCTGTCCCTCGGTCTATCCCCCAGTCCGTCCATGTCCCCATCAGTCCCCCTGTCCCTCGGTCTGTCCCCCAGTCCGTCCATGTCCCCATCAGTGCCCCTGTCCCTCGGTCTGTCCCCCAGTCCGTCCATGTCCCCATCAGTCCCCCTGTCCCTCGGTCTATCCCCCAGCCCGTCCATGTCCCCATCAGTCCCCCTGTCCCTCGGTCTGTCCCCCAGTCCGTCGGTCGTTCCGCCCGTCCCGCAGGGCGGGGGCGGGGCGGGAGTTGCGTGTGCCGCCCGGCCCGGCCGGAGGGCGGAGTGTCCCAGCTGTGTCCCAGCCGTGTCCCCGCTGTCCCCCCGCTCCCTGCACGGCCCCCTCCCCTCTCTCTGTCCCTCCGTCGCTCTGTCCGCCCGCCCGCGCTCACCTGGTGCGTGTTGTTGCCGAGCGCGGCCGCCGCCCCTGCAAGGCGGCGCAGGCCTCTCCTCCTCCTCCGCCACGGGGGTGCCGGTGCGGGCCGCGGTGCCTCAGCCCCGGCGCGGCCCCCGCGGCCACGGCCAGGCCGAGCCCGAGCCCGAGCGCCAGGCCCAGGGCCCGGCCCGGCCCCGCGCCCGCCCCGCGCCGCGGCCCCATCGCGACTCCCGGCCCCGCCAGCGCCGCGCCCGCCGCGCCCCGCCCCGCGCCTCCCATTGGTCGCCGCGCCGCACCCCCGCGCTCTGATTGGCTGGCACAGCTGTCGCTCAAGGCGCGGCCCCGCCTCCCACTTGCCGTCATGACTCGCCCTGCTCTGATTGGTTCTGGCGGGTTGTCAATCAGCACCACCTCCTGTCGCGATTGGCCGGCGGTGCTTGCACCATGGGTGTGAGCCCGCCCCTCTGCCCGGTGACCCCCGTGCGCTAATCTACCTAGCGACGTCCTCTCATTGGCGGGCGGCGCGGCGGGGATTTTTCTGATTGGCCGGATGCACAGGTGGCGGGGGGCGCGCCGGGCCCACCCGGGCGGGTGGGAAAGGGACGGAGCCCACGTGCGTGGGGACCCCCGGGGGGCGGTTGGAGGGTCCCGGAGAGGGGACGGGGGGCTCGGGGTGGGGACACGGGGTGGGGACAGGGGGCCTGGAGCGGTCCCGGCACGGGGACAGGGGGCTCAGGCCGGGGCGCGAGGTCGCGACTAGGGGGGACATTGGGGGTCCTGGCGTGGGGACAGAGGGGTCCCGGGGCCGGGAGGGGGGGTCCCTGCGTGGGGACGGGGGGCGCACAACCGCCTGGAGCAGTCAGTGCCACTCCTGACGCGACAAAAACACCCCCCACCCCCCAAAAAACCCGGGGGGGCTGCACATGGAAAACCCACTCCCCCCTCGGGAGCAGCGACCGGGAGCTCCCGGAATTCCCAGCCCAGCACGGACGGGATTGACCCTCGCCCCGCATTAAAAATAAAAAAGAGGGGAAAAAATATGGAATTTTCGTTGTGCCGAGGGGAAAATTTCATCTTCCTGCCTCGTTTATTCCCTTTTCCCGGAAGAAGAGGAGCGGGGAAAGGGCTCCGGGATGGATCCCACACGGAGCGCAAGGGCCCGAGCAGCCAAGGATTGGGGGCGTTCAGGGACATTTCTGAGGTAAAAAAAGGCAGATTTGGGGGCACGGAGGAGAATTTGGGGTGGAAAAGGGCAGATCTAGGGTGGGAAATGCAGATTTTGGGGTGCAAAAGGGAAATTTGGGGTGGAAAAGACAAATTTTGGGGTGCAAAAGGGAGATTTTCGGGGAGAGGGGAGGGGGAGGGAGTCCTGAGGGAAATCCTGAGGGAAAAAGGAGCTGATTTTGGGGTCTGGATCACATTTAGAGGTAAAAAAAAGGTAGATTTGGAGGTGATGAGGCAAATATTGGGGGGATGGGGACATTCCTGAGGTTAAAAAACATCAGATTTGGGGTTCTGAAGTAGATTTTTGGATGGAAGAGGCAGATTTTGGGATGGAAGAGGCAGATTTGGGGGGGTGGGAAGAAAACCTGAGGGAAAAGAAGCTGGTTTTGAGGAGAAAAGTGCAGATTTGGGGGTGATAAGACAAATATTGGGAGGGTGGGGACATTCCTGAGGTAAAAAAAAATCTGATTTGGAGGCCTGGAGTAGATTTTGGGGTGGAAAAGTGAAATTCTGGGGTGGAAAAAGCAGATTTTGGGGGGGTGGGAGGAAATCCTGAGGGAGAACGTGTGGATTCAGGGGAACAAAATCTGAGGTAAAAAATCAGATTTGGGAGCCTGGAGTAGATTTAGGGGTGAGAGAGGCAGATTCTGGGGTGGAAAAAGCAGATTTTGGGGTGGAAAAGGCAGATTTTGGAGGGTGGGAAGAAATCCTGAGGGAAAAGAAGCTGATTCTGAGGGGGAAAGTGCAGATTTGGGGGTGATAAGACAAATATTGGGGGGTGGGGACATTCCTGAGGTAAAAAAAACTGATTTGGGGGTCTGGAGTAGATTTTGGGGTGGAAAAGTGAAATTTTGGGGTGGAAAAAGCAGATTTTGGGGGGGTTGGGAGGAAATCCTGAGGGAGAACGTGTGGATTCAGGGGGAACAAAATCTGAGGTAAAAATCAGATTTGGGAGCCTGGAGTAGATTTAGGGGTGAGAGAGGCAGATTCTGGGGTGGGAAAAGCAGATTTTGGGGTGGAAAAGGCAGATTTTGGAGGGTGGGAAGAAATCCTGAGGGAAAAGAAGCTGATTCTGAGGGGGAAAGTGCAGATTTGGGGGTGATAAGACAAATATTGGGGGGTGGGGACATTCCTGAGGTAAAAAAATCTGATTTGGGGGTCTGGAGTAGATTTTGGGGTGGAAAAGTGAAATTTTGGGGTGGAAAAAGCAGATTCTGGGGGGGTTGGGAGGAAATCCTGAGGGAGAACGTGTGGATTTGGGGGGGAACAAAAGGTCCCCTGGCGATGCCACCCCGGCCTTGTGACAGGAGGGGACACAAAGGGCTGGTTATGGGGAACAAAAGGGCTTTTGTGTCCCTGGGACACAAACAAAAGCAGCTGGAACAGCCCCCAGGAGCCCCCCCCGGGCCTCATTCCCGCATTCCCGGTGGGAAATGGTGTCTTTCCAAAGGGAAAATGTCGTTAATGGATTAATTGATGTTCCCACCTGCAGGGCCAGGGGTTGGATCCCACCCCACCTGCAAAGTTTTCCTGGAATTGGGATTGGAAGTTGCAATTTATTCAGGAATTGGGGTTTGAAACTGGAAGTTATTCAGGAATTGGGATTTAAAATTGTAATTTATTCAGAAATTGAAATTTGAAATTGACAATTTATTCAGGAGCTGGAATGTCTCCTGGAAGTGGGATTTAAAATTGCAATACATTCAGGAATTGGGAATTGAAAATTGTAATTTATTCAGGAATTGGAATCTGAAACTGGAATGTCTCCAAGAATTGCAATTTAAAATTGACAATTTATTCAGAAACTGGAATTTCTCCTGGAACTGGGATTTAAAATTGCAATTTATTCAGGAATTAGACTTTGAAACTGGAATTTATTCAGGAATTGGAATTTAAGATTGTAATTTACCTTGGAATTGGGATTTTAAATTGGAATTTCTCCTGGAATTGGGATTTAAAATTGCAGTTTATTCAGGAACTGGAATTTATTTGGGAATTGGGATTTAAAATTTCAATTTCTCCAAGAATTGGAATTTAAATTTGACAATTTATTCAGGAACTGGAATTTATTCAGGAATTGGGATTTAAAATTGCAATTTCTCCTGGAAATGGGATTTTGAATTGGAATTTCTCCTGGAATTTAATTCCCAGGCCTCTCCCCTTCCCAGGCAGAGCTGCTTTTCCCCACAGCCCCAATTTCACAGGAAAACACTCTCATAATCTCACTTTATTCCCTGATCAGACTGATCCTTGATTCCCAGGTTCTTTCTGGAGGGCAGGGATAGAAATTCCCGCTGGAGAACGAGAAACCAAGGGAGGAAAAATGGGATAAGCAGGAATTGTTTGGTCCAAATCGGGGTTAAACTCCCAAAATCCGCAGGATTTGAGGCCTTGGATCCCTCTCCCTGCTTGGTGGGCTCTGCTTTATGACTTTCCAGGGATTTTTCCAAGCTTTTTTTTAGGGATTTTTCCCAGGAAACCCCAAACCCCGAGGTTATGGGAAGGAGTGGGAGCTCCTGGGATGTTTTATGGATAAAAACCACTGGAAAAAGGAGCAGGGGGAAGGCAGGGAATGCACCCAAACAGGTCCAAGCAGCTCAGAAAACCCGGATTTTTTTACAAGGATCCGTGGGATCCCACCTGGAATTCCCCCTGGATTCGCCACGAGAGGGAGACTCTGCCCCAGCAGAGCCCCCAATCCCAGCTCCAAACCCTCCCTCTTCCCACTTTTCTCCCCCTCCTCTCCCAGGGCCCCAAAGGGAATAATAAAATCATTTATTTCCTTCCCCTCCTCAGTTCTGTCCACAAAGAGTACAAAAATCTCCAGATCCGGTGGGATAAAGGAGAGGGAATCCCGGGAACTGGGAGAGTTCCTTTGATTTGGGGGGGTGGGAAATTGTGGGGTTTGGGATTTTGTTTTTTTTTCCTTGTTTTTCAGATATCCTTGATAACCTCTTCCAGCTCCTCCTTGGTGTACATGTGGAATTTCATCCCAGGCTCCACCGTGGCCAGCTGGAAAACAGGGAATGAGAGGGGTTAAGTGGCTTGAGGGAAAAGCAGGGGGAGCAGCTGTTCCCTGGGCTGGGATCATTCCAGCCCTCATTCCCTAAAATAGCTGCCCAGAGAGCTGGGCATGGGCTCAGGCTCCTCCAGGAGCAGGGAATTGCAGTGGGAGCAGGAGGGAGCTGGGATAGGACAAGAAGGACCTGGGATGGGGCAGAAATGACCTGGGATGGGGCAGGAACCGCCTGGGATGGGGCAGGAACGGTCTGGGATGGGGCAGGAACGGTCTGGGATGGGGCAGGAACCGCCTGGGATGGGGCAGGAACGGTCTGGGATGGGGCAGGAATGGCATGGGAAGGGGCAGGAACGATCTGGGAAGGGGCAGGAATGGCGTGGGAAGGGGCAGGAACAGTCTGGGATGGGGCAGGAATGGCATGGGATGGGGCAGGAACGATCTGGGAAGGGGCAGGAATGGCGTGGGATGGGGCAGGAATGGCCTGGGAAGGGGCAGGAATGGTCTGGGATGCTCCTGAAGTGGGAGCACAGTTGGACTCCTCAGGGTTGGAGTATCTGGATGCTCCCAGAGGCAGCTCTGGAGCATCCCAGCAGATCCCAGAGCTCTCCCGAGGATTCTGCTCCCAGAATTCCCCCCTGGAGCAGCACGAGGGGAGGGGCAGGATTTGGGGGGAGGGAGGGAGGTGATTCCCAGGAGAAACATCCCAACACTCAGCCTGGGAGCCCGGGTTTTACCGGGAATTCTGAGACACCTGGAGGTGCCCTTTAAATGCTGGGATGGTCTGGGTGGGAAGGGTCCTTAAATCCCATCCCATCCCATCCCATCCCATCCCACCCCTGCCAGGGGCACCTTCCACTATCCCAGCTTGCTCCAAGCTCTGTCCAGCCTGGCCTTGAGCACTTCCAGGGATGGAGCCTCCAAACCTGGATCAATCCTGGACCCCACCCAGCCAGGAACACCCCAAACCATCCCTAAATCCCCCCCAAAAAACCTGCACCAACCCCCAATCCCAGCTCTCCTCCAACCTTCCCATTCCCAAAACTGCTTGGACAGGCAAATCACTCCTCTCAAAATCCATAAAAACCCTTCCAGGCTGGAAAATCCCCCCCCAGAGCAGCAACTCCTTCCAGGAAGCCGAAGGGGTGAGCGAGGTGGGAACCTTTGGATCCCTCAGCACATTCCTGCCCTGCTGCCCCCCCTGGCAGCATTCCCAGCCCATTCCCAGCCCTGCCCACTGCAGGCACACTTAAGCCCCTGTTAAAAGTGGGAGATGACATCAGGATGCTGGAAACATTCCAGGGGCTGGGACAGCACCTGGGGAGCAGATTCCAGAGCTTTGGGACACGAGGATCCCGCTGTGCTCTTGGCATCCCCCCTCACCTTTCCCAAAGGGTTTTAATCCCAGCAGCAGGAATGCTGGAGCTAAACCCAGGCTTTCCAGGGAAAAGGGCTCCCAGCAGCCAGAGGGAAAAGGGATGAGAGGAGACAGGAGGAGCTGGAATGCCCTGCTTTGGAAAGGTCTGGTGTCTCATATCCCCCCAGAAATAGCAGCAGAACCCAATCCCGGGGCTGGCTCCTCATCTCCCACCCATCCCACCCAATCCACAGGGGGCTCCTGCCTTTCCCACCCTAAAAGGAGCCCCCAAGGAGCAGGTTTGGGGGGTCAGGGGCACCCCCCAGGCCGTGGGTCCTGCCGGGGTTCCAGGGGCACAGGGTCCTGCTCTGCCCCTCCGGGCATTCCTGGCACTGCCCCAGGCCGGATTTAGCAGCTGGAGACATTCCAGGCCTTCTGACATTACCGGGAATGGCTGAATCCAGGGGGACAAGGAGCCACTCAGGGGGGCACCCCAGGGCCCTGCTGGCTGGGGAAGGGCACAGAACCACTTCCCAACCTGGAGCAGCTGGGAAAACACACCAGGAAGGCACAGCACTCCAGCTCTTCCCACGCTGGAAGGGGCAGGAACATCAGCTGTTGGCTTGGGAAGGCCTGGGCTGCTCCTCCACCTCATTCCCAGCTCCAGGAAACCCTGGGCTGCTCCTCCATCTCATTCCCAGCTCCAGGAAGGCTTGGGCTGCTCCTCCATCTCATTCCCAGCTCCAGCAAACCCTGGGTTGCTCCATTCCCAGTTCCAGGAAGGTCTGGGCTGTTTCACCACCTCATTCCCAGCTCCAGGAAGGCCTGGATTGCCTCATTCCCAGCTCCAGGAAGGCCTGGATTGCTCCATTCCCAGCTCCAGGAAGGCCCTGGGCTGCTCCTCCACCTCATTCCCAACTCCAGGAAGGCCCTGGGCTGCTCCTCCACCTCATTCCCAACTCCAGGAAGCCTTGAGTTGTTCATTCCCAGCTCCATAAAACCCAGGGCTGCTCATTCCCAGCTCCAGCAAACCCTGGGCTGCTCCATTCCCAGCTCCAGGAAGGCCTAGGCTGCTCCTCCACCTCATTCCCACCCCCAGGACCATTCCCATTCCCATCCCCAGGACCATTCCCAGCCCCAGGACCATTCCCATTCCCACTCCCAGCCCGGGAGGCCTCACCTCAATGTTGGTGGCGTTGAGTTTCTCCTCCATCACCTGTTTCAGGATCACCAGGGACGATTTGATGGCCTCCTTCAGCGTCATGGACTGCAAAACACGCGATTCCTGCATTTCCCACCCCCAAAAATCCCCTTCCCAAATCCCTCCAGCCGGGATGGAGCAGCTTCTCCAGGGATCTGCAGCAGCAGCAGGGCAGGGACACCCTCAGGGATGCTCAAATCCTGCTTTTTTGGGCTTAAAACCCGGCATTTTGGGGCACAGAAATCCCACTGGTCGCTGGTTTGGTCGCCCCCTTCCCACAAAAAAAGCCCAATTCCCTCTTGGAAGAAGGTTTTAATCCCAGAAATCCCTGCAGGAAGCCCCAGAGCCCAGAACTGGGGTGATTCCCAGGGGATTAAGGACTCTTCCCAGCCGTCTCCACGTGGTAGAGGGTTGGGAATCGAGGGGGCATCCACAATCAGGAGAATTCCAGGGGAGAAAGGAGTTCTCCCAGCCTTTTGCACTTGGAACAGGGTTGGGAATAGGCAGGACTCAGAATTAGGAAAATTCCAGAGGATAAATGGCTCTTCCCTGCTGGGAGGGGCTGGGAGACAGTGGGAGATGCTGGGAGGTGCTGGGAGATGCTGGGAGATACTGGTTGATGCTGGGAGATACTGGGAGGTGCTGGGAGATACTGGGAGGTGCTGGGAGATACTGGGAGGTGCTGGGAGACTCTGGGAGACTCTGGGAGGTGCTGGGAGATGCTGGGAGATGCTGGGAGGTACTGGGAGGTACTGGGAGGTACTGGGAGGTGCTGGGAGATGCTGGGAGATGCTGGGAGGTGCTGGGAGGTGCTGGGACATACTGGGAGAACCTGGGAGATGCTGGGAGACTCTGGGAGATGCTGGGAGACTCTGGGAGATGCTGGGAGACTCTGGGAGGTGCTGGGAGACTCTGGGAGGTACTGGGAGACTCTGGGAGGTGCCAGGAGGTGCCGAGGTGCCCCCAAATCCCTGGGAAGTGCTTCCCAACGCCAGCTGGAGCCTCACCTTGTGATAAACCTCCTGCAGGGAGCTCTGGGCGCCCTCGGAGGCCGAGCCGATGGCTCTGGCGTCGCACTGCACGAACGTTCCCGACGGATCCATGTGGAACCTGCGGGCACAGCGGGGGCTGCTGCATCCCAGGGATCCTCCCCCACCCCTTCCCGGAGCTCCCTGAGTGCCTGGAGTCGGGATTCACCCCCCAGGTGAATTCCTGACTCCTGGGCTGGCAGCTCAGGGAACAACTTCCCTGTGGATTTTTCTTCCCCCTTTTCTCCGGATTTTTTTTTTTTTTGGAGCAAATCCAGCTCAGTTTTCCACCCTGCTGGGAGAGCTGGGCCTGCCAAGCCTTTCCCCAGCTCCAGCAGAATCCCTGGAGTTCAGGTTACAGCCCCCCCATCCCCCAGGAATGTCCCAGGGATTGGGTTACCTTTAGAGAAAGGGGATTGAGAAACTGGGCCCAGGGGAGAGCTTTATCCCAGAAAAACCTGGATTTGGGGGCGTGTTTCCCAGGGGAACAGGCAGGGAAGGGCTCAGATTTGGGGGGGGGGGGATAAATCCCAGCAGGAATTTTCCAGGGTTTTTCCCCCAAGGATTCCAAACTCACAGCTGGGGGCCCTTCTCGTCCACTCCTCCAAACAGCAGCGCCACTCCGAAGGGGCGGGACTGTGGGACACAGGAGGGGACAGTGACACCAGGAGGGGCCAAAACACCCCCCCAGAATTCCCAAATCCCTGCCAGAGCCCACCATGGCTCCGGGATCGGCGTCTTCCTCCCCAAACTGCAGGGCCAGGTTGGACACGGCCTGGGTGACGCTCTCCACCGTCATCGTCTCGTTGTAGGTGAACCAGTGGTTCTGCAGGGACGAACATTCCCGTTATCCCCGGCATTCCCAGGCATTCCCGGGGTCATTTCCATGTGGAACTCAGGGTGTGTTATCCCGTAGAAGGGCGGAAACAGCCCGGGAAGCGTCGGGATGAGCAAAGCTCGGGATAACAGCAGGGAAGGGGGAGGCTGGAAAGGGTTATCCCTGGATAATAGGGAGGAAATAATGTGGGATAATGTGCAGGGATAATGTGTGGGATAATGTGCAGGGATTTGTCCCTGGGACCTTGGAGCACCCAGGAAATCGAGGGGGATTAAAAACCCCACCCATCCCACGTTATTTGGCCAAAACAGAGCTCCCACTCCACACCTTTCCCGTTCCAGCTCCTCTCCTGGGATGAGCTTCCCTTTTCCCCGGATTCCCAGGGTGTTCCCGGGATTTTAGGGTTGGGAATCAGGGCTCTCACCTGAGTCTCCACTCGGGCCTTGTCGATCAAGGTCTTGGCATCGGCGATGAGGCCGCTCATGGCACAGCCTGGAATGGGACGGGATCATTCCATGCATTCCTTGGGATCAGCTTTTCCCCCCTCAAACTGCCCCCAGACACGGAATTTCTCCCCAGTGGGAATTTGTCCCCCCTCTGTGGGCACTGGGGGGGCCACGCCTGGAATTCCAGGGAGCAGTTTTGGAGCTGGGGCTGGAAAAGCAGGAGCTCATCCTGGAAAAAAGGAGGCTCAGGGGGGACCTTTTCCCTCTCCAGAATTCCCAGATGGAAGGAGAGGGAATGGCCTCAGGCTCAGGTTGGATCCTGGGAAAATTCCTGCATGGAAAAGGCTGTAAAGCACGGGAAAGTCTGGAATTCCCATCCCTGGGAGTGTCCCAAAAAAACCACCTGGGAATGGTCACACTCTCCTTGACCCCACAGGGCTTTTCCAACCACGAGGATTCCATGATTCCATGATAAAAAAAAACCTGCTGGGAAGGGGTCCTGGAGGAGCCTCCCCCTGGAACAGCCCCCAGGAGGAGGGAATGGCACTCCAGGAGCAATTCCCGTGCCCCAGGGAGCAGGAATTCGGGAATTTGGGAGCTCTCCTGCCCTCCAGGAGCCCCTCAGGGCAGGGGGTGGCTCTGGCTTTCCCAGAAAAACTGGCCTGGAGTCAAATCCCTGCAATTACCTGCCCTTCCAGAGCTAAATTTGGGATGAGGGAGGTCATGGAGGAGCTCCTGGAGCCTGGAATGCTGGGAGCTGCCCATCCCAAACTCCTGGGGGAAGGATCCTTGGGATATAAACCCCCAGCATTCCAGGGGTGCTCCCGGGAATGTTCCCAGAGGGAGGGCTGGCCCTGGGAGGGGGGGTTTGGAGCCTCCTCCATCCCTGGAGCTGCCCAGAAAAACCCTGGATGTGGCATTCCACAATTCCAGGGGCTCCCAGGGTTCCACTGGGATTCCAGAGGCTCCCAGCTTGGAATGGGATGTGTTCTGTTCCCTGTTCCCAGGATCATCCCAAATCCAGCCCCTGGGGGGGTCCCAGGTGGCTCCAGGGCCCCCATTCCCAGTTTTCCTGCCCCTCTCAGGGAGGGCTCATCCCAAGGCACAGTTGCCCGAATTCCCAGGGAATATCCTTAGGATAGAAACTCCCAGGATTGCAGGGCTGTTCCAGGGTGTTCCCGGGGCTATTCCAGGACTATTCCCAGGGCTGTATCCCTCTGTCCTCCCAGAGCTATTCCCGTGCTATCCCAGGGTTATCCCAGAGCTCTCCCAGGACTATCCCAAAACTATTCCCAGGTGTCCCAGGGCTGTATCCCTGTGTCCTCCCAGGGCTATCCCCAAGATATTCCCATGGCTATCTCAGAGCCATTCCCAGAGCTATTCCAGAGCCATTCCCGTGCTATCCCAGAGCTCTCCCAGGACTATTCCAGGGCTGTTCCCACGGTTATCCCAGAACCACTCCCAGGGCTATTCCAGAGCCATTCGCAGGGCTATTCCCGTGCTATTCCAGAGCTATCCCAGGGCTATCCCAAAGCTATTCCCAGGTGTCCCACGGCTGTATCCCTGTGTCCTCCCAGGGTTATTCCAGGGCTATCCCAGGGCTATTCCTAGGGCTATTCCAGAGCCATTCCCAGGGCCAGTTCCAGGGCTATTCCAGGGTTGTTCCCAGGGCTATTCCAGAGCCATTCCCAGGGCTGTTCCCAGGGCTATTCCAGGACTATTCCCAGGGCTATTCCAGAGCCATTCCCAGGGCTATTCCAGAGCCATTCCCAGGGCTATTCCAGAGCCATTCCCAGGTGTCCCAGGGCTGTATCCCTGTGTCCTCCCTGGGCTATCCCAGAGCCATTCCCAGGGTTGTTCCCAGGACTCTTCCAGGACTGTTCCCAGGACTCTTCCAGGACTGTTCCCAGGACTCTTCCAGGACTGTTCCCAGGACTCTTCCAGGACTATTCCCAGAGCTATTCCCAGGGCTGTATCCCTGTGTCCTCCCAGGGCTATTCCAGAGCTATCCTATGGCTATTCCCAGGACTATTCCCAGGGCTGTTCCAGAGCTATTTCCAAGGCTATTCCCAGAGCCATTCCCAGGGCTATTCCCGTGCTATTCCAGGGCTATCCCAGAGCTATCCCCGTGCTATTCCAGAACCATTCCCAGGGCTATCCCAGAGCTATCCCAGCGCCATTCCCACAGCCATTCCTGTGCCATTCCCAGAGCTCTCCCAGCGCCATCCCAAGGTCATTCCCGGCTCCATCCCCGCTCCATCCCCACTCACCGATGTGGGAGTCGATCTCGACGATCTTCTCGATGCTGGCGGGCTCCATGAGGGGCGAGGTGATCCTCTTCTCCACCGCCAGGCACACGCCCTGCGCCGTCTGGATGCCGATGGCCGTGGAGCCCAGCTGGAAAACACCCCCCAGACCCCGCAGATCCAGCAGGAATTCCTGATCCTGCCTCCCTCGGGGCTGGCATTGCCCGCCTTTCGTCCCCAGGCAGAGCCGCTCCCGGGGTTTCAGGGTTATTCCCTGATCCGGGAATCCATTCCAGGCCGGCAGATCCCTCCCAGCTGGGGAGGCCTGAGGGGTGGGAATGGTCCTGGGAATGCCCCTCTGGCAGAGGGAAGGGATTGAAGGGGAAAAAGGATTTCCCAGATGGGCCCAAATCCTGAATATCCCGGCCCGAAACCACGGGCACTTTGTTTTCCAGAAGTTTTCCAGGAGCTCCTGCTCTGCCCAGTGTCCCAGGAGCTCCTGGGAACCCCTGCCTGGATCCCAGAACCCTGAATCCCACCTGGATCCCACCAATCCCTGCCTGGATCCCAGAACCCTGGATCCCACCTTGATCCCATCAATCCCTGCCTGGATCCCACCTTGATCCCACCCATCCTTACCATGATCCCATATTGATCCCACCTTGATCCCAGCAATCCCTGCCTTGATCCCACCTTGATCCTAATAATCCTTACCTCAATCCCACCTTGATCCCACCCATCCTAACCTCCATCCCCCTCAATCCCATGAACCACCCCCCGATCCCCCATCCCAGGAGCTTTAATTCCCAAATCCCTGCAAGTTTTATCACCTTTTTTTCCCCCCTTTTTCCTCCTTTATCCCTCATTTCAGCGCTCCCAGGAGCTGAGGGCAGGACCCTCCTCATCCCCAGGGCTCCTTCCCTTCATCCCAAACTATTCCCAATCCCATGAATACCCCCCAATAACCAGGAACATTCACCAATTAAGGACATTTAACCCCAAAAAGCTCGGAAAAGGCGGGGGGGTGACAGTACCTTGATGGCCTCGATGGCATATTCCACCTGGAAGAGCCTCCCCTCGGGAGAGAAGGTGTTCACACCCCTGCGGGGACAACAGGGACACTCGTGGGGGGGCTGGAAAACCGGGAATGGGGTCCCGGGAGCCCCCTGGGCCTCCCCAGGGGCTGAACTCGGGGTGGTCCCGGACACGGAGGGGGTCACAGAACACGTCCCATTCCAGCCTAGGAGCCTCAGGAATCCCAGGGGAAGGCCGGGAGCGCCGGGAATTGTGGAATTCCGGAGGGGGAAGGTCCTCCCCGAGCCCCCCCGTCCCCAGGCTGAGCCCCCGCTCCCTCAGGGCCCCCCCAGCCCTCGCTCACCCCCCGTGACTCAGCGGGGGCCGCCGCGCACTCACCGGTCGTACTCGGAGCGCGTCAGGAACATCGCGGCGGTGCGGCCCGGGGGTTTTGGGGGTTCCGAGGGGTTTTTGGGGTGCCGGGGGTCTCGGGAGTCTCGGGGCTCCGCTCGCTCTCGGCCCTCACCCCGCACTGCCGAGCCGCTTCCGGTCCCTCCCGGCGCCGCTTCCGCCCGCGCCGCGCGCTGATTGGGCAGAACAGCGGCCAAGCGGCCAATGGAAGGGCGGAGGGGGCGGGATTAAAGGAGGGGGGCGGGGCCACGGAGAGCGTGGGAGAATTGGCTGAGGGGCGTGGTCGTTGTGGAGGGGGCGGGGTCAGAAAACAGGGGCGTGGTCATGGGGCTGGGGCGGGGCCAGAACCCCGCGGATACTCCGCGATGGGAGCATGGGGCGTGGCCATGTGAATGTGGGCGGGGCGATACTGTGGGGGCGGGGCCCTCGAGCGACGGGAGGTGGTGCGGTGTGAATGGGGCGGGGTTAAACGAGAGGGGCGGGGTTAGATGAGAAGGGGGCGGGGTTAGAGGAGCAGGGGCGGGGTTAGAGGAGGGCACGGCGCGGTACCGGGAGGGGGTCCCTGGGACGGGAGTAACGGGGAGGGGGCACCGGGAAGGGGCATCGGGAGGGGATACCGAGAGAGGGCCCTGGGGAGGGGCACAAGGAAAGGGGGTCCCGGGAGGAGACACCGGGAAAGGGGGTCCTGGGGAGGGGGCACTGGGAAGGAGCTGCGGGAGGGGGCATGGGGAGGGGTGCCAGGACAGAGCCCTGGGTGCCCCGGGCCGTGCCGGGACCCCAAAGCCCGGCACTGTCAGCCCCGGTGGGACCCCCTGTCCCGTCCCAGCGCCCCCGACTGACGGGGGTTCGGCGGAGCCGATGGCCGGGCGGACGGACACACGGACCCACGGACCCACGGACACATGGACCCTCCGCGGGGGCGGGGGCACGGGGTGGCCCGGGTGGGGGCTGGCCCGGGGAGGGGCTGTGCCGAGGGGGCGGGTCCGGGGGCGGGGTTGCCCCGCGGCCGCCCCGGCAGCGGAGCGGTCCCAGCGGGCGGCGGAGGCAGCACCGACCGCCCCCGGCCCGGCCATGTCCGAGCCCGGAGCCCCCGCGGCCGGTGACAAAGCGACCCGGCTCCAGGTAGGGCTCCGGGGCCACCGGGCGGGCTCCCGGCGCGGCCCCTCGCTGGCGGCGCACAGACTTCCCCCCGGGGCGACCCCCGCTGCCAAGCCCCGGAGAAGCCCAGGGTGTCCCGGGGCGACCCCCGGTGCAGCCCCTGCTGCGGGCCCGCGGCCGGAGCAGCCCCCGATCCCCCGGGGCAGCCCCAGCCCGGGGCAATCCCACCTGCAGCCCCCCGGTCCCTCGGGACAGCCCCGGGGGAGCCCCCCCCGATGTCCTGAGCAGCCCCCCGGTGTGGTCTCCTCAGTTCCCCCTGCCGGGACAATCCCCTTGCAGCCCCCCGGTCCCCCCGAGCAGCCTCTCGGTCCCCCGGGGCGCTCCCTGCCTGCTCGGAGCACCCCCAGCCCACCGAGGTACTCCCAGCCCCGGGCAGACCCCTGCTGCCGCCCCCTCGGTCCCGCCTTGCAGCCCCCTGCCCCTCGTTCCAGCCCCCCGACCCTCCCGGTGCAGCCCCCTCGTGCCCCGGGTCGCCCCCCAGGTTCCCTGGAGCGGTTCCCGGTCCCCCAGGGCAGCTCCCGGTGCCGTCCCGGGGTTCCCGTTGTGTTCTCTGTATTCCCGGGGTTCCCGGTGTCCACCGTGTTCCCCGTATTGCCAGTATTCCCGGTGATCCCTGTATTCCCGCTGTTCCCTGTATCCCTGGGGCTCCCAGTGATCCCAGTGATCCCTGTGTTCCCTGTGACCCTGTGATCCCGGTGACCCCTCTATTCCCTGTATTCCCCATTCTCACGGTGTTACCGGTGATCCCCCTTTTCCCTGTATCCCCCGTATTCCCGGTGTTCCTTCTATCCTTCGTATTCCCGGTGTTCCTGGTGTTCCTCGTATCCCCCATATCCCCTGTATTCCCCGTATTCCCTGTATTCCCGGTATTCCCGGTGTTCCCGGCTCTCTCCCGTCCCGCAGGACCGTGTCCTGGGTGGGCTGCGCTGGGCCCGCCTGCAGGAGCCCCTGGGCTTCATCAAGGTGCTGGAATGGGTGAGTGCCCCCCCCCACCGACCGCCCCCAGCCCGAGGGGACCCCGGAGCCCCCCGCCCCCGGACCCTCCCCGACCCCGCCACTTCGGGGATTTTGGGGTGTGGGGCCTCGTGTCCCCCCGGTGACCTTGAGCGGGTGCCGTGCCCGGCCGGGCCGGGGGCCGGGACACACGGGGGGTAACTGGGACACGGGGGCGTCCCCGCCGTTCCCACGGGCTCTGGGGGCGCTGGGTGGGCTGGGGAGGGGGTCAGTGGGTCTGGACCGTGGGGGAACCCCGTGGGGAGGGGGGAGCTGAGCCGAGTGGCCGCGGGCCCGGCCGTGCCAGGGCCGATCCCGGCGGGATTGGGTTTCAGGGCGGCATTTCCGAGCCTCGGCCTCGCCGGGGGCTCCCGGGGGAAACTGAGGCACGAGGGGGGCCCTGTCAGCCCGGCTGGGGCATCTCCCACTCGTAACAACCGGACTGGGGGTCGGATAATCCCCCACACCCTCCACCCAGGGAGGGCCCCCGTGCAAAAAGCCTCCGAAAGCAAAACTGGGAGGGGGGAAAAAAAAATCCCTGGAGGAGCCGCCAGAGAATTCCTGGCTTTGCCCCTGCACGTGGGGGCTGCCCACGGGCGGGGCTGGAATCACCTCTTGGTGGGAAGGCTCGGCCCGGGGGGGGAAAAAGCTGCGGGAAAACTCTCCGGGAATGGCGTTTTCCCGGCGCCCCCATCCCGGAGATACGGGCGGTGCTGCCCGGGAGACGGGGACGATCCCGGGGGTCCCACCAGGGCTGGCTGGAAACCCCCTCAGGCACTCAAAGTAACGGGGGGGGGGGGAGTCCGGGGCTCGGCCTTGGTGCCCCCTGAACATCAAATCCCGGTGCCAGTGGAATCCCGGTGCCAGTGGAATTCCCGGTGCCCGCAGCTGCCACCCGACAGCTGCTGCGGGGTGGCGGCGTGCCCGGGACTGAGCACCGGGGGGTGCAAACCCCTCCGGGATGGGGGTGGGATGAGGCGGGGGGGCTCCCCGCAGGGTCTCTCCCCCCCGCCCCGACCCCTGCCCGTGTCCCCAGCTCTTCGCCATCTTCGCCTTCGGCTCCTGCGGCTCCTTCAGCGGCGAAACGGGGGCCACGGTGCGCTGTGAGAGCGGGGCCACGACGGTCATCGCCGTCCAGTTCGGCTACCCCTTCAGGTGAGGGGGAGCTGAGCCCCAAAACCCCCCCGGGACCCCCCCCCGGGGGTGCTGCGCTGGGGTTAAACCCACCCCCCACACTGCCAGGACTCCCCGGGACACGGGCGGGGCCCTGAGGGGGTGTGTCCTGATGGGGACCCCTCACACCCCGACCCCGTGGGGACATCGCGGGGCATCCCTGGGGTTATGGGACATCCCTGGGGTCAATGGGCATCCCTGGGATCGTGGGGCATCCCTCTGGCTCCAGTTCCCACCACCACCATCCAGCGGGATTCTCGCTAATCAGGGAACACCAGGGGCATCCCGGTTTATCTGGGAATGCGCTGATGGAGCCGGGCCAGCCCCGAGCCACCGGCTCTGCCCCTCCCTGTGCCACCGGTGCCCGTGCCAGGGCACTGCCCCCTGGACAAGCAGCCAGGCTCGGAGCTGGCAGCGGATCTGTGCCCTCCTCCCAGGGGACCACCCCAGCCTGGGCATTCCCTGCATCCCATCATCCCCCTATTCCCAGGAGACCACCCCAGCCCGGTTATTCCCCCCAGGCCACCCCTCCATTCCCTGACCCTCCCTCCGTGCCTCCCTCCCTGCCAGGTTATACCAGATTCCTTTTGGGATGCCGGACTGCCAGGAGGAGTCCGAGGCTCGCACCTTGTACCTGGTGGGCGACTTCTCTGCCCCCGCTGAGTTCTTCGTGACCCTGGGGGTCTTCTGCTTCCTCTACTCCATGGCAGCCCTGGTGCTCTACCTCCGCTTCCATTCCCTCTACTCCAGCAACACCAAGCTCCCCTTCGGGGTAAGATGGGAATGATCCCCTTGGGAGCCCCCCGATCCTGCTCGGGGGGAGTTCCCAGGCTGTGGGGGGAGGGATGAGTTTTCCAGGGAAAAGCGTCAAGCCCGGCAGTCCCCGCAGGGAGGAGCTCGTGTCTCCCACACGGGGATCGGGGCCAGGAGGGCTGTGCCACCCCCGGCACCTCCTGGCGGGTTGGTGGGCTCTGCTTGTTCCATCCATCCCTCTTCCCGGGGGAACACCCCAGCCTGGATGTTCCCTCCACCCCTGGGGATCACCCCAGCCTGGTTATTCCATCTATTCCTCACCCCAACCAGGTTATTCCACCCATCCTCCCCATTCCCAAGGAGCCACCCTATCCTGGTTATTCCCTCCATGGCCATCCCAGGGGACTGGAATCATCGATAATCCCAGAACAGCCTCTCTGAGGTCTTTCCCAGCCCAGCTGATTCTCTGATTCCGTGACCTCAGAGATCATCCTGTCCAACCCCTGATCCAACCCTTCCCTGTCACCCAGCCCGTGGCACTGATGGCACATCCAGCCTGTCCTTAAACACCTCCAGGGATGGGGAATCCACCCCCTCCCTGGGCAGCCCCTTCCAATGGCTGAGCACTCCCTCTGGAAAGGATTCCTTCCCAATATCCAACCCAAACCTCCCCTGGCACAGCTTGAGACACGGCTTTCCCAGCCTGGTTGATTGTCTGATTCCCTGATTCCCCAGTTCCCTGATTCTGATTCCATGATTCTCTAATGCTCTGATTTCCATGATTCTTCAATTCTGTTATTCCATGATTCCCTGATTCCATGATTTCCTGATCCTCTGATTCCCTGATTTCCTGAACCTCTGATTCCCTGATTCCATGACTCCTTGATTCTCTGATTCTGTGATTCCCTGATCCTCTGAATCTGGGATTCCCTGATTCTCTGATTCCCTGACTCACTGACTCCTTGACTCCCTGATTCTGTGATTCCCTGATTCCATGACTCCCTGATTCCCTGATGTCATGATTCTCTGATTCTGTGATTCCCTGACTCCCTAATCCTCTGAATCTGGGATTCTCTGATTCTCTGATTCCTTGACTCCCTGACTCCTTGATTTCATGATTCCCTGATTTCATGATTCCCTGATTCCATGACACGTTGATTCCCTGATTTCATGATTCTCGATTCCATGATTCCCCGATTCCTTAACTCTCTGATTGTGTGAATCCCTGATTCCCTGATTCTGTGACTCCATTCCCCTATTCCCCGATTCCCCCACTCCCCCCCACCCCCCAATTCCCGCGGCATTCCCGGGGCATTCCCGTGTCCCGCAGGATTTCTCTGTCACGGTGTGCTGTCCCCGCAGGATTTCTGTGTCACCGTGTGCTTCGCCTTCTTCTGGCTGGTGGCGGCGGCCGCCTGGGGGAAGGGGCTGAGCGATGTGAAGGCGGCGACGCGGCCGGGGGCGCTGCTGGGGGCGATGGGCGTGTGCCAGGACCAGGGGGTGCAGTGCGGGCCGGGCCCCACGCCCGCCATGGGGCTGGCCAACATCTCCGTGGTGAGGGGGTGTGTGGGGTGTGGGGGTGTGGGGTGAGGGACAGGGTGTATGGGATGTAGGGATGTGTGGGATATAGGGGGTGTATGGGATGTATGGGATTTGTGGGATTTGGGGCTGTATGGGGTGTATAGGATATATGGACTGTGGGGATGTGTGGGGTGTATTGGATGTGTGGGATTTGGGGGTGGGGATGGGGTCTCTGGGGTGTGTGGGATGTGTGGGGTCTCTGGGTTGTGTGGGATTTGGGGGTGTGTGGGGTCTCTGGGGTGTATGGGATGTGTGGGGTCTCTGGGGTGTGTAGGATTTGGGGTGCGGGGGTCTCTAGGATGTGTGAGGTCTCTGGGATGTGTGGGTTCTCTGGGATGTGTGGGGTCTCTGGGATGTGTGGGGTCTCTGGGATGTGTGGGGTCTCTGGGATGTGGGGGTTCTCTGGGGTGCCCGTGGCACACAGGACACCCCCGGTGCTCGAAGTTCAGGGGGTGTGTGTGGGGTGCCGGGCGCTACGCCCACCCGTGGTTGCCCCGCGCGACCCCGTCCCCTCTCCCTCTTCCCGCTCCCGCAGCTCTTCGGCTTCCTGAATTTCCTGCTGTGGGCCGGGAACTGCTGGTTCGTGCTGCGGGAGACGCCGTGGCTGCGGCCGCCCCCGGAGCGGGACAGCGCGGCCGAGCAGGGCGCCATCGACAAGCAGTGACCCCCGGACCCCTGGGACTCGGGACCTCCCTGGCCCCGGGCCCTGCGCCGGCCGCCAGCCTGGGGAGGGGGCGTCGCTGGGCTGGAGCCGCGGGGAGGGGGGTCGGATGTTACAGGAGGGGCGGGGGATGGGGAATCCCGGGGTCCCGCTCGGTGTCGCGGGAGGGGGTCTGTGTGTCACCCCCGGGGGGGCCATGTCTGTGTGGGGGCGCATAAAGTCCTGGGTACCAGCTCTGGGTTGGGGGTCCTGGTGTCTGCTTCGGTGTGGGGGTGGGGGACACAGCCCTGGGGGGGTGCAGACCCCCCTAATGGGGTACAGACCCCGCTAATGGGGTACGGACCCCTCTAATGGGGTACAGACCCCACTAATGGGGTACAAACCCCAGGGTGGGCTACACATCCCCCTGGCAGGGGTACGGACCCCTGGGTTGGGTACAGACCCCCCAATGGGGTTTACACCCCTAATGGGGTACACGGCCCCCCCCAATGGAGAACACATCCCCCCATTGGGGTACAAACCCCCCCGGGTGGGGTACAGCCCCCCCCAATGGGGTACACACTCCTAATGGGGTACAAACCCCCCTGGGTGGGGAACAGCCCCCTAATGGGGTACACGCACACCCCGGATGAGGGACACCCCACTGGTGAGATACAAACCCCCTGGGTGGGGTACAGACCCCTTGGGTGGGGTACAGACCCCCCTGGTGGGGTACAGACCCCTTGGGTGGGGTACAGATCCCCTAATGGGGTATAGACCCCCCTGGGTCCTGATCTGGACAGGGAGAACTGAGACCCCCACCCAGTCCAGGGGTAATGGGAGACCCCAGACCACTGTGGGGATAACCCCATCCCAGTACAGGGGAACTGGGATCCCAGACTGGGATGGGACAGGGGAGGACCCCAACCCAGGATAAGGATAAGGTGTGTGGGACTCGAGTTCAGTACCGGGATAATGGGGGGTCCCAGCCCGGGACAGGATAACAGGGGACCCCAGTCCTGTGTGGGGTAGTGGGTGCCCCCATCCCGTGTGGGATCCCGTGGGCCCCCAACCCAGTGTAGTGACCCCATGTCCCCCCTCCTCTATAACGTCCCCATATCTCCCGGGATATTTGGGACACCGGGGGTCTCCCCGGAGCTCTCTCTGGGGTCTCTCGGGGGTCTCTTGGGGGTCTCCACGGGCTTCTCCACGGGGGTCTTTTTTGGGGTCTCTCCGTAGCTTTCTCAGGGGGTCTCTGTGGAGGGGTTTCCCGGGGGTCTCCTGGGGGTCTCCCGTGGTCTTTCTCCCTGGGTCTCTCGGGGGTCTCCAGGAGCTCTCTCCAGGGTCTCTTGGGGGGTTTCCCCGCTCTCTCCCCGGGGGTCTCTCGGCGTGTTTCCCGGGTCTCTCCCGAGGGTCTCCCGGGGGTCTCTGGGGAGATTCCCCGCTCTCTCCCTGGGGGTCTCTGAGGGCTTTCCCGAGAGTCTCCGGGGGTTTCCCACTCTCTCCCGGGGTCTCCCGGCCTGCTGCCCGCGGGGTTGGTGCGGGTGATGGGGGTTGGTGCGGGTGATGGGGGTTGGTGCGGGTGATGGGGGGTTGGTGCGGATGATGGGGGGTTGGTGCGGATGATGGGGGGGTTGGTGCGGGTGATGGGGGTTGGTGCGGATGATGGGGGTGGTGCGGGTGATGGGGGGTGGTGCGGGTGATGGGGGTGAGTGCGGGTGATGGGGGCGGTGCGGATGATGGGGGTTGGTGCGGATGATGGGGGTTGGTGCGGGTGATGGGGGGTTGGTGCGGATGATGGGGGTGGTGCGGGTGATGGGGGGTGGTGCGGGTGATGGGGGCGGTGCGGGTGATGGGGGTGGTGCGGGTGATGGGGGGTTGGTGCGGTGATGGGGGTGGTGCGGGTGATGGGGGGTTGGTGCTGGATGATGGGGGTTGGTGCGGATGATGGGGGTGGTGCGGGTGATGGGGGGTTGGTGCGGGTGATGGGGGTGGTGCGGGTGATGGGGGTTGGTGCGGGTGGTGGTGGGGTGGTGCGGGTGATGGGGGTTGGTGCGGGTGATGGGGGGCGGTGCGGGTGATGGGGGCGGTCGGCGCAGGCGCGGTGCGGGGGGCGGTGCGGGGCATGGAGCGGGGCGGGGGGGCGTTGCGGGGCGGGGGGCGGCGATGGCGGCGGAGCGGGGGGCGCTGCCCCGGCCCGGCCTGGCCGCGTTCGCGGGGCTGAGCTGGAGCGCGTGGCTGGAGCGGGAAGGGCCCACCCGCGACGGCGGTGAGCGTGGGGGGAGAGGGGGGTGAGGGATGGAGGGGGGTGCGGGAGAGGGGCCGCACCCGCCCCGATCCCGATCCCGAACCAGCGCCGCCGAGCGGCGGGAGGGCAGCGGGAACCACCGGGAATGACCGGGAATGGGAATGGGAATGGGAATGGGGAGTCCGGCACTGGGAACAACTGGGAATGGGAATGGGAATGGGAATGGGAATGGGAATGGGAATGGGAATGGGGCGTCCGGCACCGGCAGCAGCCGGGAACGGGGATACCAGGAATGGGAACGGAGCATCCAACATCGGGAGCAGCCAGGAACAACCGGGAACGGGGCATTGGACACCGGGAATGGGAACGGGGACACCAGCAATGGGAACGGGATATCCGACACGGGAATAACTGGGAATGGGAATGGGGCATCCAACACCGGGAACGGGGTGACGGGAGAGGGGAACGGGACATCCTGAACAGGGAACAGGGAATGGAGCGTTCTGTACCGGCACCGGGAACAGGGAGAGGGGAACGGGACATCCTGCACTGGGAACTGGGAGAGGGGTGTCCTGCACTGGGAACTGGGAATGGGGCATCCGGCACTGGGCACCAGGAACTGGGAACAGGGCATTGGGAACTCTGCACTGGGAACGGGACATCCCACACCAGGTGCCCAGGGCTGGGAACTGGACACCAGGAATCCTGCACGGGGCACTGGGAACCAGGAACTGGGAACCCTGGGCTGGGCACTGGGAACCAGGAACTGGGTACTGGGAACCAGGAACTGGGTACTGGGAACAAGGTACCGTGTACTGGGAGCTTGGCACTGCCTCAGTGGGCTCTGGGCACTGGGACTGGGTACCCCAAACTGGGAACTGCCCCACCAGTGCCCTGTGATGCAACTGGACAGTACTGGGAGCCCAGTCTGGCACTGGATGGGACTGGGAGCCCAGTGTGGCCCAGCTGGGTGGCACTGGATACCCAGTATGGCCCAGTGGCCACCAGTACCCCTCAACAGAGCTAGGAAAACTGAGTGGGCACAACTGGATGGGACTGGGGTGGCCCAGGGGTGGCCCATCCCATCCTGGGTGTCCCAGAGGGGTCCAATCCCATTCCCTGTGGCCCTGGGTTGTCAGGGTGGGGACCCCAGGGGTGACACCCCAGGGACCAGCCCTCCCCCTCCTGGGCTGGATCTGTCCCTGTGGGTTATTTAATCTGGATTAATTGTTCTGGGAGCACCAGCAGAGCTGGAACCCAGGACTGGGGACACTGGGTGGGAACACTGGGATTGGGCCCATCCCTGTGCGGGGAACATTGGGATTGGGATCATCCTTGTTCTGGGGACATCAGGAATATCCCTGAGTGGGAAAAGTGGGATCATCCCTTCCTGGGAACACCAGGCCCATCCCTGGGTGGGAACACCAGGCCCATCCCTGGGTGGGAACACTGGGATTGGACCCATCCCAGGAGGGGACACCAGGCCCGTGCCCGTCCCTGTGCCAGCCCCTGGCAGGGTTCTGTCTCCGCAGGCTCCGGGTTGGAGCCGGAGGAGGGCGGGAAGAGCAGCCCCAGGAGAGCGGACACCGTGACCCTGATCAAGGAGGGTGAGCTGCTCCTCTGGGGTGACAGGGGGCATTTGGGGGTCCCCCCTGGGCCGAGATCCCAGCTGTTCCCATGGCCCTGGCTCTGGGGGAGCTCACAGATCTCCCCCCCCCCAGACATGGACATCTTCGGGCACTGCCCGGCCCACGATGACTTCTACCTGGTGGTTTGCAACCAGTGCGGCCGGGTGGTGAAGCCCCAGGCCTTCCAGAAGCACTGCGGTGAGCCAGAGCATTCCAGGCACTGCCAGGAATCCCGGGAAGGGCCGGCCCAGCCCACAGAACCGGCAGTGCCCTCCTGGGAATGCCCCTGGGAGGGCTGTGGGGGCACAGCCAGGGCTGAGTGTTGGGGCTAGGGGAGCTCTGGGGGCTGGTCCTGTCCCATCCCATCCCATCCCATCCCATCCCATCCCATCCCACCCCATCCCATCCCATCCCATCCCATCCCATCCCATCCCATCCCATCCCATCCCACCCCATCCCATCCCATCCCATTCCATCCCATCCCATTTATCCCACCCCATCCCATCCCTTTCCTCACCCCACTCCCATCCCACCCCACCGCACTCCATCCCATCCTATCCCATGCCATTTACCCCATCCTATTTATCCCATCCCTTTTCTTTCCCATCCCATTTATCCCATGCCATCCCATTTCTTTCCCCACCCCAATCCCATCCCATCCCATTTACCCCATTCCCCTCCCCTCCCTTCCCCTCCCCGTCAATCTCCAATCCCTGCTGTCCCTGTGTCCCCAGAGCGCCGTCACAGCCCCCTGACCCCACCCTGCTCGTGGCCCCCCGCCCCCTGCCTGTGCCCGGCGCCCCCGGCGCTGCCAGAGCCCTCCCAGTGCCCGCAGCCGATCCCAAGCCCTTCCCGAGCGCCCGGACAGGGACAACAACAACAACCACCACAACCTCTGGTGAGCCCCGGGATGGGGGTCCTGCCCCAAAACCCCCTTCAACCCCCTAAAATTGCCCACAATCCCCTAAAACTTCCCCCCCAGCCTGTTCGTGCCCGTGGTGAACCTGGAGAAGATTCCCGGCATTCCCAAACCGGACGGGCACGGCTTTCAGGAGCCCCCCAAAGGCGACTCCAAGGACTCGCCGGGGCCCAGGGAGCCCCCCGTGCCCGGGGGGGCCGGGGGGGACTCGGCCCTGCCCGGGGACAAAGATTTGGGGGTCCCAAAGCACCCCCGATCCACAGGAAGCCGCCGCGTGAGTCCCCTCGCGGCCGTGGGGGAATTTTGGGGGGCTGGGGGGAGGTTTAGGGGGTGGAGGGTCCCCGTGAGGATTTTGGGGCGGCTGATCCCGAGGAGCGGGGGGGGCGGGAGGAGGCACCGGATTAGGGGAGGGTCACCCCAAAAGTGCTGGGTCAAATGTGCATCCCCCAAAAAAGGGGGTTGGATGTGAGTGTCTCCCCCAAATTTGGGGGTTGGATATGAGTGTCTCCCCCATATTTGGGGGTTGGATATATGTCTCCCCCAAAATACGGGGGTCAAATGCGTGGGCCCCCCACAAAATATAGGGGTTGAAAGTGTGTCCCTCCCAAAAAAGGGGGGTTAAACACGTGTTCCCCCAAAATATGGGTGGTCAAAGACGTGTCCCCCCAAAATACGGGGTATAAGACACGTCCCCCTCAAATAGGGGGGGGTCAAATGTGTCTCACTCCCAAATCGAGGGGGGGTTTAAACATGCCACCCCCCCCCCAAATATGGGGCTTGGACACAAGTCGCCCCCAAAATATAGGTGTCAAATCTGTCCCCCCTCCCCCCTGAATACGGGCCGTGCCCACAGACCTCGCCCCGCCCCCGGCAAATTTTTGGGGGCAGGGTCACCTGAGGAGGGCAAAACCCCAGACCCTCTCAGGGTCGTGTGAACTGGCAGTGTGGGGGGTTCAGGGTGCCCCCATGTTCCCCCGCCCCCAAGCCGTGTGTGTGTCCCCCAGGAAGGAGTGTGACCTGAACCGGCAGTGTGGGGTCAGGAACCCCCAAAGCGACACCCCCTGCACGCGCCTGCTCACCTGCAAGGTACCTTCAGATCCGGGGGGACGACACCCTGGACCCCCCTCAGGGCGTGTCGGGGGTCCTGACCTGGTGTGTCCCCCTCCTCCGCAGATCCACTCGGTGCAGCAACGCCGGGACGTGCCGGGCCGGGCCAAGGATTTCGATGTGCTGCTGGCAGAGCTCAGGGGGGCGCGGCGTGGGGACCCCCCCCGCAAGGACCCGCCCCCCCATCTGCCCCCCCACGCCCCGCAGGGTCTCCCCACGGCGTTGCCGCAGCCCCCAGTGCCCCCGGGGAACCCCTGTGCCCGCAGCCCCCGGCAAGGTGAGCACCGCAGGGGGCAGGACACGGAGGCAGTGACACCCCGGCCCACCCCAAATGGGCACCCCAGGGGTCACGGAGTGATGAACCCCCCAAAATGGGGATCCCGGGAGGACACACAAGATGCCCCCCGTCCCTCGGACAGGGCGTCCCAGGGTGTGGATGAGGGGGACACACAGAGAGTGACGCCACCGCCCCAAAATTTGGCCCCCAGGGCCCGGCTTTGCTCCGACAGCGACCACGAGGACGCGCCCGCGGCCCCAGGGAGAGGGGCACAGGGGCACCCCCGGGCAAGGGGGCGGCCGGGGGCAGCGAGGACAGCGACGAGGAGGGAGGGGCTCAGGAGCCCACCCGGACCCCGCGGCCACCGCGGCCACAGGCGGTGAGTGGGGAGGGGGCGGGGGGACCCTCAACTCTGCCCCAAACCCGGCCGTGGGGGATCCGGGGGTCATTTGAGAGTCTCTGGGGGTCGGGGGGTCACTTGGGGTCCCCGGGGAGTCGTTTGGGCATAATTGAGGGTCCCTGGGGGTCGGTGGGGTCACTTGAGGGTCCCTGGGGTCGTTTGGGGTAGTGAGGGCGCCCGGGGTTCGGGGTCACTCAGGGGTATTCGGGAGTCTCAGGGGTCTCCTGGGGATCACTTGAGGGTCCAGAGGGGTCATTTGGGGTTCAGGTGGAGTCACTCGGGGATATTTGGGGTCTCACGGGGATCCGGGAGGACAGGGGTCCCTGGAGGGGTCACTTTGGAGTCCTTGGGAGTCCCAAGGGGGTCCCAGAGGTGTCCTGGAAGTCACTTGGGGGTCCGGGGTGGTCATTTGGGGGGGCGGGGGCGGGGGAAGTCACTTGGTAGTATTTGGGAGTTCCGGTGTGATCTGGACGGGGTCACCTGGGGGGGCCGTGGGCGTCACTTGGGAGTCCCGGGTGGTCCCGGGGTGGTCCCTGGAGGTCACTTGGTGGTTCGGGGTGTCATTTGGTGATATTTGGGTGTTCCGGTGTGATCTGGACGGGGTCGCTTGGGAGTCCTGGGGGGGTCCCAGGAGGGTCCCGCGGGTGGGGGGGTGGTCACTCGGGGTTATTTATTGGGGCCGGGGGTTATTTTTCGGTGCGGCGGTGCCCCGGGGGATCTCGGGGGGGGATCTGAGCGTGGTGCCCCCCCAGTTCTGCGCGTTCGGGAGCCGCCTGCTCAGCCCGGGTTGTTACGTGTTCCACCGGCGGCTCGACCGCGTCTGCTCCGCGCTCGCGCGATGCTCCGGAGGCACCGCCGAGCCCGCGCCTGGAGGTCTGGAGGGTTGGGGGGCTTGGGGGCTCAGAGGGGTCGGCCGGGCTGAGGGGAGGGGCCACAGGGCAAGAGAGCCTAGCATGGGAGGGGTTTGGGGTCCTGCGGTCCCCGTGGTGAATTCAGAGAGTGAATTCAGAAAGTGGGAAGTGGGGGGAGTTCGGAGGTGTGGAGGGCTCGGGGGAGTGCTCAGGGGGTTCAGGGGGCTAGGGTACTCAGAGGAGGGGCCTGGGGACCCAGGGTGGGGGTGGAGGGCTGGGAACGAGGATTTGGGAAGGGGAGTCCCACCCCCGACCTGGGGAGCCATGTCCGTGAGCAGCAATTTGGGGGTCTCCAGCTCATCTCCCCTCCCTCCCCACAGGAAGATCCCTCCGGCCGCCGACCCCCCTGCACCCCTCGCGACCCCCCAGCCCCGCTGCCCCCACCCCCATTTACGTCCCCGCCGCCCGTCCCCGACCCCCCGCGCCCTCCCCGCCCCGTGGGGGTCGAGGGTGCCCACCAACCTCACCTACGCCGTGGGATCCCCCGCGGCCGCCGCCTGCAGCCCCCGAGGGCGGGGGGGCTCGCAGTCCGTCACCTCCCCTGCCCGCCCACACCCCCTCCTCCAGCAGCAAACTGCCCCCACAAAGCCCCCGGCCCCCTGCGAGCCCCCGGCCCTGGCAAACCCCCGCGCGCCAGGGCCCCCTACAAACGGCCCTGCGTGGGGAGGGGATGGGGCGGCGATCGCTGGGGGCCCCATCGCCCACCTCAACGGGACCTCGCAGGTGCGGCGCTTGCCCCCGCCCCCAGAGCGGCGGCCGCGACCCTGGCCGGGCCGGGGGCCTCGGGGCTGTCGGAGGACGAGGAGAAGCAGCGCAGGAATTCGGCCACTTATTGTCGCCCCACAAGGCCAAAGCCGCGCCCCCCACGGCGGGACCCCCGAGCCGGCCCCCGCCGGCCCTCAGACCCCGGCCCGGGGGCTCCGCGGGCAGGAGGAAGCGGGGACCCCCGGGCTTCCAGGAGGAGGGGAGAGCCCTGAAGGTACCGCAGGGGGCTTTGGGGGGGACAGCGATTGGGGTCACCCTGTGTGCCCCTGTCCTGGGGGACACTGGGGGTCTGGAGGGGAACAGGTTTGGGGGTCACTGTGGGTTCAGCCTGGTCTGGGGGACACCCTGGGGACCTTGGGGGGAACCCCAGTGCAGGGTGGGGGACACGATGGGGGGGGCAGTGGGGACCCTCGGGGACACCGTGGGGTGACCTTTGGGGATGGCCCACCCACCGTGGGGGTCCCGTGGGGTGGGGGAGGGACACTGGGGGGCCCTCAGGGGACACAGGGTGGGGGGCACTGTGGGGTGACCCCTAAACCTTGGGTTGGGGGCAAATTTGGGGACTCTCTGGGGTCACATTTGTCCCCAGTGGGAGGAAGGGGATGTTCCCTCTGCGTGGGGGGCACTGTGCGGACCCCCAAACCTGGGGAGGGGAGTTTGGGACAGTTTGGGGCCACATTTGTCCCCTCTGGGGGATGGGGGACACACCGGGGGTCTCCCTAACCCGGGAGGTCCCCAAGGGTCACCCCCAGCCCCTGTCCCCTCCCCCACAGTCCAAAGCCCATTAACAGAGGGTCACCAGGACCCCCTCGTTGTGTGTCCCCCTGTCCCCCCACCAGGAAATGCCGGAAAACCGAGGACGGGAGAGACGAATCCCAAGGAATGGAGAAGGAAAATCCCGAACTTGCAGAAAATACCTCAAAAACTCTCAGTTCTGTTCTCTTGCTGCTAAACCAGCCCGGGAAGAGGGGGTGGGAGGAGGGGATGGCACTGGGACCCCTGACCTCCCGGACCCCTAGGCCATAGGTATTTATAAGAAATATAAATGTTTTTGTTCTTTTTGTAAAAAAAAAAAAAAAACCACAAAGAAAGGAAAAATAAAGGAGTTGAGTCGTTGGGGGTGGGGGGTTGCTGGGGGGTCATTGGGGGCTGGAAGGGGTCAGTTGGGTGACCGGGTGATCCCCCGTCCCTTCCCCCCGTTGCTCCCTCCCATCCCCCCGATGGCAGTGAAGACCACCCTGACCCTCCTCCCTGGTGGGGTGAGGGGTCCCACAGCGCTGTCACTGTGACCTTTGTGTCCCCCCTCACCCCCCACCCTTGGAGCCCCCAAACCGGCCGAGGGCAGCACAGACACGGGGGGGAGAGGGACACGTTTATTTTGGCCAAGGCATCAGCGGGGGAGTTGGGGGAAAGTGGGAGGCACAGGACACCCTTTAGGGGCCGGGACCCTGGGATCCCCCTGCGTGCGGAGGGTGTTGGGAGGTCGAGGGGGACACCCCGGTGCCCCTGCCCAGGGGGGCACGTGCTCCCGGGGGTCATGCTGGGGGTCGCATGCCGGGGGCAGTGAGGATTTGGGAAGCGGGCTGGGACTGCATGGGGGAGGGTTGCCCTGACACGGTGAAAAGCTGCTAGTCCTGGGGAGGGTGTCACTGTCACCAGTGGGCCCCCCCCCGCTCTGCGGTGCCCACGTTGTCCCTCGTGGTCCCATGGTGACCTGGGGGGGTCCTGGGGGGCGATGAGGTGACCCCCAAAAGCTGGGGACACGGTGTGGGGGAGGGAGTCTGGCCACCCCTTCGTTCTGGGGACTGTCACAGCACGGGTGGGGACAGGGGGTGTCCCTGGGGGGGTCCTTCTGGTGTCCCCTCACACCCTTGTCCCTCGTGGTCCCACGGTGACCTGGGGGGCGATGGCGTGACCCCCAAAAGCTGGGGACACGGTGCTGGGGGTCAGGCCACCCCTCCTGCCTGGGGACAGTCACAGCAGCAGCGGGGACACAGCGGGGTGTCCCTGGGATTGTCCCCAAGGTGTCCTCCCGGTGTCCTCTCACACCCTTGTCCCTCGCAGTGCCCTCGGCAGGTCCTGGGGGGCGGTGGGGTCACCCCCAAAAGCTGGGGACACGGTGGGTGGGGGGGTCCGGCCATGCCGGGGGGTCCGGCCATCCCTCCTGCGCGGGGACAGGTGGCAGTGGGGGACCGTCCCCGCTGTGTCCCCTCACACGCCTGTCCCTCGTGGTCCCGCAGCCACAGTGACCTCGGCAGACACTCAGTCCTGGGGACGGGGGGCAGCGCCGCGTCCCCCCACGCCGGGGACACGGCAGGGGGGGCCGCGACCACCCCTCCTTCCCCGGCCACAGCTCAGGGCAGCAGCAGCGGGACGTGCCGGGCCCCGGCGCCCCTCACACCACGATGGGCGTGTCGGAGAACACCGAGCTCACCGAGTCGGGGTCCGACACCTTCCTCTGCACCTTAGGGCCCTGCGGGGCGGCCGCCGGGGGGGTCCCCGCTGCCTTGAACCTGCCGTTCTGCCCGGAGCCCCCTCCCGGGGCCGGGCGGGGCTCTGCGCGCCCCGCCTCGTGGTTGGGGGTGGTGCTGAGCACCGACGAGTTGATGCTGTCGTCGCGGGGCGCCGGCGCCTTCTCTGCGGCGCGGCAGCAGCAGCAGCGGCACGGCGTGAGGTACAGGTAGATGAGCACCAGCACCACGCTCAGGATGCAGCCCACCAGCGTGGTGTAGGCCGTGTTGAGCGTGTCGTGCGGGCCGTGCAGGGTGAAGTTGTGCACCAGCAGCTCCACGTAGAGGGTCTCGTTGAGCAGCGGCCCCGCCACCCAGCACGCGTAGGTGCCGCCGTCCTCGGCCCGCAGCGCCCGCAGCTCCAGGCTGCCGTTGGCCAGCAGGTTGGCCGTGCCGTTGTTGTCGCCGTCCCCCGTCACCCTGTCCCCCGCCGGCGTCACCCAGTGGCGGCTGCCGCCCTGCCAGCGGCTGTCGCAGCCCAGCGTGACGCTGTCGCCCAGGTGCGCCTCCAGCACGGCCTCCCGCGCCTCGCTGCAGTTGAGGGGCTGCCTCCCCGCCAGCTCCAGGATGCCCACGGAGGCGGGGGGAGCCGAGCCGGGCAGGACGCAGCGCAGCTCCTCCTGGAAGTCCAGCACGGCGCTGAGGCGGCGGCGGCGGCCGCGGGCGAGCAGCTGGAACAGGGCGCAGTCGCAGCCCAGCGGGTTGTCGTGCAGGTACAGGCGGTCCCGCAGCCAGGCGGGCAGCGCCTGCAGCTCCCCGGCGGGCACGGCCCGCAGCCGGTTGGCCGACAGGTCGAGCAGGGCGAGCTGCGGCAGCCGCGAGCCCTCCCGCAGCAGCTCCAGCGGGAAGCGGGCGATGCGGTTGCGGCCCAGGTAGAGCTTGCGCAGCCGGCCCAGGTTCTCGAAGGCCGTGCGGTCCACGGTGGCGATCTCGTTGTTGTAGAGCAGCAGCACCTCCAGCTCGCCCAGGTCGCTGAACAGGTTCTCCTCCAGCGAGCGCAGGCGGTTGTTGGACAGGTCGAGGTGGCGCAGGCGGGGCACGGGCGCGAAGGCCTCGGTGGACACGAAGGCCAGCCCGTTGTGGCTCAGCAGCAGCGTGTGCAGCTGCGGCAGCCGCGCCGCCGTCCAGTCCCCGCGCAGCCGGGACACGTTGTTGTGGCTCAGGTCCAGCACGGAGGCGAAGCGCGGCAGCGGCGACGGCACCAGGCTCAGGTTGGCCTGAGAGCAGCTCAGCAGGTTGGAGGCGCACACGCACTGAGCGGGGCAGGACGAGCCCGCCGAGCCCCCCCGGGACAGCAGCGACAGGGCCAGCAGCAGGGACAGCGGGGACAGCGGGGACAGCTGGGGCGGGACCACCCCAGGCACGCCCATGGCTGCGGGGGGAACGGGGCGGCCGCCGGGACACCTGGGGTGGGTTGGTCACCCCGTGTCCCCCGTGGGGTGGGTTCAGTCACCCCGTGTCCTCAGGTGGGGTGGGTTGGTCACCCCGTGTCCCCCGTGGGGTGGGTCGGTGTCACAGCGCAGGGTGGGTTGGTCACAGCGCGTGCCAGGCTGGCTGGTCACCCAGTGTCACCGTCCAGGGTGGCTTCAGTCACCCAGCGCTGCAGAGTGGGGTGGTTGGGTCACCCAGTGTCACAGTCCAGGGTGGCTTCAGTCACCCGCTGTCACAGCAGGCACCAGGCTTGGGGCTCAGCCAGTGGCACCGTCCAGGGTGGCTTTGGTCACTTGGTGTCACCATCCAGGGTGGCTTTGGTCAGCCGGTGTCACAGTCTGGGGTGGCTCTGTCACTCGGTGTCACGGCGCTGGGTGGCTGTGGTCCCTCAGTGTCACTCAGGGGGTGGCTTTGTCCCCCAGTGTCACGGCATGGAGAGGCTGAGGTCCCTGGTGTCCCGGCGTGGGGTGGCTGTGCTCCCTCAGTGTCACGACATGGGGTGTGTCTCTGTGCCCCGGTGTCACACCGTGGGGTGGCTCTGTCCCTTGGTGTCACACCGTGCCGTGGCTCTGTCCCCCGCTGGTCCCCCGGTGTCGCAGGTGCCCCGGGGTCACTGCCCACGCGGGTCACGCTGCGGGGTGGCCCTGTCCCCGCTGTCACGACATGTCCCCGCTGTCACGGCCCACCCGCCTCGGCCCCCCGTCCCTCCCCGGTTCTCTCCCTCCCCCAGTCCCAGGGCCGGCGGAGGATGCTCAGCCCCCCCCCCCCACTCCCCGGCGTTATCCCCGGGGTTGGGCCGGGCCTGGAGCGGGGCCGGGCCGGGCCGGGCCGAGGGGGGCCAAGTGCGGCCCAAGGAGGCCGAGCGGGCCGCGCCGAACCGAACCGAGCCGAGCGAACCCGAGCGGAGCCGAACCGGGCCAAGAGGAGCCGAACCGAGCCGAGCGGGGCCGAACCGAGCCGGGCGAAGCCGAGCGGGCCGGGCCGAACCGGGCCGAGAGCGGCCGAACCGCCCCGATCCTTCCCGATCCTTCCCGAGCGCAGCCGAACAGACCCGAAGGGGCCCGGCCCGGCCCGAGCGGTTCCGGTGGGCCCCGAGCGGTTCCGATGGATCCCGAGCGGTTCCGATAGATCCCGAGCGGTTCCGATGGGTCCCGAGCGGTTCCGTTTCTCTCCGATTTTTCCCGACCGTCCCCGAGCGCCGCTACCCGGGCGGCTCTGGGGGCGGGGCCGGCGGGCACGGAGCGTTCTCATTGGCTGCCCCGAACCACGCTCGACCAATGGCGGTAGCGCTCGGGGTTAACCCGCCGAGAGCCGGGACCACCCGGGACCACCCGGGATAGATCGGGACCACCCGGATCACCCGGGACCCACCGGGATAGATCGGGACCACCCGGGACCCCCGGACCATCTGGGACCCACTGGGACCACCCGGGATTGACAGGGTCCCACGGGGACTGACCGGGACCACCCGGGACAGACCAAGACCCAACGGGACCCACCGGACCCGGGTCCGGCCCCCTCTCCATCCATAACCCAGTCTCCATCCTCATCCTTGTCCCTGTCCCATCCCATCCTGATGCCCCTCTCCATCCCCATCCTTATCGACAGCTGTCCCTGTCCCCATCTCCATCATCCCAATCCCATCCCTGTCCTCATCCCCAACGCTATCCCACATCTCCATCCCCATCATCCCCATCCCATCCCATCCCACCCCATCCCATCCCATCCCATCCCATCCCATCCCATCCCATCCCATCCCATCCCATCCCATCCCAATCCCACCTCAATCCCATTTCCATCCCATCCCATTCCTATTTCCATCCCCATCCCATCCCAATCCCATCCCCAACCCCACACCCTCCATTCCACCCCGAATCCCCCTCCCGACCCCATCCCACCCTCGCTGGGATGGAGGGGCCCCCGGGTGCCCCCCGTGCCCCTCCCCCCCCTCCCCCGGCTCTGCCTCCCGGGAGTATTTTTAGCTCCAAACATTTGTGCCGGATTTTGGGGCCAAAATTAGAGGGAAAAGAGCTGGAACAAACCGTGCCGGGATGAGACAGCTTTTTTGGGGAAAAGGGGGGGACAGGAATTCCAGGGGACCCCCGGGACATGGAGCAGGGAGTCCCCAGGGGGCCCCTCGCCCCGTTCCTGCACCCCAAACACCCCCGGGCTGGGGGTCCCCCGGAACCACACGGGGAATTCTGTCCTTGGATCGTCCCCGTGTTCCCGGTTTAATCCGGGATTAATCCCTGCCCGACCCCCCCGGGCACGGGGGCACCTTGGGGGGCAGCCGGGCTGGAGCGGGGCACACACGTGTGGCAGCAGCACCCGCACACGTGTGCTCCGTGGGACACGGGTGTGTGCTCCCCAAACACTGTGTGTGCGCCCCAAAACTGTGTGTGCCCCCCTGCACCCCCAAACACGTGTGTGTGCACCCCAAACACGTGTGTGTGCACCCCAAAACTGTGTGCCCCCTGCACCCCCAAACGTGTGTGTGCTCTGTGGGACACGGATGTGTGCACCCCAACATGTCTGTGCACCCCAAACGTGTGTGCACCCCAAAAATGTGTGTGTGGGCACCGTGGGACACGGGTGTGTGCACCCCAACACGTGTGTGCCCCCCAAACATGTGTGTGCACCCCAAAATGTGTGTGCACCCCAAAATGTGTGTGCCCCCAAAATGTGTGTGCCCCCCAAACATGTGTGTGCACCCCAAAACTGTGTGTGTGCACCCCAAAAATGTGTGTGCCCCCAAATGTGTGTGCCCCAAACATGTGTGTGCCCCAAAACTGTGTGTGTGCACTGGGACACGTGTGTGTGCCCTCAACATATGTGTGCACTCCAAAAATGTGTGTGCCCCCAAAATGTGTGTGCCCCCAAACGTGCGTGTGCCCCCCAAAACTGTGTGTGTGCACCGTGGGACACGTGTGTGTGCCCCCCAAACATGTGTAGGCACCCCCCAAACATGTGTGTGCACCCCGGGACACGTGTGTGCGCCCCAAACGTGTATGTGCACCCCAAAATGTGTGTGCACCCCAAACACGTGTGTGTGCACCCCAAAACTGTGTGTGTGCTCCGTGGGACACGGGTGTGTGCACCCCAACATGTGTGTGCCCCCCCCAAACGTGTGTGTGCACACCAGGACACACGTGTGTGCATCCCAACATGTGTGTGCACCCCAACATGTGTGTGCACCCCCCAAAGGTGTGAGTGCCCCCCAAACGTGTGTGCACACCCCTAGATGTGTGTGTGCTCCGTGGGACACGTGTGTGTGCCCCCCAAACGTGTGTGTGCCCCCCAAAATACATGTGTGTGCACCGTGGGACACGTGTGTGTGCCCCCAAACACGTGTGTGCCCCCCAACATATGTGTGCACCCCAAACATGTGTGTGTGCAACCCAAACGTGTGTGTGCACCCCCAGCATGTGTGTGCACCCCAAACACGTGTGTGTGCCCCCCTGCACCCCCAAACGTGTGTGTGATCCGTGGGACACGGCTGTGTGCACCCCAAACGTGTGTGTGCACCCCAAACACGTATGTGTGCACAGTGGGACACATCTGTGTGCCCCCAAACGTGTATGTGCCCCCCAACATGTGTGTGCCCCTCCCAATCGTGTGTGTGCACACCAGGACACACACGTGCCCCCCCCCAAATGTGTGTGCCCCCCAACATGTGTGTGCACACCCCAGGACACGTGTGTGCCCCCCAAACATGTGTGCACCGTGGGACACGTGTGTGTGCCCCCCAAAATGTGTGTGCCCCCCAAAATGTGTGTGCCCCCCAAAATGTGTGTACACCCCAAACGTGTGTGTGCCCCCAACATGCGTGTGCACCCCAAACACGTGTGTGCCCCTCAACATATGTGTGCACCCCAAAAATGTTTGTGTGCCCCCAAACGTGTATGTGCCCCCCAAAATACGTGTGTGTGCACCCTGGGACACGTGTGTGTGCCCCCCAAACATGTGTGTGCCCCCCAAACGTGTGTGTGCACCCCAAACATGTGTGTACCCCCAACACGTGTGACCCCCACGCCAGGGCCGGGCAGGGTCTCTGGTCATTGGGGTGCTGGGGGGGGGCACAGGGACACGGGGGGTGGGGCACGGAGGGCTGGTACTGAGGTGTGGGGTGCTGGGATTGGGGTGCTGGGATAGGGGTACCCCGGGGCACTGGGTGCCAGGGTGCTGAGGCACTGGGGTGCTGGGGTACTGGGGTGCCAGGGTGTTGATGCCTGGAGATCTGGGGGCAAGGGGATGCCAGGACATTGGGGTACCGGGGTGCCAGGGTGCCCAGATTTAGGGTACTGGGGTACCGGGGTGCCAGGATAGTAGGGGGCTAAGATTTAGGGTACTAGGGTGCCCAGATTTTGGGTACTGGGGTGCCCAGATTTTGGGTACCGGGGTGCCAGGATGGAGGGACACTGGGCCGTGTGGGGACGGGGATACCGGCGTGATGAGGTCCTGGGGTGCCCAGGTCCTGGGGTGCCCAGACAACGGGCACTGAGGGGGCCAAGGCTTTGGGGTTCCATCGGGGGTCCCCTCGGGGTGCCCCCCAGGGCGGGATGCCCCATGGGCTGATCCCGTTGGCGGTGCCCGTGGCACGGGCCGCGGGCAGGATGGATCCCCGCGCTGTTCCAGCCGCTGTTCCCGGCGCCTGGAATTTTCCCGGTTCAGCCGAGGTGCCGCGCGTTTATTTTTGGGTGGGGTTATTTTTGGGTGCCCGGCGCTGGGCACGTGACGCGCGGGCATCGCGTCACCCCCGGACCACTTGTCACCCACCCCTCCTCCCCTCCTACCCCCCCCAAATCCTGGGAACGGGGACTCCCGATCCCACCCGGCCCCCGGGATGGGGTCTGGGCACGGCCCAGGGGAGGGAAATTCGCGACCTGAGCGGGATTTTGGGGATGGAAAATGAGGACCCCCAGAAGGGGGCACGTTGTGTGTGTGTGTGGGGGTCACTGCCCCCATCCCAGTTCCCCAGTGCTGTACTGGGAGCAAGGCGGAGGGTGGGGTTTGAGCTGGGGGCGGCCAGAACTGGGGAGGGGGAAGAGCCCCTCTGAGTGTCCCCCGTGCCCCAAAACCCCACCCTGTGCCCCCACACTGCGGATCTGCCCCCTTCCCCCGAGGGTCCCCCGCCCCCACCTGTAACCCCCACCCCTTTTTGGGAAACTGCGCAGCCTCGAGGGGTCCCCGTGTCCCCCCGCCCCTCTCTCGTGGTGGGGGCACAGCGGGGCTCTCCCCACGGGGTCTCGGGGCTGGGGGGCGGGTTGCCGGGTGGGCGGGCGGCTCTAGGACCCGGCGGGCGGGCGGAGCGGAGCAGCCCCGCCGCAGCCGCCTGGCCCCGGCAGCCCCCGCCGCCCCGGGACCCCCCTCGGCACCGGGGACACCCCCGGCACTGGGACACCCTCGGACCCCCAACCCTCGGGCCGGCCCAGGAAGCCCCCAGGTAAGTGATGGGTGGTGGGGGAGACCTGCAGGGCGATGCCCGGGAGGGAGGAGGGTGATGGGACCACCGCCGTGGGGTGGGAGGGGGTGATGGGACCCCCTCGTGGGGTGGGAGGGTCCCCGAGCCCTGGGGGTGATGGGGAGGAGGAGGCGGGGAGAAGGGGTGGGGAACCTGCCATTGCACCCCCATTCCATCACCGCCCCACCTGTCCCACTCCCCGCTGGGAACACCCGGGGTCTGGGTGGCCCCAAATTCCCCCTGGTGTGGCCCTCCTCCCGATCCCCGCCGAGCTCGGAGTGTGTGGGGGGTCACACAAGGCCCGGGAAGCGCCGGGGTTGAACCCGCGTGGGGGAGGGCTGGGGAGGGACCCCCTTCATTCCCAGGAACCCCCGTAGGCAGCCCCGCTGCGGTGGTTTGGGTTGAAACGTTGGAATTTGGGGGGTTTAGCCCGGAATTGCTCTTTTTTTTGGGGGGGGAAGAGGCTTTTGGGTAGAGAGGGGGGGCGTTGGGGGATCGTGGAGAGGGCCTGGGAGTGATGGGGTTGTGTGTGTGTGGGGTGTCACAGCTGAGCTGAGGCCCCCCGGGCTCTCAGGGGTCCCCAAAGCTGCCCCCCTTTGATGGCTCCCTCCCCCGCTGCCCGGGGCTGTGGGTAGGGGAGTCACAACAGAGCTGAGCCCTCCCAGGGCTCTCAGGGGTCAGCTGTGACCCCCTCGGGTTCTCAGGGGTCCCTCCAGGGCCTCCACCCCGCCCCCAACAGCTCCACTTTGGGGTTGCACTTGGGGTCTCCCAGAGTTGTTCCCCCCAAAGCTCCACCTTCCCCAGCTCAGCTCTGACTCCCCGGGCCTCAAGGGTCCCTCGGGGTCTCCCTCCCCCAGGCACCTGGGGCTGTGGGTGGGGGTTACAACTGAGCTGAGCCCCCCTTCCCATGGCTCTCAGGAGTCCCCCCGTGTTGTCGCCCGCCCCTCCCATCATCCCCCTCTGCTGTCACCCCCTGGCTCTCAGGCCCCCAGGACCCCCTAAGACCCCTGGGGGCTTGCAGCTGGGAGTGGTCTCCAGCCTCAGCTCTCAGGTGTCCTTTCAGGGTTCCCCAAAGACCCCCGGGTGCAGCTGGGGGGGCTCAGCTCAGCTCTCAGCCCCCTCCTTCTGACCCCTCCCCTCCCCAGGCCCCCCCTTCTCCGAGGACCCCCCAGATGAGCACGACCGGGGGCACCTTTGGGTGCTCTGATCACCCTCGAGCCCCCTCCCAGCCCCCCGAGCCCCCAGCGATGTGAGCCCCGTGCGATGCCCAGCGCAGGATGGAGCCCTCGCTGCCCTCCCCGTGGGGCTGGAACGGCTCCCGAGGAGGGGGGGCCCGGCCCCCCAACAACGCCAGCGCCGAGGGCAAGGCCAAGGACGGCGGGGGGGCCGCGCGGGCCGTGGGGTTGCTCTTCATGGTGCTGCTCGACCTGACGGCCCTGGTGGGCAACGCGGCCGTCGTGGGGGTGATCGCCAGGACCCCCGCGCTGCGCAAGTTCGTCTTCGTGTTCCACCTGTGCCTCGTGGACCTGGTGGCCGCGCTGACGCTGATGCCGCTGGAGATGCTGGTGGGCTCGGCGCTGGGGGGCTCGCCGGGGCTCTGCCGCCTCTACCTGTTCCTGCTGGTGTGCCTGAGCTCCGCCTGCATCCTCTCCATCTCCACGCTCAGCCTGGAGCGCTACTACTCCGTGGTGCACCCTCTGCGCTACGAGGCGCACATGACGCCCACGCTGGCCGCGGGGGTCCTGGCGGGCGTGTGGCTCAAGGCCGTGGCCACCTCGCTGGTGCCCGTGCTGGGCTGGCTGTCCCCGGAGCGTCCCCACGCGGGGCAGGGCTGCTCGCTGCGCTGGAGCCCCGGCGCCGCCTGCAAGGTCTTCGTGGCCTTCCTGGCCGCCTTCTACTTCGCGCTGCCGCTGCTCGTCATCGTGGTCACCTACTGCCGCATGTTCCGCGTGGCCCGCGTGGCCGCCGCGCAGCGCGGCCCGCAGCCCACCCGCCTGGGGGAGACCCCCCCGCCGCCGCCCCACGCGGGCCGGGGGTCGCTCGGCAGCCGCTCGCCCATGGTGACCCCTCTCCGGGGGTGAGCGGGGTCCGCGCCTGCAGCACTCCCACGGCACGCCGGGCGCGGGGCAAGGCGGCCGCAGTGCCGCTGGCCGTGGGGGGCCAGTTCGTGCTCTGCTGGTTGCCTTTCTTCTCCTTCCAGCTCTACGCGGCGCTGGCGGGGAGCGGGAGGAGGAGGAGGAGGAGGAGGGCTCGCGGGGGGCGATGATGATGCTGGAGGGCGGGGGTCCCGCCGAGACCGTGGTGACCTGGCTGGGGTTCTGCTGCTTCACGTCCAACCCGCTGTTCTACGGCTGCCTCAACCGGCAGATCCGCGCCGAGCTGGCCCGGCTCGTCGCGACCCTCCTCAAGCAGCCCCCCGAGGAGGGCTGCGCCTGCCCAGCCGCGAGGGCTCCATCCAGGAGAACTTCCTGCAGTTCCTGCAGAGCACGGGAGACTCCGAGCCCCCCGCCCCCTCCGCCGCGGGGACCCCCACGCAGGATCTGTCCCCGCTCCCGGCACCCCAAAAGGGGCCCGTCTCCCTCCACGGGCACCCCAAAGGGGTCTGCCCCCACCCCTTCCCTGTCGCCCCTGTGGGGTCGGGGGTCCCACGGCCGCCCCACAGGGTCCTGCCCTCTTTCCCCCCGTGGATTTTCGCATCCCGGGGCAGGTGGGGAGGACGCGGGGGGAAGGGGGAGGGAGGGGGCGATGGGGGTGGGCAGGCTCCGGGGGTCGGGCAGGGCAGGGCTGTAGCGTGTTTGTTTTGGGGTTTGTCGCGGGTAAATGTGGATGTGAGGGGAGAGGTGGTCCTGGTCACTCCGTGTGGGGGATGGGGGTGACACGAGGGGGCACACAGAGATGGGGTGGGGGAGCGTCCCACAGTGGTCACTGGGGGTGGAGGTCCTCATTGCTGCCGCCACAGGGGATCTTGGGGGGTCTGGGGGAGGATCTGAGGGGTCTGTGGGGCTCTGATGGGTCTGAGGGAGGGTCTGAGGGGTCTGGGAGGTTTTGAGGTGTCTGAGGGAGGGTCTGACGGGTCTGAGGGAGGGTCTGAGGGGTCTGAGGGAGGGTGTGGCGGAGGATCTGATGGGTCAGGGGGGCTCTGAGGGAGGGTCTAGGGGGCTCCGAGGGATCTGGGGAAGGCTCTGATGGGCTTTGAGGGCTCTGAGGGAAGGTCTGGGGGGCTCTGAGGGCTCTGGGGAAAGCTCTGGGGGCTCTGAGGAGTCTGGGGGATTCTGAGGGGTTTGGGGGGCTCTGAGGAGTCTGAGAGAGGGTCTGGGGGTTCTGAGGGGTTTGGGGGGCTTTGAGGAGTCCGAGGGAGGGTCTGGGGGGCTCTGAGGGCTCGGTGGCCGCCATGGACTCCCCGGAGCCCCTCGGGGACTACAACTCCCACCATGCCCCGCGCACCGGGGCGGAAATGCCCTCACTTCCCATCATGCCCCGCGGTACCGAGGCGGAAGCGCCTCTCGTTCCCACCCCCAGGAACTCCATTTCCCGTCATGCCCCGCGCCCGCCACCGGAAATCCAGAACTACCCGCTCCGAGACGGCTTCGGCCCCGCTCCTGCTCCCTGATCCCGGTCCTTGATCCCAAATCCCTATCCCAGAAGTGAAGCCTTTGTTTCCTGCGGGACCGAGGCCCAAGTGTCGCTCCGTCACATACTTAGAACTACATTTCCCATCATGCACCGCGCCCAGGATAGGAAATCCGGCCTCGCCTCAGGAGCTGCCCGGGCCGAGGTCGCTCCGGTCCCGCTCGCACTCTCAGTCACAATCCCTTTTCCCGATCCCGATCGTTGATCCCAATCCCGGGCGCGAAGCCATCCCGGGAACTCCATTTCCCATCATGCCCCTCCACTCTGAACTCCATTTCCCGTCGTGCCCCGCGGCCAACGCCGGAAACCCAGACCCTCTCCTGTCCCACTCCCGCTCCCCGATCCCAAATCCCGCTCCCAGAAGCGAAACCGTTGTTTCCCGATCCCAATCCCGGGAGCGAAGCCCTGCGATGGAATCCCGGGACGGATCGCTACCATCCCGGGAACTCCCATTTCCCATCATGGTCCCCTCGCATCTCTGAACTACATTTCCCATCATGCCCCGCGCCCGGCCCCGGAAATCCGGCGCCGCCTGAGGAGCCGCCCGGGCCCCTCATCCCAAAAATCCCCGAATAAAAATCCCGAATCAAATCCCAAATCCCGGCCCGGCGGCCCCGCCGGCGCCATGGGGTGCACGCTGAGCGCCGAGGACAAGGCGGCGGTGGAGCGGAGCAAAATGATCGACAGGAACCTCCGCGAGGACGGCGAGAAAGCGGCCAAGGAGGTGAAGCTGCTGCTGCTCGGTGAGCGCGGGGGGGGAACTTGGGGAGGATTTGGGGAGGATTTGGGGAGGATTTGGGGGGCTCAGGAGGGGATTTGGAGGGAACTGGGGGAATCCGAGGGGGATTTAGGGGAGAATGGGGGATTTTGGAGGGGGTGAACTGGGGGTCTCTGGGCTGCGGGAGGGATTTAGAGGGGGAAAGGGTGGGGGGGTCTCCTGCCCTTAGGGGAGTTTTTGGGGGTCTTCTGCTCTTAGGTTTTTTTGGGGGGGGGTCTCCTGCTCTTGGGGGAGATTTTGGGGGTGTTGTGACCTCAGGAGGGGATTTGGGGGGATCGGGAGAGGGGAAATCAGGGTCTCCAGATCCCAATGGGGGGGGGGATGGGGGTCCCTTGAGAGACTGAGGAGGGTCCTGAGGGATCCCTGGGGACATTCCAAGGGATCCTGGGGATGTTCCCAAGGAATCCTGGTGCCTGAGGAGGATCCCTGGTCCTCTTTTCCTGGGAGGGGGCTCTGATTTTTCCCGGGATGTCTCCCCTTGGATTTTCCCTCTGGAACACCCTCCTTGTCCCACGGGATGTTCCAGGAGCTCCCGACCCCTTTTCCAGCCTGGAAATCTCTCCCAGATCTTTCTCCTGGGTTTCCAAACCAGGGTGGTGATTCCTGGGAATGCTGGAATCTCCCCCTCCCTCCCAAAACTTGGGAAGGGAGCAGTGGAGATGGGAAATCAGGGGGCAGGGGGATTCCCTGGAATTCCAGCAGCCTGGAATGGTTTGGGGTGGAAGTTCCAACCCCTCCCGCTGTGCCGGGGGGGAACTCTGAGTTTATCCCGCCTGGATTGCAGATTTCTTGGAAAAAACAGTGTGGGATCCGTGATTGGATCCACCAGGGTTGTTCCCACCTTTGGGGAGCGATGAATCCCCAATCCCAGCTTCCCAGGCACCTCTGGAATCCGGGAATTCCGAGGTTTCTGGGCGGGTGAACTCCCAGAGGCCGCAAACAAAACGTGGGGGGGACGGGCCAGGAGCGATTCCAGCGGCAATTCCCGAGGAATCTCCTCCTCCAGCCGCATCCCCTTGGAATTCTCGGCGTTCCCTTCGGAATTCCCGGCGTTCCCTTTGGAATTCCCGGCGTTCCCTTCAGAATTCCCGGCATTCCCTTCAGAATTCCCAGCGTTCCCTTTGGAATTCCCAGTGTTCCCTTTTGAATTCCCAGTGTTCCCCTCAGAATTCCCAACATCCCCTTCAGAATTCCCGGCATTCCCCTCAGCATTTCCAGCATTCCCCTCAGAATTCCCAGTATTCCCTTCAGAATTCCCAGTATTCCGCTAAGAATTCCCAGTGTTCTGTTTGGAATTCCCGACAGTCCCTTCAGAATTTCCAGCATTCCCCTCAGAATTCCCGGCATTCCCTTCAGAATTCCTGGTGTTCCCCTTTTGAATTCCCAGCGTTCCCCTCAGAATTCCTGGCGTTCCCTTTGGAATTCCTGGCGTTTCCCTCGGAATTCTCAGCATCCCCCTCAGAATTCCTGGTGTTCCCTTGGGAATTCCCAGTGTTCATCCGGCTGTTCTCCCTGCTTTCCAGGCGCGGGCGAGTCCGGGAAGAGCACCATCGTGAAGCAGATGAAGTGAGTGATTCCTGGGATTCCTGGGGGGTGGGATGGGTGGATCCAGGCTCATCCCCGCTCCCCTGGCCGCAGGATCATCCACGAGGACGGCTATTCCGAGGAGGAGTGCCGGCAGTACCGGGCCGTGGTTTACAGCAACACCATCCAGTCCATCGTGGCCATCGTGCGCGCCATGGGCCGGCTGCGCATCGACTTCGGGCACCCGCGCGTGCCGTGAGTGACCCCATCCCAGCGGGATAACAACGGGATACCCACGGGAATGGGAGAGGGACCGGGGCTGGACAGGGATAGGTCGCGGCTGGGAGTGGCCCAGGAGCCAGCCGGGAGTGGGAGCGGGATGAGGGATCCATCAGGGCTGGGAGTGTTCAGGACCCACCTGGCAATGGGCTTGAGATGGGAGAGAATCCAGGGATCCATCAGGATCCATCAGGGCTAGGAGTGTCCAGGATCCAGGATCCAGTCGGGAATGAGTGTGCAACAAGGGATTCTATCAGAGCCAGGAATGTCCTGGGATTCCACTCTGGGAATGAGCTCGGGATGAGGGACTGGCCATGGATCCACTGGGGCTGGGAGTGGCCTGGGAGCCAACCAGGAATGTGCTCGGGATGGGGGATTGGCCAGGGATCCATCAGGGCTGGAAGTGTCCCAAGAACCAACCAGGAGTGGGAGTGGGATGAGGGAGGAGCCAGGGATCCCTCAGGGCCAGGAGTGTCCCAGGATTCCACTCTGGGAATGAGCTCGGGATGAGGGACTGGCCAGGGATCCATCAGGGCTGGGAGTGTCCAGGATCTGCCTGGGGATGGGCTTGAGATGAGGGAGGACTCAGGGATCCATCAGGGCTGGGAATGGCCTGGGATTCCAGTCTAGGAATGGGCTCGGGATGAGGGACTGGCCAGGGATCCATCAGGGCTGGGAGTGTCCAAGATCCAGGATCCAACTGGGAATGGGTGTGCAACAAGGGATTCCATCAGGGCCAGGAGTGTCCTGGGATTCCACTCTGGGAATGAGCTCAGGATGGGAGACTGGCCAGGGATCCATCAGGGCTGGGAGTGTCCAAGATCTGGGATCCAATTGGGAATGGGTGCGGGACAAGGGATTCCCTCAGGGCTGGGAGTGTTCAGGATCTGCCTGGGAATAGACTCGAGATGAGGGAGGAGCCAGAGTTCCATCAGGGCTGGGAATGGCCTGGGATTCCACTCTGGGAATGGGCTTGGGATGAGGGAGGAGGCAGGGATCCATCACAGCTGGGAGTGTCCAGGTTTTGGGATCCAACCAGGAATGGGAGCAGGATGGGGGGCTGGCCAGGGATCCATCAGGGCTGGGAGTGACCGGGATCCAACTGGGAATGGGTGTGTGACACGGGATTCCATCAGGGCCAGGAGTGTCCTGGGATTCCACTCTGGGAATGGGCTCAGGATGGGAGACTGGCCAGGGATCCATCAGGGCTGGGAGTGGCCTGGGAGCCAACTGGGAATGGAAGCGGGATGAGGGATTCCATCAGGACTGGGAGTGTCCCGGGATCCAGGATCTGCCTGGGAATGGATTTAGCACAAGGGAGTATCCAGGGATTCCTCAGGGACGGAGTGTCTGGGATCCCCCATGGTTTCCCCTGGGAACGGTCTTGGGATGAGAGAGGATCCAAGAATCCGTCAGCACAGCGGGATTGGGGGATTTCATCCCAGTTGGATCTGGGCTCTCCTCATTCCCTACTTCTGGAACTGGGGCTATTTGGGAGTGGTGGGGGGGGTGGGAGGTGACATTCCCGGGATTCCTGGGAATGAGGGGGGCTGAGCTCACTCCGTCATTCCCGCTGTCCGCAGGACGATGCCCGGCAGTTGTTTGTCCTGGCGGGCAGTGCCGAGGAGGGGACGATGACGGCCGAGCTGGCCGGGCTGATCCAGCGCCTCTGGAGCGATCCCGGCGTGCAGGCCTGCTTCGGCAGATCCCGGGAATACCAGCTCAACGACTCCGCCTCCTAGTGAGGAGCTGTGGGATCGGCCCTGGGATGAGGGGAGGGAGATTCCTGTGGGATCCTGGGGGGGATTCCTGGGGATGGGATGGGATGGGATGGGATGGGATGGGATGGGATGGGATGGGATGGGATGGGATGGGATGGGCTGCAGCAGGGAGTACTGGGGAACACGGGAATGGTTTGGGATTGCAGCCTGGAATCGTTTGGGATTTAAGCCCAGAATGGTTTGGGATTGCAGCCGATGGTAAAGGATGCTCAGATGGTTGAGATTTCAGCTGGAGCTCAGAGGAGTTTAGGTGGATGGTCCTGAGGCCTTAAAGTGACTCCTTCCAGGGCTGTATCCTCAGGGAATGCTGGGAAGGAGGCTTGGGATGGATCTGCCTGGATTGGGATGCACAGGGATCCCATCCTGGCACAGGGATCCATCCCATCCTGGCACAGGGATCCCATCCTGGCACAGAGATCCATCCCATCCTGGCACAGGGATCCATTCCTGGCACAGGGATCCATTCCTGGCACAGATCCCATCCCATCCCATCCTGGCACAGGGATCCCATCCTATCCTGGCACAGATCCCATCCTGGCACAGGGATCCATTCCTGGCACAGATCCCATCCTGGCACAGGGATCCCATCCCATCCTGGCACAGGGATCCATTCCTGGCACAGGGATCCCATCCCATCCCGGCGCAGATCCCATCCTGGCACAGGGATCCATCCCATCCCATCCCATCCCATCCCATCCCATCCTGGCCCAGCTCCCCCTCCCTCCCCCCTCTCACCTCCCCCCATAGATGATCCCAAATCCCGCTGTTTCTGGGCGAGGGGTCGGGACTGGAGCCTCTCCCCTGGTGCCTCCCGATCCCACATTCCCACCCCTCAATCCCATCCCTGTTTTCCCTGGCTCAGCTACCTCAATGACCTGCAGAGGATCTCCCAGCAGAGCTACATCCCCACCCAGCAGGACGTGCTGCGCACCAGGGTCAAAACCACGGGCATTGTGGAGACCCACTTCACCTTCAAGGACCTCTACTTCAAGTGAGTGATGGTCTCAGCCATTCCAGAGGGATGGGAAATCCCTGGATAACCCCTGGTCCTGTCCCAAAGGGATGGGAGAGCCCTGGATAACCCCCAGTCCTGGTTTAGTGTCCTTCTCTGGGGGGAAATCCATGGGCATCGTGGAGACTCCTTTCACCTTCAAGGACCTGCATTTCCCAAGGAGGGACAATCCCAGCCATTCCAGAGGGCTGGGAGAATCCCTGGAAATCCCTGATGCTGGTTTAGTGTGTCCCAAAGTGATGGGAGATCCCTGGATAGTCCCTGATCCTGGTTTAGTGTCCTTCCCTGGGGGGAAAACCGAGGGGATTGAGGAGATTCGTTTCACCTTCAAGGACCTGCATTTCCAGGGAGGGGCAATCCCAGCCCATCCCTGTGTCCCAAAGGGCTGGAAAATCCCTGGAGAACCCCCAGTCCTGGTTTGATGTGTCCCACAGCAGTGGGAGATCACTGGAAAATCCCTGATCCTGGTTTAATGTCCTTCCCTGGGGCTGAAAACCACGGGAATCGGAGCTGCATTTCCAGGGAGTGACATTTCCAGCTCTTCCCAAAGACAGTGCCAGCCCTTCCCTGTGTTCCAAAGGGCTGGAAAATCCCTGGACAAGCCCTGCTCCCGGTTCACTCGTCCTTCCCTGGGAAGGCTTTTGATTTGATTTCCCTTCTTCTGTTCTTTCCAGCTGCTTTTCCCTCGGGATCACACCCACACAGGTACCTCGCTGCTCCTTTTCCAGGCCCCCCATCCCAAAAAAAAACCCGGCTAAAAGGAGCCCTGAGTGGAATTTGACCCCTTCCCGTGGCACAGGGAGCTCTCCATGTGCTCCTCCAGGAATTCCAGCCTGGATGGGGCTCTCCTGGCCCCTCTTCCCTCTTTCCCACCTTCCTTGCTGCTCAGGAATTCCTTGCTTGGAATGCCCGGGGGTTGCTCCTGGAGCTCTCCCTGTGGGAATTCCCGGGTGTTTGTGGCTGGTTTTTCCCTGTTTGGAGCTTTTCCCTGTGAATCCCATCCCTAAAAAAGCACTCCAGTGGCTTCTCCAGAGCTTGTGTTTGCTTGGAAATCCCGAGGTTTTTATGGAATTCTGGGCTGGGTTGGGTTGGGAAGGACCCTGAAGCTCATCCAGTGCCCTGGGCAGGGACACCTCCCGTTATCCCAACTCGCTCCAGCTTTATCCAGCCTGGCCTTGGGCGCTTCCAGGGATGGAGCATCCCCTGGGAATTCCATCCCAGCCCCTCCCAGGATCCCAATATCCCATTCCCACGAATACAGGAGCTCCAGGGCTGGAATTTGGGAGTCCTCAGGGAGGCTCCTCCTCCACGGATCCCCCACAGTGGGTTCAGCCCTGCAGGATCTCCTGGAATCTCAGGCACTTCCCACCTTCCCAGGGGGTTTGCGGCACAGGGAAGGTGGGAATGGAACCGTGGAATTCCCTCCCTGTGGGAACAAACCCACGGCCAGGACTTGTGGGTTGAGCTGATTAAATTCATTAAATCCCATCCCATCCCATCCCATCCCTGGGCAGGGACACCTCCCCCCATCCCAGGCTGCTCCAGCCTGGCCTTGGACACTCCCAGGGATGGGACATCCCCTGGGAATTCCCTCCCAGGGAGGAATTCCCTCTCAATATCCCATCTAACTCTCTGGCAGTGGGAAGCCATTCCCTGTGTCCTGTCCCTCCATCCCTTGTCTCAAATCCCTCTCCAGCTCTCCTGGAGCCCCTTCAGACCTGGAAGGGGCTTTAAGGTTTCCCTGGAGCCTTCCCTTCTCCAGGGCAACATTCCCAGCTCTCCCAACCTGGCTCCAGAGCAGAGGGGCTCCAGAATCCTGGAATCCCAGGCTGGTTTGGGTGGGAAGGGACCTCAAATCCCATCCCATTCCCCCCATCCCAGGCTGCTCCAACCCGGCCTTGGGACACTCCCAGGGATGGGGCATCCCCTGGGAATTCCATCCCAGCCGCTCCAGCAATCCCTTCCCGATATCCCATTGGATCTGATCCGTTTTTCCCGCCGTTCCCAGGATGTTTGACGTGGGGGGGCAGCGCTCGGAGCGCAAGAAGTGGATCCACTGCTTCGAGGGCGTCACTGCCATCATCTTCTGCGTGGCCCTCAGCGACTACGACCTGGTGCTGGCCGAGGACGAGGAGATGGTGCGGGATCCTGGGATTCTGGGATTCTGGGAGAGGGGGATTGGGGGACTGGAGGAGGAGAGCCTGGAATGGCCCGCAGGAACCGCCCCGGTGGGGTCAGTCCCGCAGGAGCTGCTCCGGGTCCTTCCATGGGATTAGTCCAGGTCCTTTTCCACGGGATTAATCCAGGTCCTTTTCCATGGGATTAATCCAGGTCCTTCCATGGGATTAATCCAGGTCCCTTTCCATGGACTCAGTCCCTCAGGAATTGTCCCTTCCCCTGGGTCAATCCCTCAGGAACTGCTCCATCCTGGATCCCTTTCCATGGGATCAATCCAGGTCCCTTTCCGTGGGGCCAGACCTTCAGGAACTGCTCCCATGGGGTCAATCCCTCAGGAACTGCTCCAACCTGGATCCCTTTCCATGTGTCAGTCCCTCATTAACTGTTCCAGGTCATTTCCATGGGATCAGTCCAGGTCCCTTTCCATGAGCTCAGTCCCTCAGGAATTGCCCCAATCCATGTCCCTTTCCATGAGCTCATTCCCTCAGGAATTGTCCCTTTCCATGAGCTCATTCCCTCAGGAATTGCCCCTTCCCACGGGCTCATTCCCTCAGGAATTATCCTTTTCCATGGGCTCATTCCCTCAGGAATTTCCCCCTCCCAGGGTTGGGGTTGGAGGGGGAGGTGACCCCCCTTTCCCTGCCCCCATCCGTGTCCCTCCGTCCCCAGAACCGGATGCACGAGAGCATGAAGCTCTTCGACAGCATCTGCAACAACAAGTGGTTCACCGACACCTCCATCATCCTCTTCCTCAACAAGAAGGACCTGTTCGAGGAGAAGATCCGCAAGAGCCCCCTCACCATCTGCTACCCCGAGTACTCAGGTACCGGATCCACCCCCTGGAGCAGGGATGGGCCTCTCCAGCCCTTGGGAATCCCACGGGAATGCCGGCTCAGAGCCCGGCAGAGTGAGCTGGGTCCTGCTCTGGGCCCTTCCAGCCCCAGCCATTCCATGGTTCCATGATTTTAAGGTCCCTCCCAACCCAAACCATTCCATGGTTTATCCCTCTTTTCCTTTAAGATCCTCCCAACCCAAACCATGACTTTAAAGTCCTGATTCCATGACTTTAAAGTCCTTCCAATCCAACCATTCCATGACTTTAAGGTCCCTCCCAACCCAGCCATTCCATGATTTGTCCCTCTTTTCCTTTAAGACCCTTCCAACCCAACCATTCCATAACCTCAAGGTCTCTTCCCACCCAACCATTCCTTGATTTTAAGGTCTCTTCCCACCCACCCATTCCATGGTTTTAAGGTCCCTCCCAACCCAACCATTCCATGATTTTAAGGTCTCTCCCACCCAACCATTCCATGGTTTCAAGGTCCCTCCCAACCAACCATCCTACGATTTTAAGATCCCTTCCCACCCACCCATCCCTCAATTCCACAGCTGGTCCCTCTTTTCCTTTAAGACCTTTCCCACCCACCCATCCCATGATTTTAAGCTCCCTTCCTTCCCAACCATTCCATAACTTCAAGGTCTCTCCCAACCAACCAACCATTCCATGATTTTAAGGTTTCTCCCCACCCACCCATCCCATAATTCTACCATTTATCCCTCCTTTTCTTTCAGTCCCTCCCAACCCAACCATTCCTTGATTTTAAGATCCCTTCCCACCCAACCATTCCTTGATTTTAAGATCCCTTCCCACCCAACCATTCCATGGTTTTAAAGTCCCTTCCAACCCAACCATTCCATGATTTCAAGGTTCCTTCCCACCCAACCATCCCATAATTTTAAGGTCCCTCCCAACCAACCATCCCACGATTTTAAGATCCCTTCCCACCCACCCATCCCTCAATTCCACAGCTGGTCCCTCTTTTCCTTTAAGACCTTTCCCACCCACCCATCCCATGATTTTAAGCTCCCTTCCTTCCCAACCATTCCATAACTTCAAGGTCCCTCTCAACCCAACCAGTCCATGATTTCAAGGTCCTTTCCCACCCAACCATCTCATGAATTTAAGGTCTCTCCCACCCAATGGTGGGAGAGAAACCATCCCATGGTTTCAAGGTCCCTCCCAACCACCCATCCCACACAATTCCACCATTTATCCCTCCTTTCCTTTCAGTCCCTTCCAACCCAACCACTCCGTGATTTCAAGGCCCCTTCCCACCCACCCATTCTGTGATTTTAAGCTCCCTTCCTCCCAACCTTTCCATAACTTCAAGGTCCCTCCCAACCCACCCATCCCATGGTTTCAAGGTCCCTCCCAACCCAACCATTCCATGATTTTAAGGTCCCTTCCCACCCAACCATTCCATAACTTCAAGCTCCCTCCCCACCCGCCCATCCCACCTCCATCCCCCTCCCCTCCCCTCCCATCTCTCCGCCCCTCCCCCCATTCCCGTCGGTGCCCGAATCCCGGGATTTGTGGCCCTTCCCAGGCTCCAACACGTACGAGGAGGCGGCCGCCTACATCCAGTGCCAGTTCGAGGAGCTGAACCGGCGGCGGGACACGAAGGAGATCTACACGCACTTCACCTGCGCCACCGACACCCGCAACGTGCAGTTCGTGTTCGACGCCGTCACCGACGTCATCATCAAGAACAACCTCAAGGAGTGCGGCCTCTACTGAGGGAGCGCCGGGAACGGCGCCGGGAACGGCACCGGGAATGAACGGCGGCCCCGGAGCGGGAGAGGCGTCGGCACAACCTCCCTGCTTCCCGGGGACCTGCCCGGGCACCGGGATTTGGGGAGTGGGGGTGGAGCCTCCTGGGATGAGGTGGAGTCTTCTGGAATGGGGGTGGAGCCTCTCGGCATCGCTGGAAAATGAGATCTGCCTTTGTTCCACCGGGATTCCAGCGGGATTCCAATGGGATTTCAGTGGGATTCCAACAGCATTCCAACCAGATTGCAGCCTGATTCTGGCCAGATTCCAGCCCTTGGATTCCAGCAGGATTCCTGTGGGATTCCAGCCTGATGATTCCTGTGGGATTCCAACCAGATTCCAGCCCTTGGATTCCAGCCTGATTCCTGTGGGATTCCAGCCTGATTCCAGTGGTATTCCAGCAGGATTCCAGTGGGATTCCAGCCTGATGATTCCTGTGGGATTCCAACCAGATTCCAGCCCTTGGATTCCAGCTGGGTTCCAGCCCAATTCCGACCAGATTGCTGCCAGATCCCAGCCTGATTCCAGTGGCACTCCAGCCAGATTCCAGTAGGATTCCAACCAGATTCCAGCCCAATTCTGGACAGATTCCACCTAGATTCCAGCCCTTGGATTCCAGCCCAATTCCAGCCTGATTCCAGTGGCATTCCAACCAGATTCTGACCAGATTCCAGCCCTTGGATTCCAACTGGATTCCAGCCCAATTCCAACCAGATTGCAGCCAGATTCCAGCCTGATTCCAGTGCAATACCAGTAGGATTCCAACCCAATTTCAGCCTCATTCCAGTGGGATACCATCCTGATTCCAGGGGCATTCCAACTAGATTCCAGCTCTTGGATTCCAGATGGATTCTCACCAGATTGCAGCCTGATTCCAGCGGGATTCCAGTGGGATTCCAGCCAGATTCCAGCCCTTGAATTCCAGCTGGATTCCAGCCCAATTCCAAGCAGATTCCAGCCTGATTCCAGTGGCATTCCAGCCTGATTCCAGTGGCATTCCAAGCAGATTGCAGCCCTTGGATTCCAGCCTGGTTCCAGCCCAATTCCAGCCTCATTCCAGCCTGATCCCAGCCCTTGGATATGTAGCTCTCTCTTCCTTTTTTCTCCCCCATCCCTCTGTTTTTTTAAGGTTATTTTGGGTGGTTTTGTTCCACGCAGGAAACTTTCCCTTCCCTAAACTTTGTTGCTCTCAGCCTTGTTTTAAAAATAATAATAAAAAAACCAAGAATAATTAAAAAAAAGACCCAAAAAAACCCCACCAAAAAAACAATTAACTGGTTTTTTTTCCCCGGTTTTTCCGCTTTGCCGGAGAAGGGAGGGAAGAGCTTCCATGGGAATTCTGAGGAGGGGGAAAGATTCCTTGTGCTCTTTGATGGGAATGAGGTGGAATTCTGGGTGCAGGGAAGTTCCTTGTGGTGCAACATTCCAGGAATCCCGGTGGGAATCCCAGCCCTGCAGGTGGGACCTTTCCGAGGACTCTTCCTTAGAATTCCGGGATAAATCCCTTGGGGAAGCTCTCAGCACCTCCTTCCTCTGGAATTCTTTCCAAGCTCCCTGGAGCTCTGCCTGCCTCCCCTGGGTGGGATTCCCAACCCCAGGTGGGATCTGGAGATCCAGGTGATCCCAAGAGCTGGGAATGGGTGGAAAGGATGGAAACCCCCTGGATCCAAGCTCTGGGAAGCAGGGAATGAAGGACACCCCGGGTCATGCACATTCCTTTATTGTTGTTTTTCCTACTGAAGTGAAGCTGGAAGTGAAGGGGGGGGGTTGGAAAAATCAGTGCAGGGAGCAGGGAAAAGGAGAATCCAGGGATTTACAGGGGTCACCTACGGATTATTTACAGTCAGAGAGAGCAACCGCAGCTCTAAAATAGCAGAGTGAAAATGCTTCGAGCAACCATTTCCTCTTTATCCAGCCCCATTCCCCAGGGCTGGAATTGGGATTCCCTCCCCCTTCCCCCCCCCCAGCCCTGAGGAATTCCCACATTTCTCCTGCCAAAGGGCTGGGGTGGATTCCCAGGAAAGGGGCTGGGGGGTTCCCAGGAGCCACCAGGAGGGGACTCAGCTTCCTCCTCCCCCCAGAATTCCAGCTTGGATCATTCCAGCCCCGATCCAAGGGCAGGAATGGGCTGTGGAGGGATAGCCTGGGGAAGGGGAGGGAGGGAGGGGGGGGAATTCCCATCCCTACCCCCCGAATTCCCTCAGTATTCCCATTCCTGGCTGCGTGTTGGTGCCCAAACCTCCCGTGGATCGCTGGGAACAGGGAGTTTTCCTTGGAAAAAAAAACCCCAACAAAAAATCCACAACAACAACAACAAAAAAAGAGGAAATGGCCACGAAAGGGAGCAGGAAGTTGAGTTCAGCCCCTTCCTAGTTTGGGGTGAAAGGAGGCGGATTTGGGGGCGCTCACAGAAAAAGTGGGAGCGGTGCCGAGTGGAGGGGGTGGTTCTTCCTTTGGCTCTGCTCAGCAGAACGGAGAGACGGGAACGGTTCCTGGGAAAGGGGGAGACAACGGGGGGTTACAGACACAGCCAGGGGCAGGGACACCTTGGCCTTCAGCCCTATGAGGATGAGGATGGAGAATCTCCCACCCTTTGCCTTCCTCCCTATGAGGATGAGGATGGAGCATCTCCCACCCTTTGCCTTCATCCCAGTGATGATGAGGATGAGGATGGAGCATCTCCCACCCTTTGCCTTCATCCCTGTGGGAATGAAGATGGAGCATCCTCCACCTTTTCCCCTGGCCTTCATCCCAGTGATGATGAGGATGAGGATGGAGCATCTCCCACCCTTTGCCTTCCTCCCTATGAGGATGAGGATGGGCCAAATCCACCAGGATGAGCTTCAAACCCTCCGAGTTCCCAACCCCTGGAGCTCCGCGGGTGGGGACAGAGGGAGGGGACAGAAGGGGGACCTGGGGGTGCCCAGGTGGTCCTTCCTGGCATCATCCCTTGGAATCCTGGCATTCCTGTCTCAGGAAGAGTGTGCCAGGGGAGGCTCAGGTGGGACACGAGGAGGAATTTCCTCCTGGAAAGGGTGGTCAGGCCTTGGCAGGGGCTGCCCAGGGAGGTTTGGAGTGCCCACCCCTGGAGGTGTCCAAGGAAGAGCTGGATGTGGCACTCAGTGCTCCGGGCTGGGGGATGAGGTGGGGGGCTCAGGCTCAGGGTGGACTGGGTGGTCTCGGGGGTCTTTTCCATCCTAAACGAGTCTGGGATTCTGTGGGACGGACCCAGCTCTGCTCCTCCTGCTCCTCCTCCTGCTCCTCCTCCTGCTCCTCCCTCTCCTCCTTCCCCCAGCCCCTTTTTGGGATGATCACCCCCATCCCCAACTCTTCTCACCCTCATCCTCTCCCCCCACCCCTTTAAGGCTGGAGCCTCCTCCGCTCATCCCCCTCTCCCCTCCCCTCCCTTTTCCCGCCATTCCCGCCATTCCCATTCCCGGTTTTGCACCTTCCCGGGCTCAGAAGAGGCCGCAGTCCTTGAGGTTCTCTTTGATGATCACGTCCGTGACGGCGTCGAAGACGAACTTGACGTTCTGGGTGTCTGTGGCACAGGTCATGTGGCTGTAAATCTCCTTCACGTCCTTCCTCATGTTCAGGTCCAGGAACTGGGTCTTGATGTAATTCCCGGCGTCCTCGAACGTGTTGGGGCCTGGGCAGGGAAGGGAGGGAAGGGAGGGAAGGTCCTGGAGCCGCTCCCCGCCCTCCCCGCGGGGAGGAGCTCCGGAGAAGGGCCCGAGGGAGGGGGTGAAACTCCCGAAAAAACGTGGATAGATCCCATTTCAAAGCCTTCCAAATTCCCTCCCGATGGTGCGTCCCTCCCCCTCTCAGTTCCAGCCTCTAGGAATGGCACTCAGCGCTCCGGGGGAGATGGTTCTGCTCCCCCTCCTCTTCCTCCTCCTCCTCCCCTTCCTCAGCCCTTCTCGGGATCGGCTCTGATGGTCCCATCCCTAATTTTCGGGATGGAACCGGCTCTGCTCACCCTCATCCCCTTCCCCAGCCCTAATTTTTGGGATGGGACTGACTCTGCTCATCCTCACCCCCTTCTCCTTCCCCGGCCCTTTTTTGGGGGGTGGAACCGGCTCTGATCGTCCGATCCCTTCCCCAGCCCTAATTTTGGGGATGGAGCTGACTCTGCTTATCCCGCTTCCCATCCACTCCATCCCCTCCCGGCTCCATCCCCCGCTCCGGGGGGGTCTCCAGGGGGGTTGGGAAGGCCGGGATTGCTCCGGACTCACCGTCGTACTCCGGGAAGCAGATGCTGAGATGAACCTTCTTGATCTTCTCCTCGAAAAGGTCCTTCTTGTTGAGGAAGAGGATGATGGAGGTGGCTGCGAAGAACTTGTGGTTGCATATACTGTTGAAGAGGTGCAGGGACTCGTGCATCCGGTTCTGGACAGGGAATTGTCACGGATTCAAACCCCCTCTGAGCCCCCCATTCCCAAAAAAAAAAAAAAACACCTTTCCCTGTTTTCCCACGGCAGCCGCCACCCCAGTCCGAAATCCCGGATGAATCCTCAGGGGGGTGCTCTGATCCCTCCCGGCATCGTCAGGAAGGAGGGATTGCAGCGGGAAAATGATCCATGGAAACCGCTCTGATCCATGGAAACCGCTCTGATCCTTCCTGGGATGGTCAGGAAGGAGGGATTGCAGCGGGAAAATGATCCATGGAAACCCCGCGGCCTGCAGGGAAGGGATGGTTTTACCTCCTCCAGATCCCCCCCAGGGCAGCAGCTTTTCCATGTGCAGAGCCCAAATCCTGCCCCGCCCTCCTCGGGAAAGCATTCCAGGCCTCCCGTGGGAAGGGTCCTGAGCTCCCACCCGGCCGTGGGGATGCCCAGGGAAGGAAGATCCCACCCCTGCCCCAGCTCCTGGAGGTGTTTGGATCCCAGGGAATGGCCAGGGAAGCTGGAGGAGCTGGAGCAGCTCCCGCCCTCCTCATCTTCGCCCCTCGGCTCCTGCTTCTTCCCGGGAATGCCCCGTCCTGGGGGTTCCACATTCCTGCTCTCCGGATCTCTGCTCTTTCCCAGGGCTCTGCCGGGGAATCCCGGGCGGGCACCCCTTGGATAATGTCCCTGTGCCCCCATTCCCAGCGCTGGGAGGGCGGGAGCTGCCCCTGCTCCCCTCTCTGCCCCCCCGGGGGGGCACAGGGAGGCCCCTCCAGGCTGGATTTTCCTCCATCCCACCCATTCCTGGCCCGGTGTTTTGGGATCGGGGAACACCAGGAGCTGCTCAGGAGCTTCCCAGGGGGTTCGTAATGGGAAAACCCCTGGATCTGTGATCCAGAGGAAGCCCCAACCCCTGCACTGGGCGGGAACCGGCTCAGCCGCTCCTCCCGCCGGCCCGGGAGGGGATCGGGGAGGGATCGATGGGGATCGGGAGGATCGGGGAGGGATCGATGGGGGATCGGGGAGGATCGATGGGGAGATCGGGGAGGGATTGGGGAGGGATCGATGGGGGATCGGGAGGATCGATGGGGGATCGGGAGGGATCGATGGGGATCGGGAGGATTGGGGAGGGATTGGGGAGGAATTGGGGAGGGATCAATGGGGGGATCGGGAAGGGATTGGGGAGGGATCAATGAGGGGATCGATGGGGGGAATCAGGAAGGGGATCGATGAGGGGGATTGATGGGGGGGATCGATGAGGGGGTTGTGGAGGGGGATCAAGGAGGGGGGCCAGGGAGGGGGATTATAGAGGGGGATCAATAAAAGGGATCTGTGAGGGGGGTCAGGGACGGGGATCAATGAGGAGGATCAATGAAAGGACTGGAAGGATCAATGGAGGGATCAATGAGGGGATCAGTGAGGGGATCAAAGAGCAGGATCACGGAGGGGGTTTGTGGAATGGGATCAAAGAGCGGGATCACAGACTGAGGTTGTTGAAGGGGGCTGATGATCCCACAGGGCAAAGGGTTGTTCCCACTCCTCCTCCCTGCCCCCCCATGGACTCCCGACCCACCACTTCATCGTCCTCCACCAGCACCATGTCGTAGGCGCTCAGGGCCCCGCAGAAGATGATGCAGGTGACGCCCTCGAAGCAGTGGATCCACTTCTTGCGCTCCGAGCGCTGCCCCCCGACGTCGAACATCCTGCGGGGCACGGGGGGTTGGTGTCACACCCACCCCACCCACTCTGGGACGGCCCCTTGGGATGGGGGGGGGCGTGCTTGGGCACCCCAAAATCCGACCCTGATGGTGGGGAAATGTGGAGGGGGGTCCCGGAGGGGCAGGGGCTCCCCCCACCTGAAGTTGAGGTCCTTGACGGAGAACTTGGTCTCGATGATGCCCGTGGTCTTCACCCGGGAGCGCAGCACGTCCTGCTCGTTGGGGAGGTAGTTGGGGGCTGTGATCCTGTCCAGCTGGTTCAGGTAACTGCAGGCACGGGCCGGGGGGGCCGTGACCTGGTGCCGAGGGGCTGCCCCTGGGCCCCCGTCCCCCCCAGCCCTCCTGTTCTCCCCAGTCCCCTGTCCCTGTGCCCGCCTGTCCTTCTGTCCCCCAGTGCTCCCTGTCCCCCTGTCCCAGTGGCCCCTGTCCTCTTGTCCCCCTCACCCCCCTTGCCTCCTGTGTCCCGTCTCCCTGTCCCCCCTGTCCCCTTGTCCCCTGTGCCCGCCGGTCCCCAGTCCCTGTGCCCCCTGTCCCCCAATCCGCCTGTCCCCATGTCCCCTGTCCCCCGTGTACTCGTGTACCCTGTCCCCATGCCCCTTGTCCCTCTCTCCCCTTGTCCCCTCTTCCCCTTGCCCCCTGTGCCCCTTTACCCCATGCCCCTGTCCCCTGTCCCTATGCCCGCCTTCCTCTGTCCCCTGTGTCCCCTGTCCCGTGTCCCTGTCCCGTGTCCCTGTCCCCACTCACTAGGCGGCCGAGTCGTTGAGCTGATACTCCGCGGCGCGGTCAAAGCACGCCTGGACCCCCCCGTCCTTCCAGAGCTTCTTGATGCACGACACGAGCTCGGGGGGCATCGTGCCCTCCTCGATGGAGTCGGCCAGGTTGAACAGAATCCGGCCCTCGTCCTGGGGGGGGACACGCCCTCGTCACCCCCCCCGCCCCCGGGATCCTCCAAACCGAGCACCCTCAGCCTCCCCCGAGCACCCCCAGTCCCCGTGTCACCCCCACCCACCCACGGGATCCCCCAAGGTGCTCTCAGCCCCTCAGACTGCCCTCAGACCCCTGAAAGCACCCTCAGCCCCCTAAAGCACCCTTAACCCCCAAAGCACCCTTAACACCCCCAAAACCACCCTTAACTCCCCCACTCCTCGCCAAAGCACCCTTTAAAACCCCCAAAGCATCCTCAACCCCTCCAAAGCACCCTCAGCCCACCCAAGAACCCTTAACTCCTCCCAAAGCACCCTCAGCCCCCCAAAGCACCCTCAGCCCTCCAGAGCACCCTCAGCCCCCCAAAGCACCCTCAGACCCTCCCCAGCACCCTCAGTGCCCCCAAGCACCCTCAGCCCCCAAAGCGCCCTCGGGCCGGGCAGCACCGACCCCTCTCCCAGGCCCCCTCTCCCTCACCCCGGCTCTGGGGGCTCTTGGGGAGCTCGGGGGGCCTTTCTTGGGGTCTCAGGGGGGGCTCGTGGGGGCACTGACCGCGCAGGCGGACTCTGCGTAGTCGATGCCGAGCGTGGACATGGCTCGGACGATGGCCAGGATGGACTGCAGGATGTTCCCGTAGATGATGGCCTTGAACTCCATGCACTCCTCCTCCGTGTACCCGTCCTGGTGGATGATCCTGGGGGGCACCGCGGCCTCAGCACCCCCTCCCGCTCCCCTTTGGGACGCCCCCGGCCCTCCCCGTGCAGGAGTCAGCGGGTGCCACCAGCGGAGTGACACGGAGGGGGTGATGGGGGTCCTGGGGGGATGGGGGTGGGTCCCCTCTGCCCAGCCCCCCTACTCACTTCATCTGCTTCACGATGGTGCTCTTCCCTGACTCTCCAGCCCCTGGAAAAAGCGTGGGAATCTCAGCGGGGCCGTGACGGGCACCCCGAGGTGACCAGAGCCGCTGTCACTCCCACCCCCGCCCCAGCCCGGGCTCCTGCCATTGTCCCCACGCTCCTGTCCCCCCTCGCTCCGCGTGGGGCCGCAGCGGGGGGCGGTGGGGACCCCCCTGGAGGGGGTCCCTGGGGTCCCACCCGTCCCACCCGCCCGCGGGCGGCGCCGGCCGTGCCTCGTAAGCGGCTTAGGGTGGCCCAGGAAGCCGCTTAGAATTAGGGTGGTAATCGCCTTGACCCCCGGCCCCCCCACCTGGATAAGGCCCACCGCCGCCCCTGACACGGGGGGTCACCCCCTGTCCTGTGGGGTACCCCAGGGAGTCACCCCTTTACCCTTCAGGGTCACCCCTCTGCCCCTTGGGGTCATCCCCTGTTCTTTGGGGTCACCTCTGTACCCCAGGGGGTCACCCCATACCCGGGGGGTCACCCCTTTACCCTTCAGGGTCACCTCCTGCCCCTTGGGGTCACCCCTGTTCTTTGGGGTCACCCCTGTACCCCAGGGGGTCACCCCTTTGCCCTGCAGGGTCACCCTCTGCCCCTTGGGGTGCAGAGGGACCCCCAAGGGACCCCCCCAGGATTTGGGGGTGCTGGTGGCAGGAGCTCCCCAGGCTCTCTGTGACACTCGGGATGTGTCACAGCCCCGCTGTCCCCGTCTCCTCCCCGTGCCCCCCCTCTGTCCCTGCCACCCCAAGGGCCGATGGCACCTCCAGCTCTTCCCAGGGACAGCCCTGGGGACACCCAGGGGGTGGCACAGCCTCTCCTGGCCGGTGGCAGCTCCGAGGGGGAACAGGAGGAGCCCGGGGGGTCCCAATCCCATCTGTGGGGTGGGGACATGGGGACAACCCTTGGGGACACCACACAACCTCCAACGGGGTGGGGACATCGGGACAACCCTTGGGGACACCCCCTGAGCTCCAGCAGGGTGGGGACATCGGGACCACCCTCGAGGACACCCCCTGAGCTCCAATGGGGTGAGGACATGGGGACCACCCCTGGGGACACTCCCCAAGCTCCACCGGGGTGGGGACATCAGGACAATTCTTGGGGACACCCCTCAACCTCCAGTGGGGTGGGGACATCAGGACCACCCTCGAGGACACCCCCTGAGCTCCAGCAGGGTGGGGACATGGGGACAACCCTTGGAGACACTCCTAAACCTCCAACGGGGTGGGGACATCAGGACCACCCTCAGGTACAACCCCTGAGCTCCAACAGGGTGGGGACATGGGGACAACCCTCAGGGACACCACACAACCTCCAGTGGGGTGGGGACATCAGGACCACCCTTGGGGACATCACCCAACATCCACCAGGGTGGGGACATTGGGACAACCCTCAAGGACACCCCCTGAGCTCCACCAGGGTGGGGAAATCAGGACCACCCTTAGGGACACCCCATGAGCTCCACCAGGATGGGAACATTGGGACCACCCCTGGGGACACCCCCTGAGCTCCAGCAGGGTGGGGACACTGGGACCACCCCTGAGGACACCCCCTGAGCTCCACCAGGATGGGAACATTGGGACCATCCCTGGGCACACCCCACAGCCCTCACCCAGCAGCAGCAGCTTGACCGTCTTGGCCTCCTTGTCCGCGTCCTCCTGGAGCTTCTTCTCCAGCTCCTTGGACCTCTTGGCCATCTCCTTGTCCTCGGCGCTGGCCCCGCTGCCCATGGCTTGCTCGTCCTCCTCCTCCAGCAACGCCACAAGCTCCTCTAGGTCCCCCGGCTTTTCCAGCTCTCCTGGGGGAGGTCAACGCACACCCCGGGGGCGAGGTGGGCGCTGATGGGAGGGTCAGAACCGACAAACTCAGGGGGATCCCCCAAAGGAAGCCCCTCCCCCCTCCTGGGATTTTTGGGGTGCCCCAAGCAAAGAGCTGCTCGGTGGGTGCTCCTGCTCGGCTGCCCCCCTGGCTCTGGCCCTTAATTCCCCATGGATAACCTGATTTTTTTTGACAGCGGGATTTGGGGACTTTTTATCTCGCCATGTGACCCAGGAAATCCAATTAGCCCAAGATGGCAAAGATTAGGGCGCAAGGAGCATCTCGGGGAGGTGGCTTTACATAAGGGGGGAGGTGGCAGGTGACACCCCCCCATCCACCACGGGGAGGTGGGGACGTGCCCCCCCGGTGTCCCCGTGGGGTGACTCGGGCAGTGGGGGGTGGTTTTGGGGGGGTCCAGGGGCTGGGGGGGCATGCTGGGTGTGTGTCCCCCCCACGCCGGGGGTGCTGCAGGTGACGGGGGTGGGGACAGAGGGACAGGGAGTGGTGGCACTGGGGGATTCTTCCCGCAGGGAAAAGGGAGTTAATTACGGGGGGGTGGGGATAAAGAGCCCCCCCTTAATCCCGCCCCGCTCGGGGCCGCCCCTCGCCCTCCCGCTGCCTTAAGCTCTTTAATGGGATCGTGGCTCAGCCTTCATCCTCCTCATCCTCCTCATCTTCATCCTCCTGCTCCTCCTTCCCCCCCCGCCCACCAGCCCATCCCCCAGCCCGGCAGGACCACGGGACCCTCCAAAACCTGGGGATGGGTGGGATCCCCCCGGCCCCCTTTTCTCCAGTGGTGCTGGTTTTGGGTGGGCATTGCAGCGGGGACCCCACGCCCTGGGGGCCAGTTTGGGGCCCCCAAAGGTCCTGCAGGTCCCCCGTGGGGTTTGGGGTCCCCCCAAATATCCTACAAGCCCCGGGGTGGGGTTTGGGGACCTCCTAAAGGTCCTGCAGGTTCCTAATGGGGTTTGGGGTCCCCTAAATGTCCTGCGGGTCCCCAGTGGGGTTTGGGTCCCCAAATGTCCTACATGCCCTGGGGTGGGGGGTGGGGTCCCCCAAAAGCCCTGCGGGTGGGTTTGAGGTCGGATAAAGCCCCGCAGCTCAGAGGGGCCCCCGGGGGGGGGGGCATGGGGTGGTCTCCGTGTCCCCGCCCTGGTGTCCCAATGTCGCACCTGGCACGCGGCCCTGCCTTGGGGACACTCTGTGCCCGCTGTCCCCGCTGTCCCCGCGCGCACAAAGCCCCTTCTGAGCCTGTAATGAACGCGGCGCTAATGAGGGGGGTCCAATTAAAATACCAGCCCCCCCCCTCCCGGGCAGTGCCGGGCAGGGGAGCTCAGCCCGGGGGGTCCCCACTGTCCTGTGCCCTCCCCGCGTGGCGCGGCGCTGGCCCTGATGTCACCTCGCTGTCCCCTCGGCCCCTCGCCCACGAGTGGGGAGCACCGAGGAGGGGGTGGGGGGTGAGCCGACACCCACCCGGAGCCACCGCGACCCCCCGCCCAGGTAGGGACACGCGGGGAGTGGGGGGGACACAGAGACAAAGGGACCCCCCCTCCCCCAGCACCCCCAAACCGGGATCTGCTCCTGGGGGAGTTGGGGGTTTGGGGTGCAGGGACCCCATGGGGGATGGGGTCCCTCATTTTGGGGGTGCCCATCTGAGGGGGAGGAGGCTCATCGTGGAGGAGGCGATGCTCCTTTTTGGGGGTACCTGGAGTTTTGGGGTACTTGGTGATTTGGGGACACTCGGTGTTTTGGGGGGATCCTGGTTTAGGGGGGTGCTGGGTGTTTGGGGGTATTTGGTGGTTTTGGGGGACATTTGGTGTTTTGGGGGGTACTCGGTGGTTTGGGGGGTACTCAGTGACTGGGGGTACTCGATACTTTGGGGGTACCCTGTTTTGCGGGGGTACTCGGCATTTTGGGGAGGACTCGTTGTTTTGGCGTTACCCGGTGTTTTTTTGGGGTGCTCGGTGGTTTTTGGGGTCCTCTGCTCGTGGGGAGCACTCACTGTCATTTTGGGGGGGTCCAATTCCACCCCTCGGGGGGGGGCGATGCCTGATTGGGGGAGAGGATCACAGCTGTCCTCGGGGGCTTTAGGGTGACCGTGGGGGAGTCCCGAGTGTCCCGGGGGGTACAGGGTTGCCCGTGGGGGGGACCACGCCCGTCCCCACTAGGGGGGGGGGGTCGTGGCTGTTTGGAGGTGTCACAACTGTCCCCACGGGAGCACACGATCGTCCCTGAGGGGGTCACAACTGTCCCGCGGGGGCGTCACGGCTGTCTGGGGAGGCTCACAAATGTCCCCACGGGCACACACGACTGTCCCCACGGGGGTGTCACGGCTGTTTGGGGGGGTCACAACTGTCCCCACGGGGGCGTCACGGCTGTTTGGGGGGGGTCACGGCTGTCCCCATGAGAATACACGATTGTCCCCGGGGGGTGTCACGGCTGTTTGGGGGGGTCACAACTGTCCCCACGGAGGTGTCATGGCTGTTTGGGGGGGTCACAACTGTCCCCACGGAGATGTCACGGCTGTCTGGGTGTGTCACGCCTGTCCCCACGGGAGTACACGATTGTCCCCCGGGGGGTGTCACGGCTGTCTGGGGGGTGTCAAACTGTCCCCACGAGGGCACACGCCTGTCCCCCTCGGGTGGGGTCGCGCTGCCCGGGGTGGAGGGGGGGTCTCATCCCCGCACCCCGATATCTCACAGCCCCATCCCGGCTCTCGCCTCCCCCCATCCTCTCTCGCAGCTCCGCAGCCGCAGCCACCTCCTCTTTCCTCCTCCTCCTTCCTCCTCCTCCTCCTCCTCCTCCCGCCCCATCCTCCTCCCGCCCCATCCTCTTCCTCGGGCCGGTTTCCGGCCGGGCCCCGCCGGGGACTTTGCTCCATCCCCGCTTCCCCATCAATCATCAACCAGGGCCGGCAGCGGCCGCCACGACCTCCCCCCGTGCCGCGCCGGGCCCCCCTGTTCCATCAGCATCATCATCGTCACCTTCCTCCCCACCCTGCGCCCTCCCGCGCCCCCGCAGCCGCCATGTCCTCGGCCCCCCGCCAAGTGTCCCTTCAAGAAGCGGGGCAGCCTCCAGACCCCCTCCCTGCAGGTGAGACCTCCCCAAATTACCCCCACACTCCCAAACCCTCCCCTCCATCCTCAACTTCCCTCGACTCCCCAAAACCCCCGATCTTTCCCCCACCACGCGGTGACGCCGCGCGTGGGGAACGCGGAGCGGCCGGGGTGGGTTGGGGGCAGGTGTGTGGTTTTTTTGGGGGAAGGGAGAGGAGCAGGGTTGGTGTTGTTTTTTTGGGGGTCCTCGCCGCGGTGTGTGGTGGTTTTGGGGGTGGCAGCGGCGTGGGGGTCCCTGTGAGTGTAGTCCGTGCCCCCACCACGGCAGCCCCGCTGTGGCGCAGTGGGGGAAGAGGGGAGGAGAAAGGGGGACCCCAAAAGGGGCTGGAGGGGGTGGTGGCTCCAGGGCACCCCGGGTGGTCTCGGGGAGAGGGGGGTTGGTGTTGATGGCACGGGGGGGGCGATGGTGGCGCTTTGGGGTTGGCGCTCTGAGGGGGCTCGGGGGCGTCACCGCGGCCGCCGGGAGTGGGGGTGGCACACGCGTGACACGGCGCGGGGGGGGAGGTGGCACTTTGAGGGGTCTTGGGGTGCCATCCTGCCTGTGGCTGTCCCACCTGGGGGTGGCACGGCGTGGGCGAGAGGACCCCTGAGGGGTGTCACTGGGCTAGGGGGGGGCCTCAGGGGGTCCCCGGGGCTGGTCCCGGCAGTGGGTGACCCACGCGTGTCCCCCGGGGGGGTGGCACAGGATGAGGGGGAGGGGAGGTGGCACTTTGGGGTTGTCACCAAGCTGGCAGTGGGGAGAGGGGGAGGGGGTGTCTCAGGTGCCACCAGGGCACCTGCCACATGCCACCCCACACGTGGGTGGCACATGGGCGGGGCATGGGGCACGGGGCACCCCGGGTGTCACCTGTGCTCAGGTGAGGCAGTGCTGGCACGGCCTGGGGACACCGGGGCCACCCCTGCCCCTGGGGGACACCAGGGCCACCCCCGGGGGTCTCCCAGCCCCTCCCCACTATGGGGGGGATGCTCCTTTGGGGAATCCCCCACTCCCCCGGGCTGCGCTGGGCATTGGGGAGGCTCTTACTGGTGGCCCCAGTTTAACCAGTAGGGCCTGATTTCCAGTGCCCCCCACAAAGGGTTCTGGGGTGGGTTTGGGGGTGCACAGGGGGTGTTGGCGCATGGGGTCTCCGGGCACCCCCCAACTTGATTCGAGCAGGGGGTGCTCTGGGGGGGTTGGGCTGTGGTTTGAGGTCGCTCCCCATAATGGGAAGGATGGGGGAGCAGAGAGCAGAGTGGGAGGTGGAGAGGGGGACCCCAGGGTAGTGCCCCCACCCCAAGCCCCTCATTCAGTGCTGGCTCCTTCCCACCCTCCAGGGGTCCAGCAGCCCCCGGGAGGGGAGGGGCTGGGAGGGGCTGGGAGTTGGGGGTCCCTTCCTGCCCTGGAGCTGCCTCAGTGTCCCCTTGGTGAGGTCATAGGGGGGGTCTGGGAAGCACATCCCAGTTCTGGGAAGCACATCCCAGTTCCATACTGGGGGGAAGGGGGTTTGGAGGGGCCGAGGAGCCCCCCCAGCCCCCCCAGCTGAACCTGCCCATCCCTGCAGAGCTGCGGGGGGGGCTGGGGGCGCGGCCCCTGCAGTCGGCCCGGTCCCTGCCCGGGACCCCCCACTGCCTGAAGCACTTCCCGGTGGATCTGAGAACCTCCATGGATGGCAAGTACAAGGAGATTGCTGAGGTGGGTCCTGGCACTGCCCCTGACAGCGCTGGGGGGGATTTGGGGTGGTCTCCCATCTCCCCCTCCCATCATTCCCCCCACACCTCCCTCCCCTTTTCCTGAGAGCCTTCCCAGCCCAGCTCTGGGGCTGAGACCTGGCACAGCTCATGGCATGGCTGAGACCTGGCACAGCTCATGGCACAGCTCATGGCATGGCTGAGACCTGGCACAGCTCATGGCAGGGGTGGGCCTGGCACAGCTCATGGCATGGCTGAGACCTGGCCCAGCTCGTGGCAGGGCTGTCCCCAGGAGCTGTGGTGGCACTGGCCCAGCTCGTGGCAGGGATGGCAGTGACAGCTGGTGACAGGGCTGTCCCCAGGAGCCCTACTGGCCCTGGCAGGGCTGTCCCTGCCCCTTGGTGACAGGGCTGTCCCCAGGAGCTACCCTGGGGCTGTGGTGGCCCTGGCAGTGACCGTGTCCCTGTCTCCATGGTCAGTGCTGTCCCCACGACCTGTTCTGCCCCTGGCAGGGCTGTCCCTGTCCCTGCGGTGACACTGCTGAGCCCAGGAGCTGTGCTGTCCCTGTCCCTGCCCCTTGGTGACACTGCTGTCATCAGGAGCTGTGTTGTCCCCTGCCCCTGTCCCTGCAGTGACAGTGCTGTCCCCTGGACCTGTGGTGGCCCTGTCCTTGTCCCCGCGGTGACAGTGCTCTCCCCAGGAGCTGTACTGTCTCCTTGGTGACAGTGGTGTCCCCAGGAGCTGCAGGGAGGTGTGGTGGCCCTGTCCCTGCCCCTTGGTGACAGTGGTGTCCCCAGGAGCTGCAGGGGGCTGTGCTGTCCCTGTCCCTGCCCCTCGGTGACAGTGGTGTCCCCAGGAGCTGCGGGGGGTGTACTGTCCCCTCGGTGACAGTGGTGTCCCCGGGAGCTGCGGGGGGCTGTGCTGTCCCCCTCGGTGACAGTGGTGTCCCCAGGAGCTGCAGGGGGCTGTGCTGTCCCTGTCCCTGCCCCTCGGTGACAGTGGTGTCCCCAGGAGCTGTTCTGCCGCTCGCTGGCAGAGAACGAGATGCGAACGGCCCCGTACGAGTTCCCCGAGGAGAGCCCGATCGAGCAGCTGGAGGAGCGGCGGCAGCGCCTGGAGCGCCAGATCAGCCAGGACGTCAAGTGAGCTCCGGGAGGGGGTGATCCCGGCCCTGGAGGGGGGTTTTGGGGTGGTCCCGGTGCCCCCAGTGCCTCCCGGTCCCGCGCGGGGGGTGCTCTGTGCCGGCTCTGTGTCCCCTCCCCGTGGGTGTGTCGCTCGTGTGTCCCCTCCCCCGTGAGCTCCCTGCCGGTTGCCGTGCGGTGTCGCTGGGGTTTTTTTGGCATTAACGGGGTGTTTTCTCTCCCCGGCCCCCTCCCACCCCCCATTTCTGTCCTCCCCCACCCCTCCCCTCCCCGCCAGACTTGAGCCCGACATTTTGCTCAGAGCCAAACAGGACTTCCTGAAAATTGACAGTGCCGCTGACTTACAGTGAGTGTCCGGCCTGGGACACCCCTGGGACAGCCCTGGGGACACGGGGGCTCTGGGGACCCCTGGCCCTGCCCCTGCCCCACCCATCCCCCCATCCCACACAAAGCCCAGGGGTCCCCCACTGGCACCGACAGACCCCCGTGCCCAGGCAGGGGTTGGGGGCAGCCAGGGTGGCCCAGACCCCCCCTGTCCTGGCCCTGCCCTCCCGGGGGTCCAGCTGTGTGTCCCCTCCCTCCTGTCTCCGCTTTGGGGTCGTGTCTGTCACGAGTTGGTTCTGTCCTGTCCCTCTCCCCCACTGCTCAATGTGCTCGGCGGGGCTGGGGGCTTGGGGAGGGGGACAGGGAGGGACACGGGATGGGGACAGATGTGGCACTGGACATGGGGTGGGGACAGATGTGGCACTGGACATGGGGTGGGGACAGATGTGACACTGGGATACTGGGATGGGGACACACGTGTGTGACTGGATGTGAGGACATGGGAAGGGGACAGGTGTGGCACTGGACATGGGCTGGGGACAGACCCTGTCACTGGACACAGGGACACAGGGTGGGGACAGATGGAGCACTGGACACTGGGATAGTGGGCTGGGGACAGGTCTGTCCCTAGCTGTGGGTTGGGGACAGATGGGACACTGGACATGGGATGGGGACAGACCCTGTCTCTGGACACTGGGAACACTGGGATGGGGACAGATGTGTCACTTGGCACTAGGGACAGGCCTGTCCCTGGCTGTGGGTTGGGGACAGATGTGTCACTGGATACTGGGAGCACTGGGCTGGGGACAGATGTGTCGCTGGGTGCTGGGATGGGGACAGATGTGTCACTGGGCTGGGGCCAGGCCTGTCCCTGGATGCTGGGCCACGCTCTGGGGACAGAGCCATCAGTGTCCCCACCCCCCTCCCCCCAGGCTGTTCAAGGAGCAGGGCTCTGACCTGGTGGATCACACCCCCAAGGAGCGGGAGGCGCTGCTGGAGCGGGAATTCCAGCGGGTCACCATCTCCGGGGAGGAGAAGTGCGGGGTGAGCCTCCCCCTCCCGCCCCACCCCACACACTGGGGGGGGAATTCTGCAGGTTACCAACCCCCTTTGGGGTGTCCCCTGCCCCCAGGTGCCCTTCACGGACCTGCTGGACGCGCCAAGAGCGTGGTGAAGGCGCTGTTCGTGCGCCAGAAGTACATGGGGCTGTCCCTGCAGAGCTTCTGCAAGACCACGGCCCGCTACCTGCACGAGCTCTCCGGGAAACCCCCCGAGAGCCGCCCCCAGGACGAGGTGCCCGACACCCCCGTGGCTGCAGGTGAGGGCAGGGAGGGGGGCTTGTGCTGAGACGGGTTTCTGAGGGAGCTTTGGGACTTTTGGAGGAGTTTTGGGGGATTTGGGGGTGGGGTGCTCTGGGGTGATGGGGAACTCCCCAAGAGCCGCCCCCAGGACGAGGTGCCCGACACCCCCGTGGCTGCAGGTGAGGGCAGGGAGGGGGGGCTTGGTGTTGGGATGGGGTTTTGAGGGGTTTGGAGGAGGTTTTGGGGTGGTTTGGGGGAGGTTGGGGTGATGGGGAGCTCCCTGAGAAGCCCCTTGAGACCACCCCTGTGGCTGCAGGTGAGGGCAGGAGGGGGGCTGGTGCTGGAGGAGTTTTTGGGGTTTTGGAGGAGTTTTGGAGGATTTGGGGGGGTTTGGGGTGCTCCCCAAGAGCTGTGCCTATGAGGAGATGCCCGACACCCCTGTGGCTGCAGGTGAGGGCAGGGAGGGGGGGCTTGGTGTTGGAATGGGGTGCTGGAGGAGTTTTAGAGGGTTTTGGAGGAGTTTTGGGGGGGTTTGGGGAGGTTTGGGGTGCTCTGGGGTGATGTGGAGCTCTCCAAGAAGCCCCTTGAGGAGGTGCCTGAGACCCCCATGGCTGCAGGTGAGGGAAGGGACGGGGTTCTTGGTGCTGGAGGAGTTTTGGGGTGTTCTGGAGGAGTTTTTGGGGGGTTTTAAGAGGTTTTGGCGTGCTCTGGGGTGATGGGGAGCCCCCTGAGACCCACAGTTGTGAGGAGGTGCCCGAGACCTCCGTGGCTGCAGGTGAGGGCAGGGAGGGGGGGTCTTGGTGCTGGAATGGGGGGGCTGGAGAAGTTTTTGGGGGGGGTGTGAGGGTCCCCTCGGCCTCTTTGGGCTGCTGGGGGGGATCCCCCTGGTCTCTCTCTGTGGAGCTGTGGGGTGCCCTCGTGTTTTGGGGTGCTGTGGGGTGACTGTGGGGGGGGTCCTGTGGCTGCAGATGCCCCCGTGCACCCCCCCTTTGCTGAGCAACACCCCTACGAGACGTGGGACCCCCAGAAGATGCCGGAGGACCTGGGCTACGGGCTCAGGATGGTGGATGGGGTCGTGCACGTCTACACCAGCCAGGACCCCACTGACAAGTGAGTCTGGGGTGGGGGGAAATGGGGGTCCTGGCGTGGGATTTGGGGCTGTGGGGACCCCCAGCTGTGTGTATGTGTCCCCCCCTTCCCAACAGGAGCACGGAGCTGGACCTGCCCTACCCCGACCTGCAGGAGTTCATCGCAGACATGAACTTCCTGATGGCCCTGATCATCAACGGGCCCATGTGAGGGGCAGGGGGCACTGGGGGGAATCGGGGGCAGCAGGGGGATAAATGGGGGCAGCAAGGAGGATAAATGGGGCAGCAGGGGGGGGTAAATTGGGATAGCAGGGGGACACCAGGGGGGCACAAATGGGGACACCAGGGGGGTCAGAGGTGGGAACACCAGGGGGGGATAAATGGGGACAGCAGGGGGGGAATAAATGGGGACAGCAGGGGGGGAATAAATGGGACATGAGAGGGGCACAAATGGGGACACCAGGGGGGCATAAATGGGGACACCAAGGGGTCATAAATGGGACACCAGGGGGACATGAGGGGGTCATAAATGAGACACCAGGAGGGTCAGAGGTGGGGACTTCAGGGGGGTCATAAATGGGGACACCAGTGGGGTCATCAATGGGATATCAGGGTGACACCAGGGGGATCATAAATGGGACACCAGGGCGGCATAAATGGGGATGCCGGGGGGAGGGGGTCAGAGATGGGGACACCAGTGGGGTCATAAATAGGGACACGACACTGGGGGATCATAAATGGGGACATCAGGGGGATCAGAGGTGGGGACACCGGGGAGGCCATAAATGGAGACCCCGGGAGGTCTGCGCTGGGGACAGGGACACCAGAGCTTTGGGGATGGGGGACAGAGAGAGGAACAGACCCTCGAGTGGGGACAGAACCTGTGGAACAGCCCTGAGGACACGGGTGGGGCTGGGTCCATCCCTCCCTCTGTCCGTGGGCACCGTGTCCCCTCACCCTGGTGAGGGGACTGACCCTTTCCTAACCCAAAATTCGGGCAGCAAATCCTTCTGCTACCGGCGGCTGCAGTACCTGAGCAGCAAGTTCCAGATGCACGTGCTGCTCAACGAGATGAAGGAGCTGGCGGCGCAGAAGAAGGTCCCGCACCGCGACTTCTACAACATCCGCAAGGTACCCCCCAAATCCTGGGGGGGCTCCTGGGGGTTATTTCCCCCCTCCCCAGGGCTGAGCATCGCCCTGTCCATGCAGGTGGACACCCACATCCACGCCTCGTCCTGCATGAACCAGAAGCACCTGCTGCGCTTCATCAAGAGGGCCATGAAGAAGCACCTGGACGAGATCGTGCACGTGGAGAAGGGCAAGGAGCAGACGCTCAAGGAGGTGTTTGAGACCATGAACCTCACGGCCTACGACCTCAGCGTGGACACCCTGGACGTCCACGCGGTACGGGGGTGGGGGGCACCCAGGCACCCAGGGGGGCTTCTGCAGGGTGGGCTCTGAGGGGGTGGTGGGTGGTCTCAGCTCACACCTCACATCCTTGTCCCCCTTCCAGGACTGGGGGGATCTCCAGGGGTGCTGGGGGGGTTCTGGGGTAGTCCTGCTGTGGGTGGGGGTGTGGGGGGTGATCTCAGCTCCCACCTCACACCCGTGTGCCCCTTCCAGGACTGGGACATCTTTTCCAGGGGTGCTGGGGGGGCTCTGGGTGTGATAGGTGTTCTCAGATCCCACCTCACATCCTTGTCCCCCTTCCAGGACCAGGGAGATCTCCAGGGGTGCTGGGGGGGCTGTGGGTGTGATGGGTGGTCTCAGCTCCCACCTCAAATCCATGTCCCCCTTCCAGGACCGGGGGGATCTCCAGAAGTGCTGGGGGGGCTCTGCTGTGGGTGAGGGGGTGATGGGTGGTCTCAGCTGCCTTCTGTGTCCCCTCCCCACCCCCAGGACCGCAACACCTTCCACCGCTTCGACAAGTTCAACGCCAAGTACAACCCCATCGGGGAGTCCATCCTGCGCGAGATCTTCATCAAGACCGACAACCGCGTGGACGGGAAGTACTTCGCCCACATCATCAAGGTGACACTGCCACCCCTGCCCCCCTGCAGTGCCCTCTGCCCCGTGGCCGTGTGCCCCACCTGGCAGTACCACCTGTGTGCCCTCCTTGGTGGCTGAGGGGTGACAGTGGGCACATATCCCCCCCCACGTGTCCCTGTCCCAGTGGCCGAGGGGTGATGGTGTCCCCATGTCCCCCCAGTGTCCCCTCCCCAGTGACCGTGGGTGATGGTGCCTGTGTCCCCCCTGTGTCTCCTCCCTGGTGACCGAGGGTGACAGAACCTGCGTCCCCTCAATGTCCTCTCAATGTCCCCTCCCCAGTGGCCGTGGGTGACGGTACCTCATGTCCCCCCAGTGTCCCCTCCCTGGTAGCTGTGGGTGACAGTGCCCATGTCCTCCAGTGTCCCCTCCCTGGTGACCAAGGGTGACATTATTTGTGTCCCTCAGTGTCCCCTCCCCGGTGGCCATGGGTGACAGTGCCCATGTTCCCCCAGTGTCCCCTCCTTGATGACCAAGGGTGATGGTGGCTGTGACCCCCAGTGTCCCCCCATGGCCTTGGAGTGACGGTGCCCATGTCCCCCAATATACCCTCAATGTCCCCTCCCTCATGCCCGTGGGTGACGATGCCCATGTTCCCCCAATGTCCCCCATGGCCTTGGGGTGACAGTGCCCGTGTCCCCCCAATGTCCCCCAATGTCCCCCCTGTGGCCTCGCAGTGACGGTGCCTGTGTCCCTGCAATATCCCCTCAATGTCCCCTCCCTGGTGGCCGACGGTGACAGTGCCCGTGTCCCCCCAGTGTCCCCTCCCTTGTGGTTGTGGGTGACAGTGCCCATGTCCCCCAGTGTCCCCCTATGGCCTTGGGGTGACAGTGCCCATGTCCCCCAGTGTCCCCCTATGGCCTTGGGGTGACAGTGGCCGTGTCCCCGCAGGAGGTGATGGCGGACCTGGAGGAGAGCAAGTACCAGAACGCGGAGCTGCGCCTGTCCATCTACGGGCGCTCGCGGGACGAGTGGGCCAAGCTGGCGCGCTGGGCGGTGCAGCACCGCGTGCACTCCAACAACGTGCGCTGGCTCGTGCAGGTGCCGCGCCTCTTGTGAGTGGGGGGACCCCTGGGGACCCCCTGGGGGCAGGGCACCCCTACCCCAGCTCCCCCATCCTCTGCCCCCCCTGCGCCCCTTCCCCTCCCCAAGTCCCCTGTTCCCGTTCCCTGCTCGCCCCATCCCATCTCCCAATCCTCACTCAGCCCCATTTGCCCGTTCCAGTCCCCAGGCCACTCGTTCTCGTTCCCTGCTTGCCCATTCCCATCCCAAATTCCCACTCTGCCCCCATCCTCCAGTTCCCCCCTTCCTCCAATCCCATCCCCAATTCCCATTCAGCCCCATTTGCTCATCACCAGCCCCAATTCCCCAGTTCCCCCAGCCCCAATTCCCTCCTCAGGTCCCCCATTCCTCCAATCCTATTCCCAATTCCCATTCAGCCCCATTTGCTCATCACCAACCCCAATTCCCCAGTTCCCCCAGCCCCAATTCCCTCATCCCCAGCCCCAATTCCCCCATTCCTCCGTTTCCATTCATCCCTATTTCCCCGTTCCCATCCCCCGCTCCTCCATCCTGTCCCAAATCCCCCGTTCCTGCCCCCATTTCCTCATCCATCCCATCCCAAATCCACCCCCCATTCCTGCCCCCATTTCCTCATCCATCCCATCCCAAATCCACCCGTTCCTGCCCCCATTTCCTCATCCATCCCATCCCATCCCATCCCATCCCATCCCAAATCCCATCCCATCCCATCCCATCCCATCCCATCCCAAATCCACCCGTTCCTGCCCCCATTTCCTCATCCCTGTGGGTGGGGCTGTGCCCGAGGGTGGTCCCAGCCGCTGCCGATGCCCCCGCAGTGACGTGTACCGGACCAAGGGGCAGCTGGCCAACTTCCAGGAGATGCTGGAGAACATCTTCCTGCCCCTCTACGAGGCCACCGTGCACCCAGCCCAGCACCCCGAGCTGCACCTCTTCCTGGAGCACGTGAGTGTCCCCCCAGGGACCCCCAGCACGGGGGATGGGCTGGGGGGACGGGAGGGTGACCCCAAACCTGTGGGTGCCCTGCAGGTGGATGGCTTTGACAGCGTGGATGACGAGTCCAAGCCAGAGCATCACATCTTCAACCTGGACAGCCCCCTGCCCGGGAACTGGGTGGAGGAGGACAACCCACCCTACTCCTACTACCTGTACTACATGTACGCCAACATGACCGTGCTCAACCACCTGCGCAGGTGAGGCACCCCCGGGGCACCCCAGGGGCACCTACGGACACCCCCGGCACCCACCCACCCACGGACATCCCAGGGGCACCCACCCACACCCCATGGACACCCCACGGGCACCCCCGGCACCCAGGACACCCCACGGGCAACCCTCAGCTCCCACCCACCCATGGACACCCCTCAGGGAGATGGGGATCCCCTCAGCACCTACAGGCACTCCCCAGCTCCCACAAACACCCCTCACGTCCTACAGACACCCCTCATATCCCACAGACACCCCTCATGTCCCACAAACACCCCTCATATCCTACAGACACCCCTCATGTCCCACAGATACCCCTCATATCCCACAAACACCCCTCATGTCCCACAGACACCCCTCATATCCACAGACACCCCTCATGTCCCACAAACACCCTCATGTCCACAAACACTCTCATGTCCCACAGACCCCCCTCATGTCCCAAAAACACCCCTCTACCCCACAGACACCCCTCATATCCTACAGACACCCCTCAACTCCCACAGACACCCCTCATGTCCCACAAACACCACTCATGTCCCAAAAACACCCCTCTACCCCACAGACACCCCTTAGCACCCACAGACACCCCTCATATCCCACAAACACCCCCTCATGTCCCAAAAACACCCCTCTACCCCACAGACACCCCTCAACTCCCACAGCCCCTCCGTTGTGGTTGTGGTCCCTCCAGTGCCCCCCCCAGTGCCCCCCGCTGTGGTTGGGGGTCTCTCCGGTGCCCTCTTGCTGCGGGGGTGCCCCTGCTGAGGTGTTCCCCCCGTGTCTCAGGAAGAGGGGCTTCCACACGTTCGTGCTGCGGCCGCACTGCGGCGAGGCCGGGCCCATCCACCACCTGGTGTCGGGGTTCATGGTGTCCGAGAACATCTCCCACGGGCTCCTGCTGCGCAAGGTGAGCGGGGAGGGGGCCCTGGGGACACACACACACACAGGGGACCCCCGGGGTGCCCAAGGGATTGGAGGTTTTTTGGGGTTCTGACCCCGCTGGGTCACCAGCGCCGGGCCCAGCCCTGCTTCGTGTCCTTGTTTAGATGAGGGGATGGGTCCACCATCAGCAGATGTGCAGATGGCACCAAGCTGGGGGGGTGTTGGTGTGCTGGAAGGCAGGAGGGCTCTGCAGAGGGACCTGGACAAGCTGGATCCATGTTCTGATTCCAGTGGGATGAGGCTCAACCAGGCCAAGTGCCGGGTCCTGCCCTTTGGCCACAACAACCCCACGGGCTGGGACAGAGTGGCTGGAGAGCAGCCAGGCAGGAAGGGAGCTGGGAGTGTGGAGGGACAGGAGCTGAACAGGAGCCAGAGTGTGCCCAGGGGGCCAAGAGGGCCGATGGATCCTGGCCTGGATCGGGATCAGTGGCAGCAGGAGCAGGGAAGGGATTCTGTCCCTCTGAGGCCACCCCTGGAGTGCTGTGTCCAGCTCTGGGCCCTCAGCTCAGGAAGGACATGGAGGGGCTGGAGCAGGGGCAGGGAAGGGCAACGAGGCTGGGGAAGGGACTGGAGCACAATTCCCATGGGGAGAGGCTGAGGGAGCTGGGGGCTCAGCCTGGAGAGGAGGAGGCTCAGGGGAGACCTCAGCACTCTCTCCAGCTCCTGACAGGAGGGGAGCCAGGGAGGGTTTGGTCTCTTCTCCCAGGAAGCAGCAGTGGGACAAGAGGGTCTTAAGCTGTGCCAGGGGAGGTTTGGGTTGGATATTGGGAAGGAATCCTTTCCAGAGGGAGTGCTCAGCCATTGGAATGGGCTGCCCAGGGAGAGGGTGGATTCCCCCTGGAATTTGGTCCCTGGAGGGGGTGGATTCCCTGTCCCTGGAGATGTTTAAGGACAGGCTGGATGTGGCATCAGTGCCACGGGCTGGGAAGCCACGGCGGGGTTGGATCGAAGATTGGACTGGATGATCTCTGAGGTCTTTCCCAACCTGGCTGATTCTGGGATTTTGGGATCCTCTGTGCCCCCCCCAGGCCCCCGTGCTGCAGTACCTGTACTACCTGGCCCAGATTGGCATCGCCATGTCCCCCCTGAGCAACAACAGCCTGTTCCTGAGCTACCACCGCAACCCCCTGCCCGAGTACCTGTCCCGGGGGCTCATGGTGTCCCTGTCCACCGACGACCCCCTGCAGTTCCACTTCACCAAGGTGGGGCTTTGGGGAGGGGGGAACCGGGCAGAGACCCCCCTGGGGGGGCTGCGGGGTGGGCACTGGTGGGGGGCTAGAGGGGCCAGGGAGGGAGGAGGTGAAACCCCCATCCAGGGGGATGGGAGGGAGTTGAGGGGGGTCTGTGGGGTCTCTGTGGGTGAGTGGGAGCTGAGGGGTGTCCCTGGGGGGATCTCTGGGGGTCCCTGTTCCAGGACCCCCTGATGGAGGAGCAAAGCATCACCACCCAGGTGTGGAAGCTCAGCTCCTGTGGGGTGTCTGTGGGATGTCCCTGGGGTTTCAGTGGGGGGTCTCTGAGGGGTCTCTGGGGGTCCCTGTTCCAGGAGCCCCTGTTGGAGGAGCAAAGCATCACCACCCAGGTGTGGAAGCTCAGCTCCTGTGGGGTGTCAGGGCTGTCTGTGGGGTGTCAGGGCTGTCCGTGGGGTGTCAGGGCTGTCTGTGGGGTGTCAGGGCTGTCCGTGGGGTGTCCCTGGGGGGTTTCTGAGGGGTCTCTGGGGGTCCCTGTTGCAGGAGCCCCTGATGGAGGAGTACAGCATCGCCACCCAGGTGTGGAAGCTCAGCTCCTGTGACATGTGCGAGCTGGCCCGGAACAGCGTCCTCATGAGCGGCTTCTCCCACAAGGTGATGACGCCTTTCCCCACATCCCCCTTCCCAATTCCCCCATTCCCGTGCCCCCATTCCCCTCCCCTCATGGTGCCAGGCCCACCCCTCAGGTGAAGAGCTACTGGCTGGGCCCCAACTACCAGCGGGAGGGCCCGGAGGGGAACGACATCCGCCGCACCAACGTCCCCGACATCCGCGTGGGATATCGCTTCGAGACGCTGTGCCAGGAGCTCACCCTGCTCACCCAGGCACTGCAGGGGGCCGAGCTGGAGCCCATCCAGGAGGAGGGGGGCATCACCATCTCCCTGGGCGCACACTGAGACCCCCCAGAGAACCCACCCCCCCAGGACCCCACGGGATCGCCCGACATCGCCGACGCCCCCCGGGCTCTGCCGCCGTCCCCCCGACCTGCAGGCGCTGCAGGGGGCAGGGCTGGAGCCCACCCAGGGGGAGGGGGCGTCACCACCGCCCTGGGCACACACTGAGACCCCCAGGGACCCCCCCAGGACACCCCGACATAACTGATGCCTCCAGGGCTCCGCCAGCATCCCCCCACCCACAGGGGCTGAGCTGGAGCCCACCCAGGGGGAGGGGGCGTCACCACCACCCTGGGCACACACAGAGACCCCCAGAGACCCCCATGAACCAACCCCAGTCCCTCACTGAGACCCCCAGTGCCCCCAGGGCTCCGCTGCCATCCCCCCACCTGCTCCCACTGCTGTCCCGGTGCCACCGAGGGGGACACGGTTTGTTGGGTCCTCGTCATTTCTGCCTGGTTTGGGTCATTTTTTGGGTCTTGTTTTGTCATTTTTTGGGGTCTTTTTCGGGTCTTTTTCTGTGTTGTTTTTTTACCTGGTGTTTCTTTGCTGGCTTGGGCCCTGCCAGGTTTGGTGGCACCAGGAGGTGACACAGGGACAGAGTTTGTTGAGTCTCCTCCATTTCGTCTGCTTTTGGTCATTTTGGGGGTCTTTTTTTGGCCTTATTCTGGTTTTTAACTGGTGTTTCCTCACTGGTTTGGCTTGGGCCCTGCCAGGTTTGGTGGCACCAGGGGGACACAGTTTGTTGGGTCCTCTTCGTTTTATCTCTTTTTGGTCTTGTTTTGATCATTTTTTTGCCTTTTCCCGCCTTTTTTAACCAGTGTCTCCTCGCTGGGTTGGGCTTTGGTGGCACCAGCAGGTGGCACAGGGGGGGTCCTGCCTTCACCCCCCGTGTTGGGGACACCGTGACAAGTCGGGGGTCCCTGCTGGGGGTGTGGGGGTCCCAGCCCCTCCCCCCAGCTCCTGATGCTGCTTGAACCCCCCCCACCCTCTCTCTGTCCACTCTCCCCCCAGGGGACATGGGGACAAGCCCAGGGGGCTCCTTGAGGACCTCAACCCGGGGTCTCTGCCCCTTGGCACGGCACGGGGGGACACGGGGTGGTGCTGAGGGCAGATCCCTCCTCACCCCCACCGGGCTGAAGGGAAAGGGCACACAATGTCCTGTCCCTGGGCCCCCTTTTCCCAGGATTTATGGCCCGGATGAGGCTTCTGCCATCCCTGGGGGGGAGAAGGGCATCACCCCCCCATCCCTGCGCCCCCAAGTCCGACCCTGCCCCCCCCCGCCCGCCGGAGCCGCTCCCGGGAAAACCAGGAAAACAAACAAAAACGGTTAATCCCAAACAACCCAACCCCGCCCCAGCATGGAAAATAAACTCTTTCAGTAAAACGCCGGAGTTTCAGTGTGGGAGGGAGGGAGCAACTAAGAGGGGGAGGACTGAGAGAGGCGGTGGGCTTTGTCCACTCGGGGAGTGAATTTGGGGGTCCCCGAGGGTCGGGGAGGGATGCGGGGCGGGGTCCGGGGCAGGGGTGGCGGTGCCAGCGCTGGCACCGAGCCCTGGCACCCGCCTGGCAGGGACCACGGGGGCGGGGAGGGACGAGGGGAGGGACAGGAGGAGGGGCAGGGAGGGCTCGGCCACCCCCCCCCGTCCCTGTCCCTCTCCCCAGTCCGTCCGGGTCCGTGCCACAGTCCCGCAGAGCCGCGGCCGGGGGGGCACCATGGTGGTGACGCTGGGCTACTGGGACGTCCGGGGGGTGAGTGGGGCCGGGGGGGCACAGGGGGGCTGCTGGGAGGTCCTGGGGTCCCCGAGGGGGTGGTGGTGGTCTGGCGGTGCAGGGGGCCAAAGGGGGGGTGTTGAGGGGTTCTGGAGGTCCTAGGGTAGGAATGCAGGATGTCCCAGGGGGTTTTGGGTCCTGAGGGGCACAGGGTGGAGGTGTGGGGTGCCAAAGGTGGGCGCTGTGTGTGTCCCCCCCCAGCTGACCCACGCCATCCGCCTGCTGCTGGAGTACACGGAGACCCCCTACCAGGAACGCCAGTACCGCCTTGGCCCAGGTGAGGGGGGGCTGTGAACCCCCCAAACCCCGAGACCCCCTCCCCCTGCTTTGTGCCGTGTCAAAAACCCACGGAAGGGGGGGGAGGGACGCCCCGTTTCCAACCGGTCCCTCTTTCCCCCCACCACGCCAACCCCGTCCTGCAGCTCGGGGGGGGAGAGTCACACCCACACCTCTCCAAAATCGGACTTTGACCCCTCCCGGGGGCAGCGTCGTTCCTGATCCGCCCAGGGCTGGGGGGGCACACGCGGCTCCGGGGGCAGAGCGGAGTCCCTCTCCCCGGGGTTCTGGGGGAGCCCCCCCTCCAATTGCTCTGCCCTCCTGCCCCCCCAGCCCCCGATTTTGACACGAAGGATTGGACCAACGAGAAGGAGAAACTGGGGCTCGACTTCCCCAATGTACGTGATGGGGGCGGGAGGGGCGCGACGCGGGGAGAGGAGGAATCACTGTGGCTGACCCCCCTCCGGAACCCCCCAGCTCCCGTATCTCATCGACGGGCCCGTCAAGCTGACCCAGAGCAACGCGATCCTGCGCTACATCGCCCGCAAGCACAACCTGTGTGAGTTAGGGGGGGGTCGCAGCACCCGCCAGGGTCCCCGGGGGTCTTTTTATGGGGATGGAGGTGACACCTCCCGGTGCCGCAGGTGGCGAGACGGAGCAGGAGAAGCAGCGCGTGGATGTGCTGGAAAACCAGCTCATGGATTTTAGGATGGGCTTCATCCGGCTCTGCTACGACCCCGACTTCGTGAGTACCCTCGGGCTGGAGGGGGGCACGGGGGGACGGACCCCGCCAAGCCACAGGGCCGTCCCCCCACGTGGGACAAGGGCACCGAGCCATCAGCAGCGTGGGGGGCTCTGTTGGGGTGCACCCTTTGCCCCCATTCTCCCCTTCTCATCCCCCATTCCCGTCCCCAATTCCCCTGTTCCTATTCCCATTCCCCCGTCTCTGCCCCGGGGGTGCTGCCCTGTGTTCTGTGGGGTCCGGGGTTGTTTCAGCCCCCCCAACCGTCCCCCCTGCAGGAGAAGCTGAAGGCGGGATACCTGGAGCAGCTTCCCAAGAAGCTCCAGGAGTTCTCGCGCTTCCTGGGCTCCCGCACCTGGTTCGCGGGGGACAAGGTGAGTTCAGGGGGCTCTGGGGGGGTGTTTTAGGGGGTCCCTGTGCAATCTGACCACCCCCTGTCCCCCCAGCTGACGTTCGTGGACTTCCTGGCGTACGATGTGCTGGACCAGCACCGCATGTTCGTGCCCGACAGCCCCGAATTCCAGGGAAACCTGGGCAGCTTCCTGCAGCGCTTCGAGGTGAGGGGGGACAGGGGACAGCCTGGGGACAGCCGGGGGCACCCCAGTGCCCCCATCCCTGGTCCCCTGGTGTCCCTGTCCCTATTCTTGACACCCCTCTGTCCCCACCCCCATCCCCTACACTCTGCTGTCCCTGTCCCCATCTGTCCCTCTCTCCACTCCCCACCACTGACATCGCCGTGGCCCCACTCCAGTCCCCACGTGCCCCTGTGCCTTTGGCTGCAATTCCTGTCCCCCTTTTCCCCATCCCGATCTACTCTGTCCCCACCCTTGTCCCCTTTTTCCCCATTTCTGTCCCCTTTGTCCCCATCCCTTTGCCCTTTGCCCCCCGCCCCCCTCCCTCTGGCAACGTCTCCTGGTGTTTCCAGCCCTGTCCCTGTGTCCCCAGCCCTGTCCCGTGTCCCTATTGCTTTCCCCACGTGTCCCTGTCCCCCCCCCAGTCCCTGCTGTCTCCCCAATGTCCCCCCGTGTCCCCCCAGGCCCTGCCCAAGATCTCCTCCTACATGAAGACCCCACGGTTCATGAAAACGCCCGTTTTCTGGTGCACAGCCAAGTGGGGCAACACCAAGGAGTGAGGGGGGGACCCCCACAAACCCCCCAAACTCACCCCTGTGCCCCCCAACTCCCCCCACCCCGAATAAATCGTGTGTTCTCTCCCCTGTCCGTCTGATTTGTGGCTTCACTGTAGGACCGCGAGGACCCCCCGTTTGTGGGGTGACCTCCGCGGGGGTGGGGGGCTGTTGGACTCTCCTGCAGCCTGGGAGGTGGCAGGGGGGGCTTCTCTCTGCACCCCCAGGATAAGGGAGACCCCCTGAGTGTCTGTGCCCCCCCAGCATAACGAGACCCCTCCTTAGGGAGTCGAAAGGGGGACCCCCCTGCAGCTTGAGGGGGGGGCACAGAGGGATTCGTGGCCCCCCCGGGATAAGGGGGACCCCGTGGAGTGTGGGGGTCGCAGAGCCGTGAGGACAAGGGGGTCCCGTGGGGATGGGGGAGTCGCCGAGTTCGCTGTTAAGGGGTCCCCATGGAACTGAGGGGGTCGCAGAGCCGTGAGGACACGGGGGTCCCACGGGGAAGAGCGGTCACAGAGCCCCCTTAAGGGGGACCCCGCGGGGATGGAGGGGTCGCAGGACTCCCACAATAAGGGGGTCGGATGCGGAACGGGGGGTCGCAGAGCCCTCAGGACAAAGTGGGGGGCGCCCGGAGCGGGGTCCCTTCCACTCGCCCCGCCCCGCCCCAGGCAGGGGCGTGGCCTTGGTGCTGTCACGAGCCGGGAGGCGTGACCCCGGGGGTTGCACGTGCCGGGGGCGTGGCCGCGGGTTTTTTCCACGTGTCGGGGGCGTGGCCGGGGTCACGGGCTCCAGTGGGGCGCGGCGTGCGTGGGACTCCTGAAAATGCTCTTACACACCTTTTTCAAACTTAATCCCTCCATTCAGACTTCTTCACGCTAATTTTTAACGCTCCGTCGTTACCGATCCTAACTCAGGATCGGCTCCAGGAGTGCAGTCAACAGAACCAGTTTTCTTTCTCCACCCCCCATTCCCACACAGCCTCTCCAGGCCCCCCGGGGGTCCCACGCAGCCCCCCCGCACCTTCCCCGGGGTTCAGGGGGTGTTCCACGATCCCCCCTCACCTGGAGCCGTGCTGGCCCCTCCGCTCCTCCCTGCGCTGCCGCAGCACCTTCTCCAGGCTGGGCCTCAGCGCTGCGGGGGGGGCTGAGCTGGAGCCCACCCAGGACGAGGGGGGTATCACACTCTGAGACCTCCGGGACCCCCAGAGAACCCCCGGGACCCCACGGGACCGCCCGACATCGCCGATTCCCCCAGCGCTGGCAGCTCACCCTGGCGGGACACCCCAGCACCCGCCCCGCAGCGCCGACGCGGGTGGGGAGGGACAGGGGGAGGGCCCGGGGGTGGGTCCGGGGAGGGCTCGGCCAACTCCCCTGTCCCTGTCCCGTGTCCCCAGTCCGTCCGGGTCCGTCCGTGCCACAGTCCCGCAGAGCCGCGGCCGGGGGGGCACCATGGTGGTGACACTGGGCTACTGGGACATCCGAGGGGTGAGTGGGGCCGGGGGGGGCACAGGGGGGTTGCTGGGAGGTCCTGGTGTCCCCGAGGGGGTGCTGGTGGTCTGACGGTGCCGGGGGCCGAAGGGGTTGTGTTGAGGGGTTCTGGAGATCCTAGGGTGGGTAGCGTGGGAGTGCTGGAGGTCCCAGGGGGGTTTTGGGTCCTGAGGGGCACAGGGTGGAGGTGTGGGGTGCCAAAGGTGGGTGCCGTGTGTGTGTCCCCCCCAGCTGGCCCACGCCATCCGCCTGCTGCTGGAGTACACGGACACCCCGTACCAGGAACGCCAGTACCGCCCTGGCCCAGGTGAGGGGGGGCTGTGAACCCCCCAAACCCCGGGACCCCCTCCCCCTGCTTTGTGCCGTGTCAAAAACCCGGCTGGGGGCGGAGGGACGCCCCGTTTCCAGCCTGTCCCTCTTTCCCCCCACCCCGCAACCCCGTCCTGCAGCTCGGTGGGGGCAAATCCCTCCCCCCCCCAAAATCGGACTTTGACCCCTCCCAGGGGCAGCGTCGTTCCTGATCCGCCCAGGGCTGGGGGGGCACACGCGGCTCCGGGGGCAGAGCGGGGTCCCTCTCCCCGGGGGTCTGGGGGAGCCCCCCTCCAATTGCTCTGCCCTCCTGCCCCCCCAGCCCCCGATTTTGACCCGAGCGATTGGACCAACGAGAAGGAGAAACTGGGGCTCGACTTTCCCAATGTACGTGATGGGGTTTGGGGGGTATGGGGGGGACGGGGCGCGAGGAGGGAAGGGGAGGGGCAAGATCGCCGGGGCTGACCCCCCCTCCGGAACCCCCCCAGCTCCCGTATCTCATCGACGGCCCCGTCAAGCTGACCCAGAGCAACGCGATCCTGCGCTACATCGCCCGCAAGCACAACCTGTGTGAGTGGGGGGGCCGGGGGGTCGCAGCACCCGCCAGGGTCCCCGGGGGGCTCTGTTTTGGGAGGGTGGGGGTGACACCTACGGTGTTGCAGGCGGCGAAACGG